ATAGATGAGGAGAAGGATCTTGGTCAAACGGAGCTCCTCTCTGGTCAGGCCGAGTCGCAGCGGCCGGCGCCGGGTCAGCGCAAAAGTGCGGATACGCCGCTTGCTCTTCCTGACGGCGCAGAAGGTCAAGATGAACTGTAAGGGGATCCAGATGCAGCCCAGAAGGACGAAAAGTAGCAGGGGAAGGCTCAGGACCCAGATTACGGCAGACGATGTCGATAGGATCTCCCGGCTGACGACTGTGTTGCAGGATGCGTAATCTGCAGAGAAAGTCATGGCCACAAGGCCTTGGTTTGATAAGAGCGACAGCGGGAGGAATGAGATGAAGATACCGGATGACCAGAGGGCCAAGAGGCAGATCACAACATTCGTGCGACTGCAGAATCGGCTGAAGGATGCCGCTGAGCGAGCCACCAGGAGGTAGCGGCTCGTTGCGATTGCAGCCAGGGTGAACAGTGCCACGCAGGTGATGTACCACATCATGTGGCCGGCGATGCTGCATGTGATGTCACCGAGGGGCCAGGAGCCACAGAGCGTTCCGATTATGTGAGCGGGAATCAGAACAAGGCATGACAGGAGATCCAAGACGGCGAGGTTCCCGATGTACACGCTGGTGGTCGTCTGAAGTTTGCGCGTTTTGGCAATGGCAAGAATGACAAACACATTGCCAAGCAGGCCCAGTACGCACATGATGCCCTGCACAGTCACTGACAAGATAACAGAGGCATCTGACTTCAAGGAGCAACCGTGATTGAGGTCAAACAGGGGCACGTCACTTGTCAAGTCCGGCGAGAATTCTTGGCTGTGGTTGGACATTTTGAAATCAGTGGTTACCTTTCCTGCTGCCTCTGATGACAGATGTCAAAGAAAAAGTCTTCTTCATATTTGAAGAGGCATTGCAACCGCTCACAGGTCAAGTCCAATGTGATGGTTAATCGGCTGTGCTTTAAAATCCACCAAATTGTCCTAAAATTTCATTCCATGTAAAGCCCTGAAGCCTCATCATTACATGAGAAGTTGACAGTTGCATCAACGGAAGTTTACTCAACTCAACTTGCGATATGCAAGTCTAAATGCTTAATACCAAATCCTGGTTACTGAAAATGGCCGGTATGGCATCCCCACAACGGAGATATTTCGCCGTAAGATTACCCTATCTGGTCAGTGCAGTCGAGATCCACTCCCAGAACCCACCTGTTTTGGGCCAGTTACAGCAGTCACGGCCAGCTGACAATGAGTGATGTACGTACTGTACTTTTAACCAGAATACCGTAGATAGTGCACACCTTAGCAGAGTCAGAAAACTCCCTGCTCAAAAAATATGTTATGTTCAAATGAAACTAGCATTAGACACTTGCTGAAGTCTCTAAGATGGTTAGGTGTTGGCCTTTCTCAAAATGAAGTGTCCAAGATTTGGATGGCTTTTAGGCAACCAGAACAGTTTGCCGAATACAAAACTGACGGGAAGACGTTCCTGCCACTGTATGCTAACTGCTTAAATGTCTCTGCTATTAGAAAGCATCTTGAGGTCTGGTTGATGGATTGTTACTTACTCTCCACGGAAGACGATCCATCATTCTCTCTTCTACTTCGAGAATTCTGCAAATTTACTAGCCACATATTCTTCAGCAACAGTTCCAGTAGGAGCGTCCTTCAATCCGTTTCAGTATTTTTCAACGGTTGCAGAGATTTTTCAAAACGTCAGCTGCACATTAATAAGTTACAGTGTTTCTCCTCGCTCGATGCTGTTCGCAGGCTTTGTTCCAAAAAAGCAATGTTTAACTGAAAAGCCAGACTGTGATGAAGTAACGCAAGATAAATAGAGGGTTGTGTCCAATCATTCCAATGCCTGCGTCATACCCATGAGTTAGAAAACTCATGCTTAATTTCTTGGCCGATATTTTTCCTGTCTACATCATAATTCATAGCTTAACTCCACCCCACTAAAAGAGAAAAAAAATACAAGACATCTGGATGTAAAGTTAAATGGGATCCAGTTTACCATTAACCACAAAAACCATGTACCGGTAAGAAAGAAGACAAAATAGAACCACAAATTAAGCTCTGCACACAAGCTGTCCAAAAAAGCTCTCACCAACGGTCATTTCTTTGTGATAAACAGCACAGCCTGTTAGCGGCCAAAACCTACATTAAAGGTTTTTACTGTTGGTATTAATCAACAGGAGTTAAATATTTCCCCGGCCCTACGTGCTTCCAACTTCCTTTTTCCTTTGTGGGTGCAGAATCCAGATGATCCGTTATCAGTAGTGCTGTGCATTTTTGTACTCGATTATTCCAACTTGGACTTGATTGAATATTCGAATATTTGAAATGCGCTGTACAAGTTTTACATGTACTAGCCTTAAAGGCAAGATACAACAGCTGCAAACATCAAAAGACAAAACTACCGAAATATTATGAAATACCTTACTTAACTGTAATAGTGAGCAATAGTCTCAAGCATCCTGTAAAATCATGGCACCTGGTGTGCCGTCAATTTCAAGAAAAGTGGAATTTTTGTATGCATTTGCAACGATGTTGGGGGTTTGAAACACAGCTGGCTTTTTTCAAATTCTGCTCCAAATTTACCAAATTTAGTTAGTCCACATTTTGTTTGCGATTGGTTACACATCCTTGAAAGGGTGCAAGCCAGCTAGACTGGTTCCCTGACCTTACAATTCCCCGACGTCTATAATTTGCTCCGTTTCATCTGAAGTAGGATCAGGACCAGACTACAAAACAGCATTTTATTTTTTGTTTTTCTATGAGCACAAATCTTTAAACAGGTCCGTGTAACAATATTTGCTATAAAAAGTAATCCCCAAATCCATCCATTTCTGAAAATTACAGCCAGTGCAAATGTTGTATATTCCCTATAGATAAAACTGGCTGTGGAAAAGTGCCATACAGTTTACAAAATTATGTATATACAAAAAATCATGTAACATGTATCAATATTTGTTTTCTAGGTAGCAGAATGGCTGCTGTTTGACAGATTTTAAAGAAGAAATTTGAGCTTATATCTTTAACAGACACTCTCAAATCATGCGAGCATTTGGTAAACTTACACCTGTGTCGTGCTCTGTCTTTTCATGTATGTCTGTCACCTGTCTGTCTGTCCATAGGCTGGGGAACAAAAGCTGCTGCTTCACCCCAGACCTAGATGTTGCCATTTATGCAGTGATGTAGTGCCTTGATGCTGGGCCTTGGCCTTAAGGCTGCCTTAAGGCTGGATTTTAGGGCCTTGGCCTTGGCCTCGAGGCTTGAGGGCAAAAGCCTTGGCCTTGGCCTTGGCCTTGAGGGTTCAGGGCCTTGCAATTTTGAGTCAAGGCTCTTCAAGGCACATAGATTTTGGCATTTTCCAGATAAATCTGTTCGAAATTTTGCTGTTACCATTTTAATCGTATTACCATGGAGGAGGGAAGCACCCTATAGATTTGTGTGTTGGGCACACTTCCACTTTTGTAGCATCATATTGTTACCATTGTAGTAGATTTGCTGCAAAAATATTCCGTACACTTGTGGGGCTAATGAGATGATCACTTTAATTGCATATAACTATGGAATAGATCTGATTGGTTGTATATGTCTCCCTGATAAGTGCTAAAGATTTGCATGTATCTGTTTTAGATAATGCTGATAATAAAAATTTCCCAAATCAGTTTCTTGGATCCCCCTTTTTTTACACTTGGGAGAATTGTGTGTCAATATAGAAGTGAATATTATTTTGTTTAGTTAAACCATATTGAAGACCTGAACTTATACTTAATAGATACAGTGCAGTCATAAAACGGTGTAGGCCTATGCGAGCATGTTGATTGCAATTAAAGAAATGTTGTTCTTCGTAACGAGCAATTCGTGATGATAAAGGCGGATCCAGGGGGGCCAAAAGGGGCCATGCCCCCCCCCCCCCAAAAAAAAACGAAACCATTTTTTTATGTGACGTCGTAATAAAGGCAGGCAATGAGTACACCACCATCTTTTCCTAAAAAAACATCGGTTAAAATGGTCATAAATTGCCTGAAATCGCACCACAGAGCATCTCGAATCCAAAAATGTTTCGGGGCCCTTAAGCGGGCCCCGAAGCCCAAGCCGTAATTTTTTGACCCACTTTTTTGGGGGGGACCAAAATTTCTTTGCCCCCCAAAAAGAATTGTGTTCTGGATCCGCCCTTGTGTGATGATGTGTCACTCATGTGACTATAATTAGTTCTATATCAGTGGTCATTTCATAAAACAGGGCCTTGGCCTTGGCCTTGAGGGTTAAGCCTTGGCCTTGGCCTCGAGGCTTGAGGGTCAAAGCTTTGGCCTTGGCCTTGGCCTTGGCCTTGAGGGTCAAAGCCTTGGACTTGAGGGTCAAAGCCTTTGCTCCAACACTGCATTTATGAATAGCATGACTTATCCCAACAAATTAAAAGAAACAGTGTTCACTGTTATATCAATTGTAAATATACAATCAACCAAAAAAGAAAGTCCCGCCTTAATACTTTTTTTGTCTAACTAAAAAACTACTGGGCACCTCTTGCTCAAAATTTGACTGATCAGTACAGAAATTCCTTAGCAAACCAGCCATACTCTTTGTTTGGCCCAAAACAGTGATAATGTCGTGAATGTGTACAAAATGATGCAATTTAAGACAAATGCTATCGAAAAAAATTGCACTTTTGTATACATGCAAGGTTAGTGTGAACCACAACTTGCACGTATACAAAAGTGCAATTGTTTTCAGTATCATTTGCCATAGATTGCATAATTTTGTACACATTATCACTGTTTTGGGCCAAATATAGAGTATTGCTGGATTGTTAAGGAATTTCTGTACTGATTAGTTGTTATTTGAGCGAGAGGTGCTCAGTAGAGGGTTCAACCCCAAAGTGGAACTTTTCCACATTGTACATATATACACATTATAACCTGCATTCATAAATAACTAGGACTGTTTACCCAGTTGTAAATATATATTCGCAGTGTTTATCACTATTGAATACTTAATGCCCGCAGGAGCTCTGTCTACTTTCGGGCTTGACCAGACGGATCTGGCCCGTGGTCCCATCCTGGCCCATGGTTGGCTGGACATGGACACCGTCAGCCAGGAGAACGGTGAGTTGGAGACCCTGGACACCCTGCGCTCCACCAGCTCCAAGACCCTGGTCAGCCTCGCTGAACAGCAACTGAGAGCCGAGGGGCTGGACCTGAGTTGGAAGGACACCATCCTGCCACTGGCCCAGAGAATCTGCTCATTGGTAGGTCTGTTATGATGCATGTCATTAAGGAGGGTGGTAGAGTCCTAGTGGGGTTGGACCTGAGATGGAAGGAATCATCTTGGCACCGGCCACTAGAAGCTGATCATTGGTAGGTCTGTGATGATGCATATCATTGGGGTAGGGTGGTAAAAATGGGATTTGACCTGAGGTTAAAGGAGACCATCCTACTACTAGCCAAGGGAATCTGCCTATTTGTAGGTATGGTGTGATGATGTTAGTTGGGGGAGGGTAATGGACCAATCCAGCCTGTCAATCAAACAGTGCGTACTGACCAATAAGATTACAACTTTGGGTCAGGTGACTTAACAACAGTTGCCACAGGTGTGTCCGCCATTAAACTCTCTCAAACTCGGTTACATGCGTTGCAAAAAGTGTACGTAAATGAATGGGATCTGTGGAGCCGCGCACGGTATTTTCGACATAAAATGTGGCTACCATCTGTGTACAATTCTTAATAAATGGACAAAATAGGCTGCTGCGGAACATGCGAATCAGACACCAGGTAGGCCTATCAAGGTCAAAGGTCACACACCAAGGTCACTCTTTACAGATAATCTTGAAAGCAGGCAAGATGCATGGTTCAAGCACCATCTTGTTGTGAATTACTCCTATTAAGGAAGTCAAGCTGCTATGAGTCTAAAGTTTCAGAATAGTTGCCATTTTCTTGTTTGAATGCCGGTCCAATTTTACGCTTCTGTTGCTTTACATAGGTCAAACCTGACGTGATGAATGGCGATGACATGGATATCCGCCAGTACGTTCACATCAAGAAGGTTCCAGGCGGTACCAGGGCTGACTGCTTCATGGTCAATGGGACCATCTGTACCAAGAATGTGGCCCACAAGAAGGTAGCTTGAAATGCTCCTCCAGTGACCCCCTCCCCAAAAATATAATGGGAGCAACAAAGCTACTTATAAATTTGAACGAAGTTTTACATTGATAGTAGACATTACTGGGATGGACTTAAAGTGTGGATAAGTTCACATTTAAACATACATGTAGATCATGCAAGTTTCTTTCAGTTTTATGCCCCCTCCCCTTCCCCCCAGTGCCCATCCGGTTCGTTAGTAAAAACATCATACATGTTCACGCACCACTGATTACTAGCGCTCATTGGATAAACACTCAAGCTGCATTAGCTTCCGGTTCCAATGGTTCCAATGCTACTTAATGTGCAGTTGGCGTGGTTTAAACTGAAGTGACGTCACACTAATGAACCGGATCCCCCTAGTTCAAAAGTGAAAAATGTCAAGGTTTTTGTCATCCCTCATTCATCCAGGAAAACATGATGTCCTTGGCCCAAAGCCAAAAAAAAAAAGTCTCCGGTTTCTGGTATGCGCGCGCGTCGCCGTAGCCATGCGTGTCGGCAAAATGAAAAAGTTTTTTTTTTAATGAAAGATGATGTCTCAAAACCGGCAAACTCACTGGTTTGACTGGAATTCTGCTGCTGCGCAATTTCAACGTGTTTTTAGATGGAGTTATGATCGAGAATAAGCTTTATGTGGCCTCTCTGGACTCCCATATATTTGCACTAAGTTTAGTCGGGCACCATGTGCAGTCATCAGCCGACATTTGAAGCAAAAAAGTCGGGTAAAAAAAAAAAAAAGCCGCGTCGCCGCACCACTTTTTGGACAAGCTCCATACCAGAAACCGGAGACTTTTTTTTTTGGGCCTAATGGTGTGTTACAAAAACATATAATATAAGTGTGTTCAATATGTAATAATTTTTGGGTATTTTGTTATGACATATTCTCAGATGTCGGGGCACCTGAGCAATCCCAGAATCCTCTTGCTGCAGACGGCCATTGAGCACCAGCGAGTGGAGAACAAGTTCTCGTCCATCGACCCTATCGTATTACAGGTACAAATCACATGTTGTAATCAAGTCTGTACCAGTCAGAACAAGCCAGTCTACTGTGGTTCAATAGTTAAGGGTTCGACGCATGTGCCATGGTACGTGGGTTCGAACCGTGACGGAAAACATGGTGCTTGTGTTCTTGGGCAAGACACTTTACTACAATTGCCTTTCTCCACCCAGGAGTATTAATGGGTACCTGTCAGTGTATGGGCTCTATGCGTGATCAAGAGAGGGTGCATTTTTACCACCTTCAAGAGCCTAGTGGATGGTACTCACGACCAAATCTATTCTGAATGTTAAAGGGCCCATGCAATGTAATTTGTTAAATGCAGTCCTTGAAAATGCACCTTTGTGTCCCATTTAACCTTATTTTCAATTTTCATTTTGCCATTGTCTGGGTATTTTGGTGCTTTTTTGTTTTTATGCTAATGCAAATGTCCATATTCATGAGGGGCTGAAATTTGGGGCTGAAACCTCAATGTTACAGCTATTTCAGCTCAAAAATTTGCTAGAGATTTTGATATTTTGCAGTTGTAAATTTTCTTTTCTTTGGTGATTCGTTGTTGTGTATTACATGGCCGTTAGCCAATCAATGAGCAAACCATTCTCACAAATGTTTTCAATGAGCAAATTTTGGGTTCAGAGCAGAAAACCCCTAAACCGAACAGTGTCTTCATGAAATGACATCACAGCAACAGGGCTTAATTTGTCTGGAAAAGCATGGACATTTTGTTAAATGTTTAAAGAAGTGCAGTTTTCTATCAAATTAACCCAACAGGGATGTCAATAGTTTTCATACGTTTAAGAGTAGTAGAAAGTTGCACAAATTGTGTTTCTAAGAAAAAAATCATCGCATGGACTCTTCAACAACGACATTACATCACAGAGTATTTTGGTACCATCCCTATCGGTATTTTGAGTTGAATGGTTTTTCTTATATAATGGATTGGTCAGTTTCTTGGTAACTACCAATGTTACTACGTGCCTTTACAACCGAAAACATTTTCTCGATACTGACCGCTCCTCTTTCATTTTCTGTCGTCAGGAACACGAGTACCTCAAGAACTGCGTTTTACGGATCGCCTCTTTGAAGCCAGATATTCTGATCGTTGAGAAGACCGTAGCGCGACTGGCTCAGATGTTTCTCCTCCATAGTGGCATCACGTTGGTTCTTAACGTCAAATCTGTGAGTTATCGGCCTTAAGCCCAATTTTAGTTATCTATTCTGTGCTAACTGTGCTTTGCTTGCTAGACATGAGGCTGAGCGATTGCAGTTCTCAGTAGTGGGACGTGTGGGCAGGCCCTACACACGGTACGCATGCGCAACGCGGAGGTAATATATATGCAACGCGGTTTATGTAAGGTAAATGAGCGTAATCATTCGCATGTGAAACCTGTCTATTAAATACTAACCCCGTTGTTGTTTTTGGTTTGGCAGTCTGTCATGGATCGCTTGAGTCGTTGCACAGAGGTCAGTGTGATTCGGTCCATTGACCAGGTCAACCAGACCACACCCATGGGTCATTGCCTCATGTTCCGTCTTCAGAGATATGAACTACCCAAAGGTAACAATCAGTCTTTGGATAAAGACATATTTGACAGACCCAAAGGGCCAGCCTGACTGACTGAGTCACTGACTGATTAACTGAATCGCCAAGTGTACATAATGTCCTAATAAACTGAGACTTTGAGGTTCTGCTCAACTAGACCAACCTGGGGCGTGTTTTCGCGACCGTGACCAGAAACATGTTTTGTGACGTCAAATTGATAACCAGAAACATGTTTACACATGCGCACAAAAACACTAAACCAAAAACCGTGTCAAAAAGTTATAAACAAACATAGCGGACATTTTGACACCATCGATTAGTTTTAGGTGTTCGCGGCCAGTCCTGACGAAGTTTGGAATAATACCTTGTGGGCTTGCAAACTTATGTACGCATTAAAAGTAAGCATTGCAAGCTTATTTTTCCCAACACTGTATTTTTACATCTTGAAATGCACTCCGTAACCGACCCTTGCCTTTGGTTCGGTTTTGCTCGGAACCTTGACATCACTCCAGCCAACCGCAGTCACGGAAAACACTCACAGAACACGCTCAACCAATGACCAAAGCCTGGTCACTGTCGCAAAAAAACGCCCCTGGTCTTGTTAACGTAAGCTTAGTGTATTCTACAATATCCTGTAATTGGTGAATTTGAAAGTGGTCTTAGTATGGGAACTTGTGAAGATGTAGGCTTCTCGCAAAAACCAGGTAATATACAACATTTGCTTTTGCTACCGCCACTGCAGTAGGCAAGCGTTTGGTTAGCAATCATGTCGTGCGTTGCAAACTAGACAGTAGGGCTTATTTTCATGTAAAATAACCGTGAATTCTTTATCAAATGGCATAATGATCACTACCTGTGCTGTGCACGGTTGTCATAATCATGCCAACCCAGCACTGGGTGTTTGCTCTGCATTTTTTCCCCAGTTTTGTCACCCATAACAGCTTTGAAGGTTGCCTACTACCTACTTTGCGCGGCTCTACACAACCTTGCCTACCACAATGGTGACACTGACTTTCCGGTACCGGGATGTAGGCTGGGTCGTTAGAGATACTCTTTTTTGGGCATGGCCCTTTTACTGTCATTTGTTTTTGGATTTGGGCAGGTTTTTCCAAGACACTGATGTTCTTTGAGGGTTGCCCCAGCCACCTTGGTTGCTCCGTGGTCCTGAGAGGTGGAGAGCATGAACAGCTTACTAAGGTAACTGCTTAAAGCAGACAGTAATTGCTAAGCAGATTTGTGCGCTAAGCAAAAAATGAGCTGAAGATCAGTTACAAGCAATCCCACATTGTACATGTCATCGCATCATTGCAATAAGGTCGTGGCTCCTAAAATGACATAAACCCAAAATGCAAAGTCAATGGACGTCGAGATATGACTTTGTTGCACGGAGCGTATTTGCGCGAGATATGAATTTGTTGCAGAATCGAGTTACTATCTTGCACTGACGCAATGATGTAAGAAAGTAACCAGTTAAAGCAAAATTTTGTTTAGATTGCCAAATATGTGCCAAGTGTGAAATCAGCCTGTGGTCTCAAAGATGTCAGGCTTTGCTTTGTATTTTTTTCCTGTGTTGTAGTCGAATACATCACAAGTCCTTACAAGTTCATCACAAGTCCTCCAGGCTCAAGTCAAGTCACAAGCTATTCATGTGAACTTTGACAAAAGTATTCCTTTGTTTATGTTACATCCCTGTTACCTGTGACTGGACCCGTGAAAGGGCTTGTGATTTACATTTAACCAGACTTACAAAGGACTTATGATAGACTTGACTGCAACACTGTCGATTATGTTGTATATTCTTGCTTTTCACTTCAGAGCTTCGAGGAAATGTGGGAAAGGGTTTAAACTTGGTGTTTTTTTTCAAATGCTTAATTTTGCAAGAACTTTTTTTGGCTTTCATATGTGTGGAAACTTTCATTACTTTCCAGGTGAAGCGGGTTCTGAATCTCATGATCTATGCCAGCTACCATTCCCGTCTTGAGATCTCCTTCTTGATGGATGAGTTTGCCAAGCCACCATCTCATTCGCAGGAGGCTGACTCCAAAACAGTTATCTCACCAGATGCCAGCTCAATCATCACCCCGACCATGGGAGCCTCGGAAAGCATCAGCGAGGGCCTGGCCTCTGTCCAGGATGGACTGGCTGATGGAGTGGACGGCGATCAAGTAGACATCGTCAGCGAGCAGGCTTGGGCCGAGGAGCAAGAGTTGAAGGAGGAAGCAGACGGAGGGAAGTTGGGATTCCGTGCCACCATGTCCTCCATGAAGAAGCGCATCCAGGCCACCGTGGCCAGCGTGAAGGCCCATGCCCACCCGGACGCTGAGCAGGAGCTGGTGAGCAGTCGCAACGGTGTCTTGGATGCTTGCAGAGACATTGAGACGTCAAAGGAAGCCACTGAGGTAGACACTCTGGAGAGAGACACTCAAGAAACTTGTCTTACAGAGGACCGTGGTGGAGACTCTACTGAGAGGACCGAGGAATCCGTCGAAGAAGGAAAACTTGAGCCGGAACAGATGACTGCAAATCGCCTGACAAAACCTACCCCCGGGGATTATTCTGAACAGGCAGAATCCTCAAGTGGCTTAACAAAGCCAGTTGAGTTGTCAGCAAACTGCGATCCACCTGCGGAGAGTCTGATGAAAGAAGCGAACCGACATTCTCAGGGGTCAGTGCCTGAATTTGACCACGAAGCAATGACCAAAGAGATTGAGTCCAAATTCCTGGAGCAGAGGAGGCACAAGCTCATCTCGGAAGACAGCACATCGATAGGAAGCCATGAGGACATTGCCATCATGTCCCCACAGCCCGTGGTTAAGACCAAGTCCCATTTCTCCACTGCATTGGAAGAGGTCCTGCTGTCCATTTCCCCTCTCATTAAATTCAGCCTACCGTACTTGGAGACCAAAGCGGGCAAAGAGTCACGCCTCCGATGTTTTTTCAAATCGAAGGATCTCTACTTGTCGCCGAAGCTGTACCCACCGTCAGATCCTAAAAGCTCAGAACATGGAGACAGTACAACCAATACAGTTGGCGGAGACCTGGCATATCATCATCATCTGATTTACACCAACGTAGACCGCTGCAGCCGCACCTCCGATGCCGTCATCATCAAGCCACCGCATCCTTTAACGTTCTCACAGCTGACAGAAGACGCAAAAGACGAGACCACGCGAAGTCTCCTGGCCGACTTCCGGGCCCGCGGAGGCCGGATCCTCCAGAGACCTGCGGTGGCTCCTCATTCCATGCAGCGGCAACTGACAGAAGCTCAGTCCAACGCCAGGGACAGTGCGGAGATGGCCTACCGTCGCCGGCTGGACTGCCTGGATATCTACAACCACCAGCGGATGCTGCTGCAGTTCTGCAGCTACTCGCACCTCTCCAGTAACGCTCCCAACCACTGCGTTGACCCCTGGACAGTCAACATGGATTTCTACAGCAGCAGACACGATCTGACCCTTGGAGAATTTCTGGAGAGATACTGCTTCAGGTATAATTCATCAACACTCTTGATTTTATAGCTCACCAGATTCAAACACTGAAATACTGAATGGTTTGCTGGATGCAGTATTTGAAATACTGATACTGAAAGGTTTCTCCCAAAGGATGGGTTTTTTGGGATGAGTATTTGAAAGATTTCATTTTACTCAATGGCTGTTTCCATTGCTTTCTATGTTGCAATAGTTTTCTGTATGCATTGCATTAATTAGTCATTTGAGCGATTAAATTCCAAATGAATATTGCAAACTGAAAATTGAAATTGGGAAATGTTGCTAATTTCCTGTAGAAATGTCTACATTCTGAACTATCTACAATGATGTCACTTTTTAACCCGCCAATGCAGACATACCGGTACATTTTGTCTAAAGTTTTCCTTTCAGTCAAAATCAATCAAGTGACTGTTTTCAACAGTTAAGAGCTCCCAGCCTACATAGAGTAGGATTGACTGGCTTTGACTGTTTATGTACCTTGACGCAGCTATGATTTGACTATATGTGATTGATAAGCCAGCTGTGCCTACCACTTGCCTGTTTTTATCTGTTGATTGAATTTGACTAGTCACAGTGCTTGTTTGAAATATGATCTAACTGTTAGTGACTAGCCTGTGTAAATGGCATGGCAGGGGGAGAGGATTTATTTTTTTGACTGTCTATGACTGTTTAGACAGCAGGAGGGTTAGGACCTGATAGTTGGATAACTGGATAATGTACATGTAGCTCTAGAATATTGGTTTTTATGATGTCTCCTTTGCTAACACATTCAAATTCATAAAACAATGGTAGTGTCATGTGTGAATTAGTGGAGATTTGTGGGGAGTGTGGCCTTAGGGCTTGTGAACTCATATTAAGAGAATCATGGGTTCGAATTGAGTTGCCGGCCATATGTTGTGTCCTTGGGCAAGCCACTTCACCCAAATGCACATGTACCTCTCTCCACCCAAAAGTATAGATGGGTACCGGCATTAGCTGGGGAGTAACCTGTGATGGACCAGCATCCCATCCAGGGGGAATAGAAATATTCTCAGCCAATGTCTTGCAGTGGACTAGTTACCCATCCCAACCCTATTCGGACTGTGAAGAGATTTGATTATCTTGTCTTGTTTCAGTGTGAGGGGCTGGTTCTTCCACACTTCGAGCCCACATCTCGAGTGGCCTTTGGCCTTGTGATGGGTGAATTTGCATTAAAAAAAAAAATTCATGCCACTGAAACTGAAGATGAACGCCAGCCTGATGAGCCATATTGGCTCATGACAGACTTTACTACAGTCGTACCTCGTTAATAAGTGGTCCTTCCAACTTTGCAGATCACCTTGTAATAACAGGAATCTTGTATTATCAGGAATGAAAACAATGAAGAACAAAGGATTGGGACCTATAAATGTGATTGTTATAAGCAAAATGTTGTATTAACAGTGCTCTTATTAACGAGGTTCAACTGTAGTTTACTTTGCTTATCCAAATTCATGTAAAAAGTGGGACAGGAAACGAACTTTCATGCTCGATGTAAAAATTGGTTTGTGAAGTAGTGGAGGTTTGTGGTGACAACGTCTGACAGTAAAACTCTTTTGTGAGTTATGCATGGAAGTTTCACCCATTGCCAAACTTAAGTCATCTCCAAATTTGGGATTGCCATATTTTGTCTCCAGCACCAAATACAAGTGCCCCAACGAGCTGTGCGATGCAGAAATGGTGGACCACGTTCGTCGGTTCGTCCATGGCAACGCCTCGCTCCACGTCCTCCTGCGCAACCTGGAGAGCCCCATCCCAGGATTCACGGACAAGATCCTGATGTGGAGCTGGTGTCGCAAGTGCAGACAGGTACATAGATAATTTACTTGTTGACTGCTGTGATGTGGGACATGGGGTTGAATTCACAAAGCCCTAGGATTTCAGCACTTAGTTACTTGATTAAAAAAAAAATCAAGAAACTTACCATGAGTTTAGTTCATCCTAAAGTTTAAATGAATTTCTTGGTCATCGTGACATGAGAAATTTCAAAGCGTCTTTTCATACCAATAAAATCAATTTAACGAGCCAAAAACCTAGATGTAAGGTATCAAGTTCATAAATTGAAGGTACATAAAAAGAAAAGTAATTTACCAAAAAAGATAAACTTGCAATTTCAACGTTTGTAAACAAAAGTATGAATTATACTCGTATTGAAGTTCATGCTTTACTGTTTCCACTTTGGAGCATTACAGTACGGCAGAAGGTCATTATAACGAGCATGATAGGGTCCATAAAATGTTGTTCCGAATAACGGTCGCTCATTAACCCTCCTATGCAAAACATACATTCTGTGCCAAGTAGTCCTTTCAGTCAAAATCAGTCAAGTGACTGTTTTCAACAGTTACAAATTCCCACCCCATATAAAGCAGGATTGACTGGCTGTGACTGTTTATGTAACTTGATACAGCTATGCTTTGACTCTTGGTGATTGATAAGCCAGCTTGGTGATTGATAAAACACTTCTCATGTTTGAGCACGGAGCTCATTGTCATGTAACAAAAATAACCATCGCGGTTGGTACGGCATGGTTTCAAACTGCAGTAATAAACCAGTTCGATATTCAACTGCGCATGTGCACAACGATATGGATCAGGGGTCATTCTGGATAATCGAACACTCATCGAAGGTGCATTAACGCGCACGGACCCAGGCGCATGATGCTCAGGTGTTAATTACAAGCAGAATGGGCGGCCGCGTAACATTGCGTATCATCACGTCAGGGATTTTATCGCGAATGATCTTTGACATGGACTACATCATCAAGGTACCAACCTGGCTCATTGTGAACAACAAATCCTGTAATGATAATGATCCTCTCATTGCCTCTAAGTGTCTTCCTTCTCTTAGTTGATACTTTCCTTACCTTTCTGTTTCAGGTTACCCCCGTCCAGCCCATGTCCCTAGACAGCTGGCATATGTCCTTCGGCAAGTACCTTGAGCTCCGCTTCCACTGTAAGGACTACGGTCGTCGGCTGAGTGCCCTACCCTGCGGCCACTCCTTACACCGCCATCACTACCAGTACTTTGGACAGCACAATATCGTGGCTTCCTTTAAGTAAGTTTTCAATTAACAAAATCTCCTTACGAGGATCACACCCAGCCACACCCTTAACACCTCTGAGTATTAAGCTTTCTCTTGTTCCTGTCTTCCACGGTAGACACAGCCCCACCCTTCTGAAGAAAGGCTATCTACTGCCACTGCGTCTTCACATCCAGCCAGCCCTCCAGCTACATAAGTCTGCCAACTACCTCTTGGCATCCAGCAAGCGGTCTAGCCACACTCAGCCACACCCTTAACCACCTTGTATTAACCCTTTCTCTTGTTCCTTACTTCTGTGGCAGATACAATGCTTTACTTACAGAAGTCTGCTCACTGCCCCTACCTCTCAGCATCCAGCAAGTGGTCTAGCCACACCCTAAACCACTTACTGGTATTAACCCCGTCTCTTGTTTCTGTCATCCATGGTAGATACAGCCCATCATCCTGAGGGAAGTCTGCTTAAGACCCCTGCCTCTCAGCATCCAGCAAACCTGTTTTTCACACCCTGCCACATTCAGCCACAACCTTAACCGCCTTCTGGTATTCACCCTTTCCCTTGTTTCTGTCTTCCATGGTAGATACAGCCCATCCTTCTGAGGGAATTCTGCCTGACGCCCTTACCTCTCGGCATCCAGCAAACCCTTTGGTCACACAGCCACTCCCTAAACCACCTCATTGTATTAACAATTTCTTTTGTTCCCGTCTTCCGTGGTAGATACACAAATGTACAACCCAACATCCTGAGGAAAGTCTGCCTACTACCCCTACCTCTCAGAATCTAGCAAGCATTCTAGCCACACCCAGTCACACCCAGCTACTCAATAAACCACCCACATGTATGAAACCTTTCCCTTGTTTCTACTGTGGTTACAGCCTCATCATCCTAATGGAAGTCTGCCTGCCACCCCTGCCTCTCAGCATCCAGCAAGCTGTCTAGCCACATCCAGCCACACTCAGCCTCTCACTAAACCACCCATGCATTAACCCTTTCTTTTGTTCCAGTTTTCCATTTTAGATCCAGACCTATCCTTCTGAGGGAAGTCTGCTTACTGCCACACCCGGCCCCACCCAGCCGCACCCTTAACCACCTCCTTGTTTTTACCCTTTCTCTTGTTCCCTGGAGTTTTCCTTGGTAGATACAGACCCATCCTTCTGAGGGAAGTCTGCCTACTGCCACACCCAGCCTCACCAAGCCACACCCAGCCGCACCCATTAACTCTTTCTCTTGTTCCTGTTTTTCACGGCAGATACAGCCCCATCCTCCTGAGAGAAGTCTGTCTGCCGCCCCTGCCTCTCAGCATCCAGCAAGCCTTCCGGTCACACCCAGCCTCAGCTGAAGAATTCAAGAACGTGTCTGCCATGTAAGTACATTATCGTTACAAACCTCACAAAATGAGAAAAGAAAATATGTAAAATCACGATGCTAGCAACATTATGGCCTGTCTCAATTCATATGCGGGACGAGTGCCGGACATTGTATCGGGTTCATGTTGCCAGATTGTGAACAACGTCCCCGCAATCTCCGGGCAATGAAGTTATCAGTATTGGTGAGTCAAGTAGTTGCTAATGAGAATTTCCCCGGAACATGTCCGGTACAAATGCAGAGCTTCTTCTGCACAAAGTTAACAATTCTACCCAAAACATGTCCATGACCTGTCTTCTTCTTCTTCCAAGAAAGTACATCTCTCTTAGAATCTAGAGCTCCAGAGGATTATCATACTGGATACGGTGCAAAAGTTGCAATGCAGGAACAAAATTTCACAAAAAGATAAACACGGAAAAAGTGATGACAAACTGCAAGTAAAAAGACAAGGGGGCTGAATTAACGCAGGGACAATGGGCTCAGCTGGTTCTGGAAGGCCTCCAGTGATGGGGCGGACACAACTGAGACGGGTACAGTGGAACGCCGCTATAACGAACATCGTGGGATCCACAGAAAGTGTTCATAATAACGATCGTTCGGTATAGCGATTTTGAACCGCCAGTACCCTCTTTTGACCAATAGTGAAGTCACTGAACTGGCATTTCTCACATCCCGCCGCCGCAAGAGCATTCAGCATTCAAACACGATGTAAGCATGGGTGGTTTGATGTTCGGGAATTAAAAGTGGCCCAAACAGTGTTTAATACATGTACAATCGATAGGTTTTTTTGTTAATCTGTTGACATTTTTCAACAACGATGTTCAGTACGTTTTGTACCTTGTAACCAGGAGCCAAGGATGATGTTCGGTATTGCCGAATGTTCAGTATAGCGGTGTTCGGTATAGCGGCGTTCCACTGTAGTACATTCCACAGGCATATGACGCTTGGGAAGAAAGTGTTTTGGTATGATTGGATTCTGCAGTGTTGTCTGAATTGTTGAGAGTGACCTGATGTGAAACTGGTAGTAGGGAAAAGATACGGTGGCTGCATGGGATGGCCACAAGTCCATGGACGATTCTGAAGAGCATGATGACCTTGTTGTGGGCACGACGTTCACACAGAGTTTGCCATTTTAGGTGAACTGAGACGGGCCCTTAGCAACTCTGTATACCCGGGAAATAGCACTCTGGAATCACCTTATTTATATTTTTGTTTATTAATATCAGGGGTGCCCAGCTGTTAAAGGAGATCCTGGTAAAGATTGATACGCTGACAGGGATGAATGGGGCCAACCCTCAGGCACAGCAGTATTTCGAGCAGAGGAATGCTGAGTTTACTTCCAAGCATCAGGTACTTCACTTAAAGCCATGTAGGATCATTTGCAATTAAATTCAAACATAACAAGGCAGCTCCATTTTTAAGGTTTTTTTTATGGCGAAAAAGCCATATTTTTTCTTCTGATTTGTTTCTTCTTCTTTCTTTCTTTCTTCTTGTTCTATCCCAAAACCCATAGACTTTGCACACAAATTTTCTAGGCGGTATTTTTGACAGCTTTCATGTTCAGATCTTGATCAAACTTTACAGTATCAATGACCATATAGTCCCCTTTGTGACTGATTGACTGACTGACTGTCACGTGTGAATTAGTTTGAAATTTCACTTTTGAAAAGTTTTGAAATTGGAATAACCTGCGACACTAATGAATGGGCCCAATCCGGCCCATTGTGTAGACCAGATGCAAGAAACGACGTCCAGTAAATAGTCATTCGGAATTAATTGAATAGAATTTGTGTGCACTCTGGGACCTGCTTCACCGGTTTTGTCTCGTCTTGTTTCCGTCAATCATTCCATTTGTCTCATCAGGTGGACAATCACAAGTTTTGGCAGAATGCCAAGGATTTGCAGAGCAAGATCACCACCTTGGCTAGCCTCATGTCTGCGGTGGATCAGCAGCCGGCAGATATTGTCAACACCCAGCTGGATATTGAAGACAGTGTGGTCAGTCTCAAGCACATTCTGTGCCAGATTGCCTTCAGCTGGAATAACAGGTGAGAAGAATACAATTTTAGGCACACAGATGTTTTCGCTAAAGGCAGTTGCCAAGATTCGTAAAAATATCAAAATGACTTGTCAAATTACTCTGAAATAGCTTACTTTGTTGTAAGTAAATATAAAGTAACAAGCATCCTGTGAAATCATAGCACCTGGTATGTTGTCATGTTTAAGACAATAGGAATTTTGTATCATTTTTTCCAATGATCACCTGGCCGGATCATTGTTTTCTTTAAAGGGCCCATAACGTGCATTTTACTGGGGAACACATTTAGTGTAACTTTCTATTCCTCATAAACGTATGAAAACTATTTGACATCCCTTTTTTGTTAATCTTATTGAAAAGTGTACTTTTTTAAACATTTAACATTTAAAATTGTCCATGCTTTCCTGGCAAATGAGGGCGCTGTTGCTGTGATGTCATTTCAGGAAGACACTGTTCAGTTGAGGATTTTCTGTTCAAATTATGAACCCAAAATCTGCACAATGAATACTGTGAGAAAACGTTACTCATTAGCCTTCTGTTATGTACTGAAACAACAACGAATCACCAAAGAAAAGTTTACGACAGCAAAATATTCAAAAGTTTGGCAATTTTGGTTCTGGAATAGCTGAAACATTGAGGTTTCTGCCTGACATGACATCACACTTTTACTCATGAATACACAAGTTGGAATCAGCATAACAACCAAAAATGCACAAAAATGTCCTGAACAATAGCAAAATGAACATTGAAAATAGGGTTGAATGGGACACAACGGTGCATTTACGAGGACTGCATTAGAATAATTACATTACATGGGCCCATTTATACCTCATCCATTAACGGGTGAAAGCCAGCTAATGACCTCATGTGTACCCTTGGTTATGCAAGCACATGTATGTACATTTTTCCATGACACAGGCACGGCCTATGTCCTATGGGTTTTATGCACGACAAGCTTTAACGTAGAATATTAAGAATGAACAGTTTTTCTTGTTTTCTGGCACCAAATGAAACAAAACATTAATCAGGTCAGTGGTGTGATGCATGCTGACATGTTGACTTGTGATTGGCCTGTAAATTATTGAGTAATTGACCTGTGATTGATTTGTGATCGATCTGTATCGACCTGCAGGTTCAGCGAGTTTGTTCAGCAAGAGAAAGAGCGAGCAAAGAAGAAAAACAGCCCGTCTGTTACCCGCCAAAACACTCCCATCACAGAAAAAGATGGTCCCATGTCTATATCAGCTGCTGCCGCTGTCAGAGATATAGACCAGGTAAGTGATAGTTCTAATAGTTTTACTATACCACTCAAAACAGGCAGTGTTCTTATGATATTGACTTCCAACAGTCAATATTTGTATAATATTGACTGTTTTTGAGTGGCATAGTAAAACTAGCATCTCATGGTTTCCATTGAACATTCTATTTTCCATAGGCAAAGCCAAGTGCAAATAGAAAACTCAGTGGATCAGTAAGGGAGGCTAATTTAACTGTACTACTCGAAGCAGTCAGTACTTGTACTGTGAGTTAAAGCAGTCAATATTTGTTTTTGAACACCTTAAACACGGCGTTTGCTTCTTTTTCTTTCTTTTATATTTAAGGCACATATCCACCATTATTGGTGCTCCAGGCGCTACATCATTTTTACCCTGCTCATTGGGCCAATGAAACATTCCAAAGACAATCTCAGCTCCCTGGGGAGTATACAGCTCGATGCTGCCATTTTGGCACAAAGCACCTAAAATCATCCACAGTAATCATCTCTGCCCTCACAGGTACCCCTTTACTCTTGGGTGGAGAGAAGCAATGAGTGACAAAGTGCCTTTCCCAACGGCAAGGTATACCGTTAGCTTGGTGGTCAAGTGGTAAGACATCTGCACTAGAAAGCAGGAGGTCGTGGGTTCGAGTCCCACCAGAGTGATTTCTTTCCATCTTTCACTCGGGAGGTAAAACACTGAGGATACAGTGTTTAAACGTCGGTGAAGGGCAAAACCTAATTTGAAGCATTATTAAGGTAATTGTACCAGTATTTAACTGTATGAGTTTGAAGTTTTTCAACAAAGGGGTCTGGCAACACTGCATGAGGAAAGTCAAGGGAAAGGTCGAAGTGCGCCACGTTAGGGAACTCCACTTTATTGAAGTGTCTTAAGACTTTAATACCTCAATCTGCACCTTACATTTGTGCAGTGTTGCATATTCTGGCTGCTGTTTTTGACAATTTCCTAGTTTAATTTTTTACATTCTATCAATTTTGTTCAAACATCACTTTCAGTTGTCACCGCATGCCGGCACCCCTCCCAGATCACCCAATCGGTCGTTACCCACCACCCCCAGAGACAACTCCCCGTCCACACCCCTGGGCGCCTCCCTACCGGTCACCATACCGCAAGCCATGTGGCACAGTGTCCCCACCCCCCTGGAGGTACAGAAAGAAGAGAGCTTTGGCAGCGTTGACGATGGGACCTTAGGATCGTCACACTCACGCGAGGGTAGCGACAGTAAGTCCAATCAAACAGCTTCCTTATTTCTTCCTTCCAGTCTGACTACATGTATTTTTCCATTTCCACCGTTGTTCTAGTGATGTCCTTTTCCAAATCCTCAAGTATAGGGCTCTCTAAGGACTGGGCCTACATCCGTATACCAGAAAGTCAGCGTCGCCATTGTAGTAGGCAAAGATCGCGCACCGCGCAGTAGGTACCGGTAGTAGGCAAGCCTTCACATCTGTGATGCATGGCACAAACTGTTAGAAAAACACAGAGCCAACAGCCAGTGCTGGGTCGGCACGATTATGACAACCGTACACGGCACAGGTAGTGACAATTATGCCATTTGATAAAGAATTTGTGGAGCCAACACCCAGTGCTGGGTCGGCATGATGACGACAACTGTACATGGCACAGGTAGTGACCATTATGCCAATGGATAAAGGATTTGTGGTTATTCTACGTGAAAATAAGCCATACTGTCTAGTTTATAACACACGGCGTGGTTGCTAACCAAACGCTTGCCTACTGCAATGGTGGCCAATCACAGGGAAACCGGATGGTCACATGGTACTTTGACGTCATGCGATTGGAGCCTATATTGATAGAAAGTTGTCATGGGCTCCATGCACACGTCCCCCTGACTCTAATACAAAGAGAGTTAAGTTCTCTTGTTTGGAATGCTTGATCATTTTCAGTGTACCTTTTTGTTAAAAAACACCACGCTGTTTAGTTCTTAGGTTTTATTCAACTGCACTACTTCCATTTCTAGTACACTTGTCAGACGTTGAAAAGGACCTGGTTGGAACACTGCATTCTACATGCTTGCACTGTAACTCATTCTTGTGTGTGGGGCCCCTTAACCTTGTTGGTGATTGTTATTGACAACACACATACATTTTGTGACATAGTTGAAGCTCAAATTGCTTTTTCATGGATTAGCTAAGGGGCCATCCATTATAATCAACACTTTCAAGAGGGTACGAAATGTGGGGGGGGGGGGGGGTGTTAACGACCCATGTACGCTTTAGAAATTTTCTAAAAATGTCGATCAATATTTTTGGTTCAGTATTTTTGTTTGTAATGGGCTTTCAGATCGTCTTTCATAAAAACCCCGATACCAGCCTACGGTGAAAAACATACGTGATGCACCCCTTTTCAGCCACCACTGTTGTAGCGATGAATTTCCATGCGTGTGCGCGCAGGACAAGCGCCTCATGTGCTTGATCTATCTTCAAGATGCTAATCCATAACTAATCGCGGCGCTATGAATGAACTGTTTGTTTCAGGATATCTTTGAAAATCAACATTTCTTTTTAAAGTACTCTTTCAGAGGGGGTAAGGGGTCTGCCAAAAGAGTATATTTGGAAACGCTACGTTACGGATGACCCCTAACACTATGTCTGTTTTCAAGCTGATTGTTTTAGATATCACAAAGGTTACATTACGCGTTATGCTAAACACGTACAGCAACGCGTACTGAAAATTATGCGTTTCCCCTTTTGTGTGTGCTTAAAAAAATTAAAGTAAGGGTTTAGAGAGTCAATGTACATAAATCTTTTTTTTTTAATGCTGAAATCCTCTAAGGCCTGTTGATTATGACAGTAGATACGTGGCCTCTAATGAAATTTCAGCACAAGTCTTTAACGTTTTGCACGAGTGAGAAATACAGGATTTTCCCCTTCCTTTCTTCATGTATTGAACACCGAAATCACTTCTTTGGCATTGTGTACGGCAAGCCAGCAGTTGACGTTTGTTGTTGGTGCACATGTATGTGACTTGTTAATGCGCATATTCATGACATAATACGAGTCCTAGTCATACATTTTCTTTCAAAATCTTGTAACTTAACCCTAACCACCCTGAATCCTTCAAAATCCTCTTTGCCAAATTCGAGGAATTTGGAGGATTGAGGTTACATGGCAAATGTGCGTTACTGATTTCTTAGGATGCACTTTGTCAAGGTCTTGGGCCAGACCTTGTGTTGTTTTTGCTCAGCCACGCATAAATAAAGGCCTGGATTATGCTTGAAATCCTCTGTACTGCTCCAGGATGTCACTGGCCAAGCCTCAACATATTGACCGTCACTGCCGCAGGATTTTGCAGGATTCAGGCAGTGGTCACCTCTCCACAGACCATATTTAAGAAATAACGGAGGAATTTGCAGGATTGAGGCTACATGCTATTTTTCCATGAGGCCAATTGGAGGATTTTGCAGGATTGAGGCTACATCCTAGCACAAAGGCCTAGGGAGTTAGGGTTTTTAAACTTGTTATTCTTGTGAATATACATCTGAAGCAACCGTCTAGTTTATAAACACAGATGTGTGCAAAAAGGTTTAGTACTTCACTGACAACTTCCACTTGCTGCAATATTTTTTTTCTCCAAAACGTAACCTTTTTCTTTCACTGTTGGCTTAAAAAATGCATTGATACACCTTTTCCAGCAAGCATTGTCCAAATATTTTTTCAATGTTTTTTGTTTTTTTTGGAAGCTATAAAAATGTTGTTTTGCTGACTTTGGTAAAGTGAAAGTTTGTAAAGTATTATTTTGAAAAGGCATTTTTTCCTCTTATATCACCTTTTGATGTTTTCTTGTGTTTATTTATCAACTTGACTTTGTTCATTGGTTCATCAGGTTTACTAATAAGCGTCACCTCAGTAAAAAAAAAAAATATAATTTTGTTTGCACAAATGTGCAATTTTTTTTAAGCTGAGTTATAAGAGCAATTAATTCTGATCATATACTGTTAACATAAAAACTTGTAACTAAAATGGTTTATAAACATAGATTTGCTTGCTTTTGATTTGGACTTGGATTTTTTTTAAAAATCTCTCTACATTAAGTTTCTCTAATTAAAAAAGAAAAACGGGAAAAATTTAAAAAAATAATATCTAAATTAAAGATAGCTTTTTTGAACAATTTGAATATCTTGGAATTTTTTCATGAATTCTTTAGTTTGTACACTGTATATATGGATAAATGTTGGCGTAAACCAATAAATCATTTACCACTCATTTTTCAGCTGATCATAACCAACAGCTTAAAAAAAAATATGTTTTGTTATTGTACTGAGTTGACATCTAACTAACAGCTAACATGCACCTTTCCTTTTTATGGTTTTGTTTGTCTTTTTTCTTTTGGTGTTCATTTATCACAGTCACTGCCATCCCACCTTCCCTAGCCTATCTTGACCACCTCGGTCTGCAAAAAATGCCCAATTATGGGATATCACCGGGGCTGTACGCTGGCCTGGCCTACAAGCCACCGAATGAGCCAGCTGACACCGTAAACACCGATAATGAGCTTCTTGTCATTGAGATGCCCGCCAAAGAAGACTCAGAACCAGGTCTTATAAAACAAAAAAAATCAAAATCCCCAAAATCGTTAATTTTGTTTTTCGGGGAAGCTGACTAGGTGCATTGGGGCGTCCCTTTTTAATTCTATGTTCTCATTTCCAACCGACCCTTTTTCTTTGGCTCCCGACCAAAGGCAATTAATCCTTTTTTTCATGCCCCCAACCCTGTCCTGAATTTCTTACCTAGAAAAAGAAGTAAAGAAATAAGGGTAATCTGTCCAATTTTGTGGGGAAAAAAGCGCCAAAGTAATGTCCAATATTTTGCGTGCATGCATTCACAATGGCGCGGTATGGATTGAGCGCAGGTACTGTGCTAGCCTTTCGCCAAGGCCATCGTGGCTTAGAGCGGCGGAGTTGCGAAGACCCGAAGCGACTGGAGCAAAGATTAAGTCAGCACGCACGAGTGGCGTTTTCGCCGCTTTGTCTAATGCGAGCAAGTTAAGCCACGATGGCCTTGGTGAAAGGCTAGTACTGTGCCAGCGCTATGCTTTGTGTGAGCACTACATGTACGATGTTTGCTGGTCCTCACCACCCTGTTGCATGCTGTTGGGAACAAGCGCTGCATACTGCTTTGGGGGCAACGGGTATTTAACTTGTTCAAGTCCTTACAGCACTTTATTTGTCATCGACGTGTCAGTGAAGTTGCAAGTAAAGTAATAAACAACCTTTTTAAGTTAACAAAAAATGAAGCTATTTCAGAACAAGACAGTCATATATTCAACAGTTTGCATCAATTTATGCAGCCTTTTGTGCATTCAACATGTACTTTTTTTTACCCAGATTTTTTTCAACCGCCCGACTGACCCTCCTTCAAGGCCAAAAACATATGAGAACCATAGAATTAAAAAGGTTGCCCTGATAGTAATTCTAAACTTGAGCAAAGAAATAGACTGGAGTTAGGTTTGAGTTGAACCTGCAACCTCCTGTTTCAACCCGGCTGCAGTCAAGTTCTTTGTTCAAGTGTAGCATTTTGTTTTTGCTGATTTTTGTGGCTAAAAACGCACTTGTTCCTTTGCGGCCCAGCTTTGTAAGAATGAAATAGAAAATTGTGGCTTGCCAAAGAAATAATTTGTTTTTAGCAGCACAAAGCTTGATGGATATTTTTGGAGTGATATTTGTTTTTAAATTGAAGTAAGAGAAACACTTTATTGTCAAGATAGTTGTTCACTGAATTACATTACTGTGAAATATGAAAAGCCAAGTAACAGGAACAATTTAAAGAGGTTGTGGAATGCTCGAAGACATTTCCGTCATTTTTTGGGTATATGTAGCCTAAGGTGTATTATGAAATAAAAACGACTTTTATTTCTGTCATGAAATGAGTACAAAGGTTACTTTTGAGCTATTTTCAGGTCCTGTTTCGACCCGAACGTGCAATTTGTGTAAAAGTTGTCGTTGCGGGCAGCAAACAAAACACACTAAATCGTGACGTAATAAACAGGACTCGTTTATGCTACTCTGCATCGGGAGTCCTGTTTATTACGTCACGATTTACTGTGTTTTGTTTGCTGCCCGCAACGACGACTTTTACACAAATTGCACGTTGAGGTCGAAACAGGCATGACAGGACTTGAAAAACAGCTCTCAAAAGTACCTTTTGTACTCATTTTACTACAGAAACAATAGTCATTTTTATTTCATCACACCTTAGGCTACATATACCCGAAAAATGACGGAAATGTCTTCGAGCATTCCACAACCTCTTTAAGGCAAACAGCAGTAGGAAAATGTGGGTAATGTTTCTGTCAGAGTGTTTTGTTATTAACAAACTCTTTCCATTCCCCAAAAACAAACTGGTAAAGATTTATTTGGGAACTAAAAAAATAACTTACAGTGGAATGTCGCCATACCGAACACCGCTAAATCGAACGTTCGGCTATACCGAACATTGTCCTTGGCTCCCGATTTTGTTGTACAAAACGTACCGAACATTGTTGTTGAAAAATGTCAACAGAAGAGCGACAATTGGCAATTTTTTCTCCAAGGAATAACAGGGGAAAGCCACCCATTGCTGTAGGTAGTAAGCTCAAACACTGTATAATTACATAATTCAATAGTCGGCACATGTTCAAAGTCGTCTTTCAGTAACTATCTGGGTGTTCAGGGTGAAGGGCGCCATTTATTGAAAAGTGAGTACCGGAGCACCGGCAGCTTAAGAATCTCTATACTGAACAATTGCTATATTACGAACAGTTTCTGTGAATCCCGCGATGATCGTTATAGCGGCGTTCCACCTTTATAACAATTTATCACTTGCACCAGTTCTTGAAATCGGAACATCACATACATTCATGTAAAATTGGCCTTCTAACTGGAAAATGGGGCTTAACTTTACAGAGGTTTTGAATTTATTTTGACAATTTGTTGGACTTTTATGTTTATCAGAGGCAAGTTTAGCTCCTGCCACTGCGACAGAATCTGCAGCAAACAAGGAGGGTGAAGACAAAGTGGCTGTTCTGCTGCCAGAGGGTGGGTAAAATAAAAAAATATCGTCACCTCTTAATCTTGTTCAACCTACCTCATGTTTTTTAGTTCATTGATTTTTATTTTCATTTTTCAAAATAACTCCTAGTTCTTAATAAAAAAAAAGTGTATTTAATGTTTATCATTCATATGTTTGCAATGAAAAAAATTTAATCTAAACGTTCTTAATACCAAACATCAAACCAAACTAAAGCTCCGTTTCCGGCAGATGTAACTTTGGAAGAAATGAGTAATTCTCACTGTTGCAATTGAAGACTGAAAATAAAAATCGAAAACTATAAACTGCGTGTAAGGCCCGTTCCAGACGCCGACGCTACTGCCGTGCTCAACTCAATTAATTTGACTTTTTGAATTTGGCAAGGCGATAGCACAGCGATGGCACGGCGGTTAGAGTGTCATGGCCTAGCGGTTAAGAGCACCGGACTCATGCTCTGGTGTTTCAGAGGCAACAGTGACGTGGGTTGGAGCCTGGGTCGACACTTGTGCCCTTAAGCAAGGCACTTAACCATTATCGCTTTGTCCTTCGGATGGGACGTAAAGCCATAGGTCCCGTGTGTTGTGTAATGCAATGCACGTAAAAGAACCCAGTGACACTTATCGCTAAGAGAAGGGGTTTGCCCCGGTGTTTCTGGCCTCCTGTTAAACTCCCACGCGGAGTTTTTAGGAGAAGAACCAACCAAGAACCATTTGGCTCGGCGAATTGAGTTCAGCACGGCACCATCCTTTAGGGCGACAGGGCTGCTGCCCTATCGTCGTTCCTAATGGCAGTGAGATGGCACTGTTCTAAACGCCGTGCCATCGCCGTGCCAAACTCAATTCAATTCCAAGTTGGGGCAAACATTTTAGGAATGCGAATGCTCACAATACCCTCTCTCGCGTCCAAATCACGGGGAGTGAAATTGGGGGGTAAAATAGTTTTAATCACGCTGAAAGTTCATTGTACTGCTTTAACCTGGCTCATTACTCCAGATGCATTAAGGTTTGACTGTTATGTTTGGTGTTTAGAGTAACTGCAGTGCTGTAGATGAGCTATTGCCGCACTCACTTCAATTGAGTTCGGCGCGGAAGTGGCACGGCAACTAGAACGGGCCTAAGATGATTGCGCGTCAATCTTTCTTTCGCTTGACCACCTTTCGACCTTTTGACCACCTTACGGTCTTAAGTCCTCTTTGGTTGAAACTTAAAGCTGACTGTTGGCCTGTCGTTTGTCTAAACATGTAGGCCAGGATCAGCCAGATGCGACATCGTCGAGAGGTGAGCTCCCGCCACCAAGCCCAGTCAAGACCAGGCAGAGCAACAGCACCATGAAGACGTTCTTCAGCACGCTGTTACCGGGAAGCGATTTGGCACGTGTAGAGATGCCATAGTAAGTCATATGGACTTTTCTCTTTTTTTGGGGTCACTTTTTCTTAAAAAAAATACACCTTGTTTTAGTAACAAAAAGGGCATAAATTTAAGGTGTGGTTGGCAACAGATTTTGCCAGAATTACATTTTCAAACCTTCGTTATTTGAAAAAGAGGTATCATTATTAAAGGTAGAGAAGATCATTTGCAGCTATTGAAAAAGTAACTGCTGAAATTATTGTTGAAAAACTACTTGGTTTAAAGATAGTAATGGCACTCCCTGTGAAATTATTCTTTCTGGCAAGCTGTCATTTTGAAGAAAACAATAAAAAAAGGGGCCAATTCCAAAAATACGTCAAGTGACACATTTTTGGAAATTTCCATTAGTAGTTGGTTTGTAATTCGGCTGATTTGGGTGTGCGGAAACGTTGACACAATGCACACGTGCGCGCAGTTGCTATTATTCGTCGGTTCAGTGCGTGACATCACGTAACTGGAATTTGGCTGAATGAGAACGTGTTCCAGACGCTGATTTTGGGCGTAATTCAAAACATGACTCCGCAACATTTAAATTGAAACTGAGATCCTAGAATGTTGTTTTTCTGGAATATACAGCATTCACATAGCTACTAGTTAATCTGGTTAGTTGTTAAGCAACCGTCTTTAGATTTTGAGTACTTTTGTTGCTTCAAACGAAAAAAATTCACACATGACAAACAATCTACCTTACCTTTAAAGATATAGTCCATCATTTGTAATTTGTGCATTTTGTTCGTTTGAAGCAACAAAAGTGCTCAAAATCTAATGAAGGATACTGAACAACTAACCTGATGAAGTTTCAGCTCAGCGTCAGCTGTATATTCCGAGAAAAAACAGCATTGTAGGATCTCAATTTTAAATCAAAAGTTGCTGAATCATGTTTTGAATTGTTTTGAATTGCAGTTATACGCGATGTCGCGCACTGATCCGAAGAATTATAGCAACCGCACGTGCCTGTGCGTCGTGCCAATGCTTGCGTGCGCTGCGCCGAATAACAAAACGAACAACTAATTAAAATTTTCCTACGGTGCGTCTTAAGACGCACCGTTGGAAAGGCCTTCTTTGTTGATTACTTCAAAATGATAGCTTGCCAGAAAGATTAATTTCACAGGGAGTTTAGTCCACTTACTATCTTTCAACCAAGTATGTTTTTCAACAATAATACGCCAGTTACTTTTTCGGATGGCTGCAAATGATGGACTATAGCTTTAAGTCTTTGGTACCTAGCGTTTGTTGCTAATTTTGTATTTTCAACAATCTAATGATATGTTTGGGGAAAAAATGAAGAACTGTTGTTTATTTTTGCAGCCTTGACCTTCCATAGTTTGCCGACCCATTGTCGAAAAGTGCCAACCACTATAGTTGGTAAAGAAAGATCTATACCGAGCTGTTTTCGCACATTTATGTTTCCATCAAGTTCAGCATGCACTTTATCTGTCTAGCAAAAAGAAGCATTCCTCCAATTGTGTATTGTGATGTTTTTTTTTACTTTTATTTTGAATTTGCTAACAAATTTTTTTTTTTCTGGCCAGCACACCCAATGAACATCATCTGTTGCCATCGTGTACTGTCATGCCAGTCATCATATATGATCAAGAATCCAGCTCTATTATTGCATACGCACTCAGGTAGGCTATTTGGCAGTGAGAGATCTGACTCAGTAAGTGTCTTACGATTTATGCCTTTAGATGATGCAAGTTTAATTGCACGGTCTAGCGAGCACTGTGTTCTCATTGATTTCCAAGAGCTTGTATTTGCTACTGTAGCAGCAGAAACTTTTCAGAAAAGGGTGTAAAATGCCCCCCCCCCCCCCTCATATCAAGAATGGCCTCTCCTGCCAATTTTGAATTTACAACAGCTTGCAGGGGTGTTGCTAGAAGGGTTGGGTGGTGGTGGTGGTGGGGGGGGGGGGGTAACAACACCCCGATTATTAATTTTTGTCAGCAAAATCATTTTCCTGTCGGCAGTATCAAATGTTTGTGTATAAAAATGCCACGATAAATAGCGCCACCTAACATCAGAAAGTGTCAAGTATTGTCTGGTTTGAACAGCGAATCTGTTAGTCAGATGGCATCTAGCCCCGACCCCCGACCCCCCCCCTCATGCGCCATTGTATATAGACCATAGACTGAACCAATTTGCCCACTTAAAGGGGCGTTCCTTTGTTCCACAGGGATACCCATGAGTAGACCTTTCGTACATTAATTGTTAATGAATTAAGGGTTATATGCAACATTTGCTTTTGCTGTAATTTTCAGAAATGGACGGATTTTGGGGTTAGTTTTTTATAACAAATATTGTTACACTGATCTGTTTATGCTGGAAAAACCAAGAAAAAGATGCTGTTGTTGTAGTCTGGTTCCCTGACCCTACTTCAGAGGAAACAGAGCAATTTATAGATGTCTGGGAATTGTCAGGTCAGGGAACCAGACTAGCTGGCCTTTCCAAGGATGGTCAGCTGACCGTCGTTGGAAATTGACACAAAAAATCCACCTTTTCTTGAAAATGACAGCACACCAGGTGCCATGATTTCACAGGATGCTTGAATAAAGCTACAATGGAACAAGCTTATAGATGTCAGGGAGTTGTCAGGTCAAGGAACCAGACCAACTAAAGTTGGTAAATTGGGGGCAGTATTTGAAAAAAAGTTATTTTTTTTAATGATGGTCGGCTGACCATAGTTGGAAATTGACACAAAAATTCCACTTTTCTTGAAAATGATAGCACACCAGGTGCCATGATTTCACAGGATGTTTGAAACTATTTTTCACTTACAGTCAAGTAAGGTATTTCATAATAATTTGGTATTTTTGGTCTTTGCAAATGTTGTATATTACCTTTAATTCATTATGAATCAAAATGACAACAACAAAAACACTCAAGATTGGTGCTGGATGCAAAGGGTTTGTAGGTTTAACTATGCAACAAACACAAAAGTGAACTGAAAATGTGCTTATTAAAAGGTGGCTAAAGGAGATCATATTGTGCAAAATTGCTGTTTCAAGAATCTCAAGCAAATTCCTCTCTTTTTTTACCAGTTCGGAACAGTACAAGACACAGCTGTACGAGCTCCAGCAGCCGGACTTTCCCAAGCCAAGCGAGGGCGCTCTACAGCCCGGCAGCAACCCCGGCTCCAGGAACACCAGCCCCACCACGCGGCGGCACGCATTCGCAGACAGCACGCAGGGGACGGCCGAGGGCAAGGAACGACCCAAGAAGGGACAGCTGACCAGTAGGCATTCATATTATTTGCAGTGCTTTGAACTTTAAAACTGCCCTCAGGTCAACCTTGCGACGACACAAAACAGTCAGCGACTAACTTTTCAGGATCAAGCTGCGCCTGAGCTACGACCGTCCGGAACATTTCAGTCGCTGATTTTTATTTTCATTTCTAAATCCCATTCCAGACGCCACGCTACTGCTGTGCCAAACTCAATTAATTTGACTGATTTAAATTCGGCACGGAGATAGTACGGTGTTTAGAACCATTTGGCTCGGAATATGAATTCGGCACAGCACCATCCTTTGACTTGACAGGGCTGCCAAGCTATCTTCATTCCGAATGGCAGTGGCACGGCACTGTTCTAAACGCCATACCATTGCTGTGCCGAACTCAATTCAAAGTTGTGGCAAACATTTTAGGAATGAAATGGGGAGTGAAATTGGCGCGAATATTTTGATCGCACTGAAAGCTCAGTGGACTGCTTTAGCCTTGGCAGTTACTCAGATGCATTGAAGTTTTACTATTAAGTTCAGCGTTTAGAGCAACTGCCATGCTGTAGACGAGCTATTGCCGCACCCATTTCAATCAAGTTTGGCGCAGCAGTAGCATGGCATTGAGAACGGGTCTAAGAGATCTAGAGTCCGTCTTTACTGATAACTAAATGTTTTCCGGTTTGTGCCATCACCAATTTGCTGATGTGTATGTGGGCCAATATCTACTTTAATTTTGTGGGGTTTTCGTACATTTGTTTGTCTCTGTTAAAATATGTGCAGGAATGCATACCTGCGGATAATAGTGGTTAACTTCTTAAGCTATTTGCAATAGCAAAATTCCTTCTCCAATTGGTAGTCAAAACAACAGGACAACGCCAAATTGTCACCCTGATGGTTTGCATCGCCCTCATATAGAAATGTTAAGTACAAAGTGTCGCCCTAACATAGAATTGAGGAGAATACTTTGTTTTAAAATTATGAAAGGAATATCTTTGTTGTAAACGTAGCAACCATAAACCAATCCTCAAATCTATATTTTACCTTCTTGATAAAATACCCTGTCTTTAGAAAGATCAAGCCGAGGTGTCATATCGTTCCTGCGGAGTAAAATACCAGACAGTCCGAGCAGTGCCTCGCCGGGCAGCCAGCGAAAAGAAGAAAGTCACTTTACCTACTCAGACACAATCCACTATCATGTGACTGCAGATGAGTCAACGTCATCCTTCTCCACAGAGAACAAAGGTTTGTATGTACAGGTTGTCCCACAAAAACCTAACAGTTGAATCGGGCATGTTTTCAGAAAAGTGGGGGTAGTATTCAAAATCTCACTGGTGTCTAATGAATGACTGAGTAGAATAATTGGTCTTCCAAATGCTTTTTAGTTGGTTTCATTAGGATGTTTTGTTCAAAAGATATCAATCACAATACGGGACTTGAAAAACCACTTGGGCCACTTTTTTATTTATATCTCCTGGTCTTCCAAAACTGATAAGCTGCGCTAAAACTTTTGACCCATCCTTTGTGAGTTTCTCTAAACTGCGCTTTCTCACTTTCAAGGAAAGTGGCCCAAGACGATTTTCAACCCTTGAGTTCGATGAAGCATAGCATTTGTTCCAATGCATCGATTTGAATGAAATAAAGTTTGTATGGCAGACTGGTTATCTGACTTTAAGAGGTAATTTGAAAATATTCCAAAACTCACATGCAGTATACCTTTATTAATGGGTTTTCGACTGTTAGGTTTTGGTGGGACAAGCTGTATTTTCCCTGTTTGTTTTGCTAGTCCCAGAGGGGCCAGCCTATGGGCTCCGTGCGCCAAGAGAGAGGGCACTTTTTACCACTTTTGAGAGCCCTGTGGACGGGGAACACTGCGTGCGCATACTGGTTCAAGCGTGGATAGCGTGAATTATGCACAACTTATTTTATTCTAAATGTGCACAGAGCCATAGGGTCTTTGTGTGAGCGTCAGGCATCATCGGCGATGTGTCTGAATGTCTCTCCGATGGTTTCCCCCTACTCTCCCTTTCTTGCCGATGAGGGGGTACTTGTGCACGGAGCCCATAGCCCTCTTTGTTCCTAACTGACTGACTGACTTACCGACTCATGCACTGCCTGCCACTTGTGAATTAGACTTGCTTAAGTCTCTCACAAGCTGACTGTCACTTGTGAATTAGACTGGTGACCTGTCTCCCTGGGTGCGTTCGAGTGTGTTACTCGTGCTAACACGATTATATACTCTTGAGCACACAAACGGCAGGAGTACCACCCAAGGGTAAGTGAGAGTAAACTCCCGCTCAGACCAGGAGTATTCTCTTGCACCGAGAGTAATGCGCACGCAACATTTTCTTGCACTCGGTGGTGGAAAGAGTAACACGCTCGAATGACTCACTCCCTGACTGACTCACTTTGTGACTTACACTGGTCTGGGAGCAGCTTTACGAAGCTTGCCTATTCATGTCATGTTGCATCTACATCACATGTGCATTAGTCTACATCACATGTGCATTAGTCTACATCACATGTGCATTAGTCTACATCACATGTGCATTAGTCTACATCACATGTGCATTAGTCTACATCACATGTGCATTAGTCTACATCACATGTGCATTAGTCTACATCACATGTGCATTAGTCTACATCACATGTGCATTAGTCTACATCACATGTGCATTAGTCTACATCACATGTGCATTAGTCTACATCACATGTGCATTAGTCTACATCACATGTGCATTAGTCTACATCACATGTGTATTAGTCTACATCACATGTGCATTAGTCTGGCACTGCTTGTTCCAAGTACTTTCTTGGTACATGTAACACTACAGCTTATTCTACGAATAAATAGAAGTGAATAGAATGCACTCTGATTCCAACTTTACAAGGCTTTGCAAGTCTTGTTTGTATGAATAAAGTAGACTTGAAACCATAGTCTTTTTCTCGTCACAGCCTCCTGACAATAGTTTTGAACATAATGTCCATATCTGCCGTGATGCCAAATTGAAAGCTCATGCTTGGTTTACATTACGTTACTGTGGGGGAAAACACGGAATTGACGGCAAGAAATGATGTCCACACATTGCATAAAATGCAGTGCATAGCATTACATTTGTAAGGCACTATGACCCCTTTCAGTGCCGTGCATTGGATGCGCTGTTTACTAGTTACTAGTTACCTGGAATTCTTGATTTTCCCCTGAATTCCGTTTTGTAAACAAAGCCTAACTTACATTGACAAAAGTGCCTGTTTTTCAATGTTACTTCAGTTCACCATACTGCATTATCCCCCCCCCCCTCCTTTCCAATAAAAAAATCTCAGAGACTGTTTTACCCTCATTAGTTTGGGGTCTGATAAGTTTTCTTAAAATAATTACTACTTCTTTGGCTGTTATTTTGTTTTTCTAGATGAAACAGACTTTGAATTCTTCAAAAGTGGAATGGAGAAGAGGGATGCCTCATCTCCCCACATTGACCTACGTGAGTTGCCGTCAGCAATTGTGTCCATAAAATCAAAGCTGAAAAGCCGATAAAGCCAGATTTTGATACTAAAAAGAATGATTGTGCACTTGATAATCTCAGTGATTGCCAAAGCAAAGGGCCATTTCAGATTGGGTCATAAGCCAAGCCAACCATTGGTATGAGTATCATCCGTTGTTCAACGGAGCCTGCAAGCTCCGCAACAGCGTATGCTATATTTGGGCATGCCAATTTTTAGGCGAACACACATGCCATCCAATCAGAGTCCACTGTAGAAATTGTGATGTCGTTTTGAGCAGAAATTCGGCCTAAGCTGTTGATTGGTCAATTGACTGCCATGTTTTTGTAATACAACAACGGGTTACCGAAGACCCGATGGAAGGTTCCCCGCTGACCGGTCAGAATCTGGAGGTCAAGACGCAGTCTTGTTTTGCATAATTAATCATCGAATCTGCGTGCATATCATATACACTTGCTTGGCAAGTGGCTATGACAGACTAGCCCACCGTTTGTTAAAATACATTTCTTAGAGTGGTTGTGACCAAGTGTGACCAAGCTACCATCATGATCACCTGCCCAAAAGTCTTGATCTCATTGGTCAATGCACAGCTTGTACCATGGTCACCTGACCAAAAGTCTTGATCTCATTGGTCAATGCACAGCTTGTACAATGGTCACCTGACCAAAAGTCTTGATCTTATTGGTCAATGCATAGCTTGTACCATGGTCACCTGACCAAAAGTCTTGATCTTATTAGTCAATGCACAGCTTGTACCATGGTCACATGACCAAAAGACTTGATCTTATTGGTCAATGCACAGCTTGTTTGACAGGCCAGAAGGGTTCATTCTTATTCATTAAAAATAAAGCAGTATATTTGCTCACACATTGAATGAATTTACACAATAAATCTGGCATCCCAAAGTTTTATTTTTATTTTTTTTACCACAAAAAGCAAACAACCTTGGAATGGTTGTTTGCCTTTTGTGAATTTCTTTTGTACAACTTAGATTTCATACTTTTTCCAAGCTGGTTAGGGGCCCCATGGGTGTCGCGCATGGGGGGGGGGGGGGGGGGGGGCGCAAGGGGGGTGGTTGCAAAACAAACAAAAAAGGAGAAAAAAAAGGGGGCAATAAGAAAAAGAAAAAGAGGCACAAAGTTATATTTCTGTTAATTTAATGGGGGGGGGGGGGGGGGGAATGTCCCTACCCAACCTCGAGAAATGAAAAACCGAGAATATGCTAGAAAAGTAGAGGGATTTCGGGGGAAAATGTGCTTTGCCCCCCTCTAGAACAAATCCTGGCGACGCACATATAGGGGCCTGATGCAGAAAATTCCCCAGGCAAAAGGTGAGGCCCATGATTGTCGGCCAGGTTCCTAACCCGTTTGGAACAACACATTTCGAACTGCTCCATCACCTTATTAAGCCCTTACTCGTTGATTCTCCTTCTCTCACAGAATTTTCAGACGCCACCAACACGCAGTTCTTCTGCCTAGTGTACCACGCCGATGAATTCCTGAACCTCAGGAAGCTGGTCTTCCCAGCCGGGGAAGAGACCTTCATCCGATCGTTGTCGCGTTCCATCACGTGGCTGGCTCAGGGTGGAAAGTCGCGCTCCAAATTTCTCAAGACAAAAGGTAAGGTTGGGGTTGGGTTCAGCAGGCATATGTGCTACTTTATTGCACGTGGGGTGGGGGTGTTTAGCCCCAAAACACCTCCCCCCAGATCTGCCACTGGCAGTTGAGCATAAATACAAAGATTGATTTACACTATCCAATGTAATGCACAAATAGGATTCAAAGCTTGGTCGCAGAAGTAGAACACCCCCCCCCAAAAAAAAAACCAAAAAAAAACAAAACAAAGAAACAAAAGACTAAAAAATATTCCCCCCCCAAAAAAAACACTGTATGGACGTAAAACAGACTCTTTTCCCCACATAAAACACCCATCTCTAGCCGAGTCTTCATGTGTAAAACAACCCATTGCTCACCCACCGTTTTAGTCACAAATGCACAGAGTTGTAATGACTCGAGTCAATGACTCGACTCGAGTCCAACTCAAGTCACAATTTTTGGTGACTCGACTCAACTCGAGTCACTGCGAGCAAATGACTCGACTCGACTCGAGTCCCTCATCAGAAGACTCGACTCGACTCGAGCGAAGGCTAATAGGACTCGAGGCACAAAAATAAAAGCACAACTTTGCGAAAAGTATTTGCAATGACTTATGGTGCAAAATTTATGCTCACTTTGCTTTGCGAATTAGTCATGTATAAATATACAACGTGTCACAGACTCCCACCTCATGGTTCTAGAACGCACAAAATACTATCCAGGAACCAGATTTTTTACACATTTTCTAATTCGCTGTTTCATCATTGGCTTTAGGCGATTTCTTACAAGGCTTCTGGATTCGAACGCTGGCTAAACTTATGGCCTCCTTTTATAAATTTTGGTATAGTGTTCAAATATTCGTGACTCGAATTGACTCGAGCTAAATATTTGACTCGACTCGACTCGACCTTTGGACCTAATGACTCGACTCGACTCGAGTCACTTCTTTTAAATGACTCGACTCGACTCGAGTCACTTCTTTGAAATGACTCGACTCACAACTCTGCAAATGCAATGTATACGTTCATTTTTGTCACATCTCTGTTTCTATTAACCTTTAACCGTTCAAGCAGTCAGGGGAACTAACACAGTACAATGGAGTATCAATGGAGTGGAGTCCAGAAGCTAGATTCACCATCATCATGTTGCTAACGTATGGACATGTTCTTGTCTTCTTCTTTTTTCAGACAAAAGCATTTATTATTAACCTTCCATGTCCTTGTTTGGTTTTGGTCTTTCTGTGCAGATGATAGATTTGTGCTGAAGCAGATATCCCGTTTGGAGTTCCAGTCTTTCAAGGAATTCGCACCGCACTATTTCAAGTACATCCAGCAAGCACACGCAGAGCAGGTAAAACAAAGTGTTCAATATAATCAAACACAACCAAGATTGTTGTGGTTAAAAAAAAAATTGACAAAAACATGTGTTTTAACCCAACACTTCACAATCAAAGATGCATTTTCCATGCCCTTTATTATTTCTCCTAATGAATTTTCAAATTGTATATTTTACTTTAGCAAAAAGTTCTTTAATTCTTTGCGCACAAATGGATATACCTTGCGAGTTCATTATCGATTTTGAAAGGGGGGGCGGAAACAGTCTGCCTTGTGAGAACTGCAAGATTGACTGGCTACAAATAACTTGAAATTTCTAATTATTACATAACTGAATATTGGCTAATTTCTTCATTTCATGTTTCATTCAAAAAGACCTGTTCCAGACGCTGCGCTACTGTCGTGCCGAACTTAAATGAAATGAGTGCGGAAATAGCTCGTCTACAGCACAGCAGTTGCTCTAAATGCTGAACGTAATAGTCAAACCTTAATGCAACTGGAGTAATGGGCAAGGTTAAAGCAGTTCAAGCAGTTCAATGAACATTCAGCGCAATTAAAATATTCGCTCCAATTTCACTCCCTGTGATACGGACCGAGAGAGGGTATTGTGAGCATGCGCATTCCTAAAATGTTTGCCCCAACTTCGAATTGAATTGAGTTTGGCACAGCAATGGCACGGCCTTTAGAACAGTGTCATACCACTGCCATTGGGAACAACGGTAGCGCGGCAGCCCTGTCCAGCCAAAGATGGTGCCATGCCGAACTCAATTTGCTGAGCCTAAATGGTTCTAAAACTTTTGCTATCGTCATGCCATCACCGTGCCAAATTCAACTAAGCCAAAGGATGGTGCCTTGCTAAACTCAATTCCCTGAGCCAAACGGTACTAAACCTTTTGCTATCATCATGCCATCGCCGTGCTAAATTCAACAAAGTCAAAAAAATTGAGTTCGGCATGGCAATAGCATGGCGTCTAGAACAGGCCTTACTTTTTGTATTGTTTGACAAGTAGCAACTGAAAAAAAAAAGGGGTGAAACTCGACATTAACACATACAGTTATGTTTAAGCAATGGTGTATACTGTCTCTCCTTTGGACAGAGACCCACCACCTTAGCCAAGATCCTAGGGGTCTACAAAGTGGGCTACCACAACCCCATCACCAACACTGCCCAGAAACAGGTCCTCCTCATCATGGAGAACCTGTTCTACCAGCGGCGCATGGCCCAGGTCTTTGACCTGAAGGGCTCCATCCGCAACCGCCACGTCAAGACCACGGAGAAGGGACAGCAGGACTTGGTCCTGATGGATGAGAATCTCTTGAAACGTGAGTCCAATTTGTAATGACTCGACTTGAATTGTGATTTTTTTTTTCGGTGACTCGACTTGACTCAAGTCATTACAGGCAGACCAAACTTTACAGACCAAACTGCAGAACATAGTCTATCAGATTGCCCCATCTACCAATCTCCGCATGGAGCAGATGGTCTAACTAACTTGGACCGGGAGACTAAATGATGGTTGACCCAACTGCAAGTTGATATCTGAATCTGTCTACCTGACAAACAAAAGAAGATTTCAGGCAAACGACTCGACCGTAGTCAACAGGAGTGACATCCAGCAAATGACTTGACTCAACTTGAGCCAAAGGCTCATTAACCTTTGAGTCCTTAAAAACGTGGAAAATAATTGCGCCGATTACCGCAACCTACAACTTGGAGTGCCATGGTCCAATGGGCCTTATGCACGAGTTGGCCATTTTTGTCGAGTTCCTTGAATGTATTTCATTAATTGTTAACTGTTGAAAGGGATGGCGCCAGACTATTTATGCAGGCATAATGCAGCCTTATTTTACTGTCATTTGTTTAAAATCTGGCTTTAAACATTAGGGAATGTTTAATTATTCATTAAAGCAGACTGGAATTAATTAGTAATTAAGTTGCTTTCATTTCTCTTCGCAAGTTCCAAAAATTAGTATTTTACCGCACTTTCAATTCAATATGGCCGACTCTTGGATAAGGCCCATGGCCACAGGGTCTTCTTACTAATGTGTGATGGAACGTGGGCTTGAACCAAAATGAGAAGCACGGTGCTTGTGTTCTTGGGCAAGACACTTTACTACGATTGCCTCTCAGTGACATGAACAAAGTCATTGAAAATTGGGAGACCATCAACATAAGGCTACGTAGCTCAGTTGGTAGAGCACCGGTGCAGATTTCTGGAGGTCGCAGGTTCAAACCCTGCTCAGGTAAATTAGTATTGATTCTTGTTGTCATGACACAGATATGGTGGACTCGCCCCTGTTCATACGCAGCCACAGCAAAGCCGCCCTGACCATGGCCGTCCACTACGACAGTATGTTTCTTGCCAGTCACTTCATCATGGACTACTCGTTGCTCGTGGGTCTGGACGCAACCTCCGACGAACTTGTAGTTGGCATCATCGGTAAGTTATTCCCACGGCAACAACACCGTTGCCTTGGCACAGACAGCTAGAAATATCATAGTAATTGGAAGCAATTTAGCAGCTTTATTTCAATCTTAAACGTTCAAAATGTAAATATGGAAATTGATACAAAAATTCCACTTTTCTTGAAAATGACAGCACACCAGGTGCCATGATTTCACAGGATGCTTGAGACTATTATTCACTTACAGTCAAGTAAGGTATTTCATAATAATTTGGGTTTTTTTGTTGATGTTTGCCAATGTTGTATATTACCTTTAACACGAAATTTGCTTTAGGGTAAAATTGGGCCCTGCTTTTGCCAAAATGAATCTATTTTGAAGGCACATTTTTTCAACATTTTCCATTGTTTCCCACAGTTTAAAGGTCATCTTAGGAACTTGGGTTCCAACCGTCTTGTTTTGTGGTTTAACCCTAACTCCCTAACGTCTTTTACTATGAACTGGACCAAGTCCATCAAAATCCATCAATCACTGTGCGTCCAATACACAACTGTACATGACATAATGGAATCCACCACTGACGCACTGGTTGACATTCATGGACTCGCTACACATGGCTTTTATCACAATAGCAGTACAGGAAGCTAGGCAAAATCAATCGGATACCCCTAGCACTGCTTCAGGTCATTAGGCCCAAGTCCATCATACTCCATCAATATTAAGTCACGCCAGGCCTTCTGGACCAAGTCCCCCAAAATCCACCAAATTGGGGATGGATTTTGATGGAGTTGGGCTGGTTGGGGTAAATGTCACTGGACCACAAATCTGTTGAATCAATTTTCCATTTTTCTTGAATCATTTAGATTGTATTTGTTGTAGCTTCAACAGCCCACCATTTGGATATTTTAGGATTTTAAAATTTTTACGAACTGTGGTTGACTTTGTTTTCCCAGACTACATCCGCACATTCACGTGGGACAAGAAGCTTGAGATGATGGTGAAATCTACAGGCATCGTGGGGGGACAAGGTACGTATTGTTTGTAAGACAAAAATTATTCTTGTAATGGAGACTGTGCGCAAGTACCCCCTCAACTATGACAAAGAAAGAGATACAACAGACTTTATCTTCAAGCGAAGCTGAATCCTTGATCCTGATTGGTTGATCCGTGGCAACACTGGTGTGGTATTATCAGTGGCGTAGCCAATAACTACCGCTATTCACTTTCCAAGGGACGTTACAATAAACAGCCACTCGCGGAAAAAAAAAGTTTTGTTGAAAAAATACGGACATAGTTGCGGAAAAAAGGGACTTTATGTTCTTCCAGCTAATCATGGTAACTTTTATGGCTGTTTTTTTCTCCGGATGCCAAATTTTCAGTGGGGGGGGGGGGGGGGGGGGGAGTGCGACTGGGGGGGGGGGGGGGGGGGGGGAGGGCGCAAACTTTTTAGGGGGGGGCGTGTACCCCACCTCCTTTTCATTATGTCACATTAAGAATTTGATGGCATGTAGAGCTGTATTGGTAAGATCAACCTATTAAATACTATAAATTAAACACTGTTTCTTTCAGGTAAAATGCCGACGGTGGTCTCTCCAGAGCTTTACCGGACACGTTTCTGTGAGGCCATGGACAAGTACTTCTTACTCGTCCCAGATCGCTGGACCAATCTTGGACAAGAGTTTTAACTCCCCACACATAGTGTTGTTGTTTTTGCCAAAACCAATCCCAGCATTGATTTAAAATCTCCTGACGCAAATCCCATCCTATAAAATAGTTTGGTTGCGTTAAACACTGCTACATGAGAAACGAACCAGCCAGCCAACCCCAGCAAGCTCGGTGGTCGAGTGGTAAGACATCTGCACTAGTAAGCTGGAGATGGTGGGTTCGAGTCCCACCGAGCTTGTGAATATTTTCTTGCAAGCCTCAGACAACACTGAGGTAACGGTGTTAATGAAAAAATATATCGATGAAGGGCAAAACCCAACATTAAAATGACATCTCCCTGATGCTAAGTCCATTCTACAGTATATCCCCCAAAAACTGTCGGTCTGACTATTCTTGAAGTAACTACAAAACCATGAAGTCAATTTTGAAAATTTTTGATTACTCAATTGTCAAATGATCACAACATTTTTGGACCCTGTCACCAAGTTCCTTGCCTTAATGAATTTCAGTGCTGTGTGTTGTAAGCTGTGTAAAATCCTGCATGTTGTGAAAAAAAAAGGCTGATGTGGTTTGGGATTGGAATCATTTGCCTTGAGCATTAAACTGAGGTCTTGCCATGATGACTGATAGCCAGGCAAATGATTCCAACCACAGCCCTTTTCACAACATGAACAATTTTCAAAATTTACTTGTTTTGTAGTTTGGGGACGTGCTGTATAGTCAGTCAGATATGTACTGTGGCACCCCCTCCCACTTTTGGAATGTTCTGTCCTCGCTGTTCCAAACTTACTGCTTTTGTGCGCAAAAAAATACCGGTGCGCAAAATAATTGCCGGTACCAGTACCTCAAATTGCTATCGTATGGCTGTTGCCTGCAAGAAGTTCCCTGAAATCATCCCAACATTGCTGTTTTATTGATGTATGTGGTCTGTGATTAATATGCTATGGATGCCTCAGGCTGTGACCATTGTTAAGATTAACAATGGCAGGTTTTTTAAAAGCACAAAAGATTTGTTTTCAAATAAATGCACAAAATAAATGCACAAACATTTATTTTTAAATCAAGATCTATAGCTTTTGTATTTGAAGTTGCGCATTCATCCATAAAGCAGGGGTGAGTTCCACAATACGCAAACAATGCTAACGTTTACCAATGTTTGCGCAAGTGGGACTGACTGTTTGCCGCCAACGTTAGCAACAAACGGCCTTCCCGAGACATTTGCTGTGTTTTCCAAAACGGCCGACACGCACCATGAATGTTCTGATCCTGTTGGGGCTGATCATACGTTCCGGGCATTGTTTTTTTTTTCGAGGATTTTTTTAAAAGCTGTTATCAAAACAGTTAAACTTGTTGGATCGGGGGGATACAGGGGCTGCCATTTTGAAAAAAGTTTTTCGAGGACATCATGGCTCCATTTTGGATTACATTTGTAGCATGTTTTTAAGGCATAGCTAACAAATGCAAACATGTTTCCGCGAGTGGAACGCACCCCAGCTTTGTGAGAGGGTATGCATTCACTTGTTGATCAAAACAGTTATTCCTATGCGAAGCGGTAAATAAACTTAGAGACATGAAATAACGGCATATATTTAATGCAATTTAATGTGTAAATTTATTACCACCTTTGCAGTACTGAACATGTTGTAAAGGCACTCTGATGTATGTACAAGAAAAATGATTGGACGGATTGGTTCTTTTTGGCATAAAGAATACTAACAAAAGTGAATTTTTGTAAAATGTGTACATGCATAGTGAATCAAAGTGTACAATTATTAGAAATGTCATAAAACAGGCAAATTCACTCTTAAATATTAATATTAAACGCCAGCATTCTTTGGTAATCACACAAAAAGCTTTTGCCACTGTATTTGTGCAATCTAGTGGTTGCACAAACTTAAAAATTGTAACATAATGATATAAGTACGCTTTACAAGAATTTATTTTATACACAAATATGTACAAAAAAAGTGAGTTTTTATATACATTGTTAACTTGAAATAAAGGCACTTTGTACATGTCATCTGCCAAGATCTGATTTGTTACCGTTGCAAACTACCGGACATAGTTCTTGAACTTGACAATTGAAAACATAAAATGGCGGTTGAGAAGTAAATGTAGAAAATGTATTTAGAAATCCGAATAAAAACTTGCCAAACTACACCATCAGAAATGTTTGACTGTTGACCAGTAATTACATTCAAGAAACTCCTCTAAAATTGAGTATATTGACTTGTGATTGTACAACGGCATGCATATAATAAAATTGGAAGTTCAAATTGAGACTGGAATAGTAGAAAAGGCACCTTTTAAGATATTGTTCGTTGTCATGAATTTTCTGGAAGATAAGAGAATTAAAAAAAAAAAAAAAATCGGTCAAAAAACATGTAGTGTTTGCATCCAAAAGCAGGTGGATTTTATCAGATTAGCCATAAATTAATCTTATTTTAACACGAATAAGTTTTGTGAAATCACTACTTTATGATTTTCTTCTGTTACGTAGAAAGTAAATTACCCTAGCACAGAATATCAAAGTACTATGCAAGTACTCTGATAGTCCTCCGTGTGCTATTTCTGATAAAATGCGACCAATTCCTAATTTTGGTCAAGGTTCTGGGGGCCAAAGAAACACGCTCGACTTGAAAACACAACTACATGCAACCTCATTTTTCCCACAACCAAAAACTGAACAAGTGGTGTGTTAGCACAAATGGTCATTCGTCATAATTTTTCATCATTTGTGCTGAAAATTTGGACATACCGCTTGCTTTAAGATTTTTTTTGCTCGCATTGAAATTTTACACTAGCATAAAGTGTGCTGATTTGATCTTCATCATCATTTTCCTCATAGTGCAATGTGTGTATAATTTAAAAATGGCAAATATTGTCAAAAGTTTTATGTCCCTCTTTTGAATACTTGTACTTTCAAAGACATACACAATGGCTTTTTTGGGGGGGTTCAATAAGGGCCAGAATAATTTGTTACATTACTTAATTGTGTACTACTTATTCCAAACTCTTTTGAGTGCGGAATAAATTGAATAATTTAGAAAGAATTAAAATGCCGTAATATATAACATATTTAATGGTATATTGGCTTGACCTCCATTACAGATGCCATTTTGAACCTGGTGTTATGGTGCGTGTGCCCTTGAGCAAGGCCCTTTGGCACTCATTGCTTCTCCCCACCCAGGAGTAGATGGGTACCCGTGAGGGCAGTGTTGGTTACTGTGAAAGATTGATTACGGGCGAGCGCCGAATGGCTGCCTACCGGCCGTGTATGCTCCCCAGGGAGTTGAGAAGGTTCTAGGAGAGTTTGCCCGTTGAAACAGGGGTAATATTAATAATTGTAAAGCGCTCTGATACCCCGTTGCTGCAATAAAGTGCTATATTAATGCCTGCCATTATTATAACGTGTATTATATATTAGAGAGGTTTCGCAAGCAAATGGATACACTTAGTGCGCTGGATATGTCATCAGTTTGTGTGCTCTTGTGACGTTATATGCAACCCGCTATCTGCTAAGCATGAACACAGCAGTGTGAAACACGTAGTAAATTGTTGATTAACACCCTCATTTTTGTAAGTTTGATTGAAGGAGGATGAAAGGATTAGCTGCAGATACAAGGCGTTCATCGGAGGCTGCTATTGTGGATGCGTGCTCCTATTGGTAGCGGTTCCGATAACTAAACGTATTCGTACACAATTCAAAACAACGAAATGGTAAAAATGGTTATGGATAGCTCACCATACGTGAACATGAATCTGTTTGGATGCGAAAACACATGGAGACTTTTAAAGTCTTGAACTGAGAATCTGAGGAACATTTTGTTATTTTCTCATTCAATGAGAACTACATGGAATTGTACATCATATTAATTTTTTGCGTATATTCATCATTCCAGATTATATATATATTTTTCATATTAAAACAGGAAGACAAAAAGTGTTCATTGGCAAATAAAGTACGACTATTATTCAGATAAAGTTTGTGTATTGCTGTATTGATCTTTGGAGAGTGAAACTGATAACATTTGTTGGAAGATAAGTATTGTAATAATTTGTCCTGGAAAACTCAACGTAGAATTGTACATGTTCTTTAAAAATTTGTTCTTACAAAGTTTACATCCAGATCTCTCATAACAAGGCACACATCCTCACCTTAGCATATACTTAAAGTGTACAGGCCTACAGTAGATTAAACCCGTTATTACTGTACCGCCCAAAACTGTCCTGACTTTTTCTCCCTGTATCGCAACAAACCACCCAACACTCAATAGTTTACGGATTCCTCAGTCAATAAACACCGTGTGATACAGGTGCTAATGGTTAATTGTATTACAAACCGATCAAGATTACTTGCGCATGACAAAAAATTCTGGAGAATTATTAAAAAAATGTGTAGACTTTTTATGGCAGCTTGCCCTAAGAGCACAGTTGCTTCTAGAGCTCAAACACAAACACAAACTTCCTTGCTTGGGAGGAATGAGACATGTTATGAGGATTCCACGCACTGACTGGCCTGTACCTCATCCAGCACACTGCGGAAACTCTCCACGCTGACCTGACCCTTGTCCGACCTCGACGTCGCGATCTCCCACAGCTTCTGAAACGTGTCGTTGTCCATCTGAACTCCGACTGACGTGAATATATCCTTGATCTGAGCGGGTGCAAGGCATAGAGAAAAAAATCCAAATTATTGTTGCAATCCAACACAAAAATTGGCTTGATGATAATACAAATGCCGGTTTTCAGAAGAATAGATTCTAAAAATTGTTTTTAACTCTTTTCCCCCTCATCAACTTTTGCTCCAAAACTGCAGCTGTTCCATGCTTCTCTTCATGCGGTGACTCCTACTCAAATTGAGACATATCGGCAAAAAACTCTTATGACTCGGACTTGACACTCATGACTTGTGTTTCAACACATATTTTTTTTAAATACCTTTTGAATACAAAACTCAGATGTTTATTTTTTGGAAAGTAACGCCATCAGAGAATGTTAAGCACATGAATCAAACTGCACCACTCTCCAGATGGTGTTGCAAATAATGGTTGTTCTTATTATATGCGCCCCTCCCTGTTTCCTGTGACCGGGCATCACTTATGTCACATGACTCAAGACTCGAACTCAACTCAAGTGACTCAAGACTCGGGACTCGACTGAAGTGACTCAAAACTCAGACTCGACTCAAGTGACTCAAGACTCTGACTCAACTCAAGTGACTCAAGACTCGGATGCAAGTGACTCAAGATTGGGACTCGACTCAAGTGACTCAAGACTGACTCGACTCAAGTGACTCAAGACTCGGACTCAAGTGACTCAAGACTGGGACTCGGACTCAAGTGACTCAAGACTGGGACTCGGACTCAAGTGACTCAAGACTGGGACTCGACTCAAGTGACTCCACTACAACACTGGTAATTACAAGCCGTCGACTTAATTCAGACAAGGGCAAAAAGTCCTAATCTTTACTATACCAACCTGTGTCTGGGGTCTTGCTTGGAAGAAGTCCTTTTCATAGACCCCCCTGTTGCTGTACATGGACGGGTTGATCAAGCCGAAGGCATCAGATTCATCCCCATAGTTCTTGTTGTCGCTGATTCTCTTGATCCTAGGAGCTGACAGGTCACTGCGAATCGTCGGGATCCCGTACATGCGGTAATCTGCAAATAACAAACGTGACAGATTATTACAAGTCTTTGTTGTAAGGTCTGTACTCATTTTCCACAACTTATTAATTTCTTCCCAAGTCCTTCAGGCAAGTTTACTCTGTCACCAAGCATTTGCATCACAGATGCCCCTTATTGACTTCACAGTGTTGTGGACAAATTAAAAGTCATCAAAACTTAATCACATATGAACTATGACAAAGGCAACACTTTATTATTGTTCAGCCTTGTTACTTGTGAACTGACTAGTGATTTACTTATGGCTGGACTTATGATGTATGGTTATATTACGGCCACCATCCTCATGGTAACCTCTGGTTCCGAATATGGCTGCTTCTGATTTACTTGGCTTCAGAACATTTACACATGCGTCTAAGGAAGTGGCTGAAGTGACTTCACATGTATTACTGCTCAGCCATACACTGGGTAAGGCTTGTACTCCAAATGCACTTTTGTCATTTTCCCCGTTCCGCAGTTCCTTTGCGATAGCAATCCAATTCTTACCTTTTGTGGACACCCCTCCTACTACGGCATTGATCATGGACGCAGACGTGCGGTGCTCCCCGATGGACTGGTCAATCTGTTTGTTGAGTCTCTCCACGTCCTCGGCTGCTTGCTCTGGCCGTTCGCCAACCGGGGGCGGCTCGACGCCCTGCTGCATCTTGTCCTTCCAGTTCAGGAAGTTGGCAAACTCGGCGTAATCGATGTAGCCGTCTTTGTTATTGTCGCAGTAGTCAATCAGCTGTTCTAGGAGCTCGGGCTCAATGGGGAGGCTGAACTGGCTGCAGCAGGACCGTAGCTCTTGAATGTCAATCTTGCCGTCGCCGTTCTGCACAAAGACAGGGTACTCAAACTTTAGCTGGGCTCAAAATCTCCACTGGATCGACTCTAGTACTTTTTGTGTCGGTAGTTCTTTCTGTGACTGACCTAGACCACTAGTGACATGGTTTTTGGAATACTGTTCATTGGTAATCCTACAAATGCTTTGATTGTAAATTTACAGCAGAGAAATTCGAAGGATTCGGGAAGTTTCAGACATAGATATAGGATTAGGAACACACACCTTGTCGTAGTGATTAAAGGCAGCCTGACATGGTTTTTGAAATACTGTTCATTGGTAATCCTACAAATGCTTTGATTGAAAACTTACAGTGGAGAAATTTGAAGGATTCAGAAAGTTTCAGACAGAGATATTGGATTAGGAACACATACCTTGTCGTAGTGATTAAAGGCAGCCCGACATGGTTTTTGGAATACTGTTCATTGGTAATCCTACAAATGCTTTGATTGTAAATTTACAGTGGAGAAATTTGAAGGATTCGGGAAGTTTCAGACAGAGAGATAGGGTTAGGAACACACACCTTGTCGTAGTGATTGAAGGCAGCCTGCAGATCATTAAAGTTGTGGTAGTTGGCCTTCTTGAGCTGTTGCCTGATGGCAGCTAGGAGCCCACGGTCCCTGTCCTTCCCTCGAAGGTAGCTCTCCTGGGATCGGCCGTGCATCAGGTCCCCGGCGCCGAACTCATCAGGCTTGATCAAGATCCCGAAGGTGTGGTCCGGCGGCACGCGAAGGGTTTCCTTGATTGGGTCGTGTACTTGGCCGAGTTGGGGCTGCGTGCGCTCACGGAAGTCATCCACCCGCTTGGCGACCACTTTAGTACCTTTGTCACTAAATCGGACAAAAAACGGTCAATTCAATATTATGTTTTTGCCCTTCACTAACATAGTTTCATAAGCAGTGCATACTAAGTATTGTCTGAGGGCTTGCGAGAAAAACTTCACAAGCCTGCCCAGTTTGGACAAGAACCAACGACCTTCTGTTTACTAGTACAGCTTCTACCACTTAACCATCAAGCTTGTCAGGGTATCGTAGGTAACCGCAATCACTATCGCGGACTTCCGCGCTGTGAATACTTTTTGTGAAATGTGACATAAATGGAATTATGCCATTGTGCACAGTTTTGTTAAATCAGCGCATGGCTTTAGTTACTATTCCCATTTCAAAGCTCCTGCATTGCCAGGAGTTTCGCATTCTCTTGAAGACGGACACGGCACAAGCTTCTAAAACGATCCGCGACGAAAGACATTCCTTTTGTTATTGTTCATCCCCTGTCACTTGCAGTGTTGTAGTCGAGACCCTGCAAGACCATCACAAGACCAACACAAGACCATCACAAGACCAACACAAAACCTCCAGTCTCAATTCAAGTCACAAGCTATTCAAATGAACTGTGACGAAGACATTCCTTTGTTATTGTTCATCCACTGTTACTTGTGACTGGTCTTGTGTCTGGTCTTGTGATGGTCTCGACTACAACACTGGGCCCAATTTCACGGCGCTGCTAAGCACACGTTTTTCTGCTAACAGAGCCTCCGTCTATTTCATGGAGACCGTAAGCATAAGCACAGCAAATGGCATGCTTACCTCAGAGGAAAAATTTGCTTAACTTAGTGACGTAACAATAGAAATCTCCATGCACGCGCGACCGTTAGCACACACACGCCGTGAAATAGTGCTTAAGGTTAGCAAATTTTTCTGCTATGCTAAACAAAACTTTTCTGCTAACTGTTAAGCAGCGCCGTGAAATTGGGCCCTAGTCACTTGTGACCTGCCTTGTTTTGATTTGTGATTTAACTTGTGCTGGACTTGTAACAGATTTGTGATCGTCTCAATTACAGCTCAAGGCTTTTGGTCTCTGTATGTGTTAAATAAACACCTCTGAAATGTCTTGTTAACTTACAGATGGTCATTTCGGAGCCACTTCAGCGTCTTGGCCACGTGTTTGCCGTCGTTGTCGTGAGGCGTTGCAATGCCGAACATGCTGTCCTTCGGATAGCGGCTCCAGTCGTAGTTGCGGTCCACCGCTTCCCCGACGTGGAACTCGTGGTGGGTCACTTTGTAAAGGTCGCGACCTGCTTCGCTCTCCTCCATGACCTGCTGGTAGGTCTTGTTGGGGCTGACCAGCTCGCCCGCTGTCACATCTAGGGGGAAAACGGAGCATAACATTTATTCGAATGTCCACTTCACCATGCATGCAATATTTTTCAATATAGTCAGACACGGAGACCTGTTGTTGTATGGATACAGTATTCAACTCAAATGGTGCAGTGCACAATGGTAGGTGGATTGGAACTAAGGGGAACACAGTGGTTGTGTTCTTGGGCAAGACACTTCACTACAATTGCATCACTCTACCCAGAAGTATGGGTACCTGTGAGAGTGGAAACCATATTGCGCTGATCTTGGGCTGCTGCAAAAAAATGGTCTCAAGGCCTAAAATGAACAGGCATAATAATTGTGAAACAATTTGGGACATTAGTATTAAGCACTACATAAAAACCACATTATTATGATTATTTTGTCATTTTAAACAAGACCAATGTTACCACTGTTTCAAGAAAAACAGCAGACATGATTTTATCCACTTAAACAAGAGTAGTTGAGTCACGTGGAAATCAATTCACAAGTTTGTCAAAATTTGAGTAAGGGGACAATGAACTGGTGACGAAAAATGACAAAAAATGACTTTGAATAATATGATTTGAGTCTGATAAACTTGTGATTGACTGTTACGGACTTGCAAGGACTTCAACCAAACTTTAACAATTTAACAATTCCATGAAAACATGAAAAAAAAAGACTCACCAAAAACATTCTTGATGCCAAACTTGGCCTCATATTGGTCCATCCCTTTGGGCAAACCCTTGCCCTGGTCATGTGACTTGCCAAGCGGGGCCTTCTGTTTGCTGAGGTAGAGGGACGATTCCTTCTTGTCGTCCAATCGCTGTGTGAATAGTGACTTTGGATCTGGGTTGATTAGCTCGCCAGACTATGGGAAAAAAAGATGTTTCAGGAAACATCAATGGGCAAGTCTGATTCCAAGGCCTGTTGGTTTATTCAAGATGTGTGTTGCAGGTGAAACTGCAAGCTGATAGTTATTAGAGTGCAAAGATCTCTGAAGTTAATGATCAGAGGTCAGTCACAAGCCAATCTTAAGACAAATCACAAGTCAGGCAAATGAGTAAGAGGTGACAAAGGAAGGTATTTGTCACAATTCATTGGAATGGTTCGTCACTTGACTTGAGACTGCATGTTGATGACTTGTGACTGACTTATGATGGCTTATGATGACTTATGATGACTACTGCAACCAGCCAATTTTATAGTGCTGCTTAAGCACAACATTTGCTTAAGCAAAAAAAACCAAAAAAAAAAAAAACTGCTTGATATAATCAGGTTACTGGCCAAAACTCCATGTGATGTTCATTGCTTGTGACTGGTTTTAAGCTGTTGTTTTCTTAGCACAACAATCGCATGGAGTTTTGGTGGGTAACCTGATTATATTAAGCAAAGTTTTTTGTGCTTAAGCAAATTTTGTGCTTAAGCAGCTCTATGACATTGCAGGTGATGGTGCTCGGGATGAGAATTTGGGAAACCGAGCTATTCCTCCAGTTTTTTGGTGGCAAGATCATCGGAACTTTGAACTTACAAAGAGCGAAGTCTTTGTTTTGACTCCATGGTTAACTGTGGAAGCTACGTCTGGATCCAGAGCTTTGCCGTAGAAAACTCGTCGGACTTGTGGCTCAGGTTGGGTAAAGTTCCGGAATTTCTTCACTTGATCTGGGGTTTGCACCTGAAAAAGGGATTTACAATTTATTATGTCAAAAGAATTTCTTTCAATTTGCAGATATTAATAATTATTATATCTCTATTTACTACTTTTTTTTACAATTTGGTTTCATATCACTTTGTATATTGGAGAACAAAAATGTTTTGTTAATGAATTTATAAAACTATGAGTTTTTGTTTTAAATTTTCAATAAGAGTGAGAAATGAAACAAAGGAAAAAAGAGCGAATTAAATTATACAAAGAATTTTTCGCCTAAATTGTAAATTGTGTTTCATCACTTCACAACACTAAAACAAAGAACAAAATTCGACAAAATACAAAAGTGACAATAAGTTGTTACATACCCTTTCAATATTAAGGCAATCTCTTGTTGTTTCTCCTTCCATTGTGATCAGTTTGCCCGCCTGGGAAATAAATCAAATTTAAATATCACTGGTGAAACACACAACTTGATTTTCCGTATTCCGTGGACAGTTTGAGTTTAAACTTCTTTCTGAAAATAATACAATTTAAAATACCAAATTTAAGTACCAAACAACATTTTCAATTTTCAATAGGCCTTTCCAATATGATAAACAAGTGAATTATTTCAGTATGGCCCGCTTGTAAAATTAAGACAGGAGTTGGCATAATTAATTATAAGATAAAAACTTACTGTAGTCATGTCCGGGTTTCTGTCCTTAAATCTGCCGCTGTTGCTCCCTATCGTGGGTTGAGATGACTGCCTTGTGCTCGGCGCAGAGCGTGACTGCCGTGTACTTGGCGCAGAAGCCTCCATGGTAAATTTACGTTGTCTGTCGACGTTGGCACAATTTTGCTTGACTCGAGTTTAACTTTAGGAAGTTCAGTCAGTCACGTCAGTGTGCTTGCCTTTAAATTAATTTGTTTTGCCCACCAAGTTATGTGTAGCTTAAGACAGAACTCTCTTTTTGTTAAATTAAGACGTCTTACTTTCGGTTCTTTTAAAGTTTGTATGCATGAACACGGAAGTCACCGGCGATTGCAGCTGTGATATGTTTACGTGCATGTACAATGCGCTATGATATGAGGGTGTCCCACATCACAGCGACCATGTGTAGTTGTTTACGTAGCAACCACCCCCAAATAGAAAACTCTCACAAAATGTTAATGTTGTCAGGATTTTAGTTAATTTTAAGAAAAATACTGATCAATAAAAATATATGTTACCATTTTTAAAATAATTTAATTGCAATTAACAATAAGAAGTTTTTAAAATAGACATTATGTTAACGTTATTCTGTCATAATTCTGAACATGGCCAGCTTCCTTTGACCTTTGCACCTAAGTCAAATTCACGGACTTTTTTCTATCGCAAACGAGACTTCGTCACGAGATTTGTCACCGAGCCGATGTCATCATCGTACGGGTTTCACGCCCTAATCTGCATGGTCAATGTCTCTTCCTGTACTTTTTATGTGTCGTCGCTTCGAAGAAGCAAAAAAGTTTTTTAAAGTTTCGGACCACGTAGGTGAGAAAATGTATTATTTTTTTAAAGGGAGGGGTCAGTACGGTTTATAAAAAATCCTACAAATTAATTTTTGTGGCATTGAAACTTTCTGTTGTAGCATCAGTTTAACTTCGAATGTTGTCTGGAAAATGGCACATATTTTTGCATAGCCATCCCATAGCGTACTGTGCACTGCCACTGCCCATTTAATTATTGCACACAAACAAAATAAAATGGGAGTCTAGTCTCTCTCGAGCTCAATGTTATTTTGAATTACGCCTACGAATTCGATTAAAACTTAATACAAGGGAGTATGAAATAGCTTTTACTAATAAAATTAATAAAAGCATACTGCTTGCATGGCTTGCATAATCATTGTTTGTTTTTGGTCCGTTTAGTTAGTGTAAAAAAATCATGATTGTTCTCAAAATATGTCGTCATGATCGTGTTTCAATGTTTTTTAATTTCATGTTTGGTTTTGGCTTTTTGCATAACAATTTGATCAACATTACATATGATTTAAGAGTTTATGAAATACCATTGCCAAATAACGTCTGTCTCCCATTAACCATCCATTCTTGCCTAATTACAATGATACTTGATCATTTGATAGTGTGTATGAACTATAATTTTGTTTTTACGTCACATGAAGCAGTTCAATTTTGTTTTCAGTTTATTGCGTTGACAAACAACTTAACAAGGACAAGGTCACCCAGCATCAACACTTTTCTTTTGAAGCCAGTGGGAATGGCCTTGCATACTTGTTTAATCTCCAATTACTTTCCATAGCAGAAATGCAGAATACCCCGCAACTCAACCACCAGGTGTGACTCGTACCCACGACCTCCAGCTTACTACAACTTGAACCTACAACTGCAGATATTCTTGTCACTCGATCATTGTCGATCACCAGGCTTGCACTTGCAGGGTCGGCTGGCTGGTTCGAGTCTGTTGCAGCAGCAGCTACCAGAACCAAATTATGATCATATGATGGAATTTGCGTCTGGAAGACTTAACTTTTACATCGGGTTTTGTCCTTTACTGAAGTAATTTGTAAACACTGTATACTCGGTGTTGTCCAAGGGCTTGTGTGGCTTTGTGAGAAAAAATTCACAAGCTTACTCGAGTGGGACTCGAACCCACGACCTCCATCTTACTAGTGCAGACATTGCCACACGACTACCAAGCTTGCTGGATTCGGCTGGCTGGTTTGAGTTCTAGTGTTCAGACAACTCCAAGTATACAGTGATTATAAAATACATCGATGAAGGGTAAACCCCAAAACAAAAAGATGTACGTTTACTGACAAGGTGAAGGACTAACGATGTGCATTTGATGTGGGCACCAGTGTGAAACAAGTTTGAAGTTTGACTGGACGAAAATGATTTCCCCCTTGTTAAATTTTCTGATGCGAAGAAATATTTGTTTCTGGCTTCTGGTCTAGTGGCCAAAAGTGTTTCATCTAGAATTTTAAAAAGTGCCTAACTTCCCGTGGCTCAAAAAAAAAGGGGGAGGGAGGGGAAGGTGGAGGGGTGGGGACTGGAGGGGTTGGGGGCAGGGTTTGGGCGGAAGTGTGTTACAAATCACTTGTGTTGGCAACGGTCAGTACTGTCAGTTAGGAATGTACAGAGCCTAAAAGTTCCATTGGTGATCCATTCATGGTGACAGGTACTGGAAAACCCGGTCACCATTATAAAAAAAAAAATTGAATTGGAAAATGTATGTAGCACGGCTGTAACCGAAATGAAACCAATACCATGTATAAACACTGGGAAATTCCCTATGGTAATAATCCTGTACGACGATTGGGAATTTTGTGGTAGAGTGTGTAAATTTGGCCTGAATTAGATTTGTATGTTTTTCTGCACTCATGGTCCCAATCTGCCGAGCGGCTGAATAGATCTATCTCAATTTAGCTGCAAAGTACTTGACCATTTTCAGTGTTAGTCTGGTACATGTACCAAATGCAGATTTGCCCCAATTCAGAATAGATTTTGTGTCTGTATTGGCTTCCCTTTTCTGCATACAGAAACACTTTGCCTGACCTTTTACTTTCAACTTAACTTAATGAGCTGGAGTGAAGTTAGGCTCAGTGACATGATCATTGCAAAGTATGTTAAGAGTGAAAGAAAGTGCGGTCAAACCAACCAGGAATAGGTTCATTTGAACGGCATGGGAGGCTAAAAATTGGTTTGTGTCCACTGTCCAACAAATCACTTCTGTTGGCAACGGTCAGTTGGGAAATACAGTGCCTAAAAGTTGCATTGTTTATCCATCTACAGTGAAAGGTGCTGGAAAACACGGTCATCATTATAAAAAAATAACAAAAATTGAATTGGAAACTTTGTGTAGCACTGCCAAAACAAAACCAATACCGTGTATTATAAACACTGGGGAATTCCCTAAAATAATAATTCCCTGCAATGATGAGTTGATGGCAAGTAATGCAACCTGACGTCTTTGCTAGATGGTGTAACACAGCTACATGTACCAGGGCACCAGCATGTCCATAGCAGTGCACACACTGGTACCCTCACAGCTACTTAAGTGTTGGTTAATCAATGTGGACCATTTGCCCAACAAACTTGGCTAGTCTCAAAACCTGTAGATTTTACACAATTCTGTTGATTAATATGAGCTAGATTTAGCAAGGCATTTTTTGGGGGGAAAGATTGTATTTCAAAATATTTTGATAGTTTTGTTTCTTGGTGTTTGCAATATAACCATTAGGCCAAAAAAAAAATAAGTCGGTCTCTGGTCAGCGCGCGCGTCGATTTTAATCATGCGCGTCGATCTTTTTTTTTTCCAAAATGTTCCGCGGTAGCTTCAACAGCGCCCTCTATTTCCGCACCTCATCAATTTTTTTTTACCAAAGAGCACCAAGGAATGGGAAATTGCACCAAGGCAAATGATCGAAAGCAGTGCACCAAGGCAAATTATGGAGGACACCAATGTTCATGAGAACACCAAAAAAGCAAAATAGTACCCCACCTTGTCTGTACAATCCAAGCTTGAAGAAAAGAAAAAAAAGTAAAAAAAAAAAAAAAAAAGCCGCGTGGCCGCGTCAATTCCGGAACTTTGGTCTGACCAGAGACCGAATATTTTTTTGGGGGGCCTTACATGTAAATTTGTGGTGATTGTAATAAAGCCATTTTGTTCCCAATCCAACTGAACAACTTCAGATACATTTATGAGTCTTCATTCTTACCAAAAATAAAAAAAAACCTTCTTTATTTGTTCTTCCAGGATGTCAACTTGAAAGTACCCGCCTTTTTTCTCTTGGATAGACTGTGAAACAACAGAGAGATTTCTGTACTGTGAGAGTCAAGACACAGACGAGTCAATTTCATATTGACTTGAATGTCGAGCTAAAGAAACATTCCCACTAATTAAAAAAACAACAACAAAAACTGTGTTTGAGACATGGCAGCAAGAGGCGGTGCACAAAGACCAAATGGGACACAGGGGAAGATATGTCAGTTTAAATTGGTGTTACTGGGGGAGTCGGCCGTGGGCAAGTCCAGTCTAGTGCTACGGTTCGTCAAGGGTCAGTTCCACGAATATCAAGAGAGCACCATAGGAGGTGAGTGCAAAGATCTCTTTTTTTTCCGCTCTTTTGATACTTGCGGATCCAGTTTATAACCAATATGCTGCCTGATTTGGGAAGTTACTCTGAGGCAAACTTGGAAACCTGGTGGTCAAGTACGCTGCATTAGTTTGACTCGCCTTCCGGAAGGGAAAATAACGACAAATTTGTGGTACTTGCTACTGTGGTGAGCCACGCCCACTGCACATACAATGACATAGGGGTATTGCCCTAACCCTCCAGGGTATGTTTGCTAGAACCCTGCCAAACGTTGCAACATGCAACACTTGATTGAGTGACAAGCCTGCCCAGTGTAGCAAGATCCATCAGGGGAAAAGTCTCAAGGCCACACTGCCTCAGAGACCTTGGTAACCGCTTGCAGCAGGATAATACTGTGGCATTGTTCAATGGGACTTGGCTCTCATTGTTTCAGAGCCGGCCATTCATGCACTGGTGTTGGTAGCTGAATGCATCAAAGTGCACCAGTTCTTTTCACCTGATGCACTTTGTTGCGTCTGGCAGGGTTAGGGTTAATACGTGTGCCTGTCTTCAGGACCACATGGCATGTTCAAACTGCATGCAGCGTAAGCACGTGTGCAGTTCTCGGATGTTGTGCATGTAGATCAGACAATAATTGCCACTGTGACTGGTCAAAACATCATGCAGTGGGGCTGAATGGATGGGTTTAAAGTTAGCTGCAAATTACGTAACCATTTTCAGTGTTAGTCTGGTACCAATTGCAGATTTGCCCCAATTCAGAATAGATTTTGTGTCTGTATTGGCTTCCCTTTTCTGCATACAGAAACACTTTGCCTGACCTTTTGCTTTCAACTTAACTTAATGAGCTGGAGTGAGGTTAGGCTCAGTGACATGATCTCTGCAAAATACATTGTACATCAGGACGATTTCTGTTTGATCTTGTTGACCTTCGTATTGTGAGAGTGTCATGATTACTACAATTTTGTGAAATGTCTGTCCCAACATGCCCAACATGAAACTAATGTAAAAGTGAAAGAAAGTGTGGTAAAACAAACCAGGAATAATTTCATTGGAACAGCACAGAGGCTAAAAGTTGGTCTGTGTCCAACATCTGTAACTTCCATTTAAAGCCAGAGTCCATCATTTGCAGCTATCCAAAAAGTAACTGGCGTAACTGTTGTTGAAAAACATACTTGGTTGAAAGATAGTAAGGGTACTAAACTCCCTGTGAAATTATTCTTTCTGACAAGCTGTCATTTTGAAGAAATCAACAAAAGAAGGCCTTTCCAACGGTGCTTCCTAAGAAGCACCGTAGGAAATTCAAATTAGAAGTTTGTTTTGTTAATCGGCGAAGCGCGCGCAAGCATTGGCACTACGCACATGCGCCCGTGGTTGCTATAATTCGTCACATCAGAGCGCAACATCGCGTAGCTGCAATCAGCTCAGAACGTGTCTCGGACGCTGAATCCAGGCCCAATTCAAAACAGATTCAGCAACTTTTGTTTTGAAATCGAGATCCGAGAATGTTGTTTTTCTCGAAATAAACAGCTAAAGCTGAGCTGCAATTTCATCAGGTTAGTTGTACAGCACCCTTCTTTAGATCTTGAGCACTTTTGTTGCTTCAAACGAACAAAATGCACAAATTACAAATGATGGACTATACCTTTAATTTTACTCTCAGTATTTAATCAGGCTATGAAGCCAAACTGACAACAAGGAAATGTTTCCACTGGAGGTTGTTTATCCCAAATACATGTATACGTACTGTACATGTATGCAGATTCATATTGGGCATTCACCTGTGTGCATGCAAGTTTTCATGAGTCACTGCATAAGAAATGACTAGACACTTTGACATTTGACTTTCTTTGTTTCCCTGTGGTGATGAAAGAAAAATTGCAACAGCTAGATAGCACACATAGGTAGCACATGCCATGACAATGAAAACTGAACATGTTTAGGTGGGACATGAATGTAGGTTGGCTTGTTTTCATTCTGTTTAAAAACACAGCTTCCGATTACATGCCGTTTGAAAATAGGGTACATGTACATGTAGGTCAGATTTTTTAAAACATTTTCAAACTCTTTTTGGCTGTTCCGCAAAGTTGCGGAAAAGCCTTTGTTTTTGTTCTGATTGTTTTTCTTTCTTCTTCATCTTGTTCCACACCCAAAATCCCATAGACTTTGTACATGTCTTTTGTCGGCGCCACTTTTGGCATTAATCTTTGTCCTTCATCATTCAAAGTTACCATAGGCATAGTCCCCATAGCAAAGTTGAGTCTTGAAGATTGACGTCATCATGACGTCATCATGTGTCACGTGACGTCATCTGAAATGTGCATATTTTAAAGTCCTATATCAACAGTACTGTAAGTCCGATTGGGTTGAAACTCGGTATGTAGGTAGACCGGGATGTGTTATAGGTAAAAATTAAAGTAAAGTCATGATGACGTTATTATGCAATTTTATAGGATTTTTTGAATTTTTGGACATTCAAGCCATATCTCACGAACGCAACATGCAAAATTCAAAATTCTTTTTGCATTATGTTTGTTAAGAAGCAGAAGTAATTTTCTTTTAGCCTCATACGGCTTTACCTTGTTTGCCAAAGGATGGTTCAGGTGGAATGTCCTGAATCTGAGGAGAAAATCAATTGTAAAAAGTGCAACTTTTGTGGTAATATTCTTAGAGTTTGACTATGTGTCATAAGGTTGTGATGGTAGTTGCGAATATTATCATTGTTTGATTCCAAGGTTCATCTGTAATTCAAACAGTAGTTGCCCTTTGACCCTCATGACCCATCCTTCATTGGTGAACCTCTATCAGTTTTACACGTCACTGTACAAATGTACATGTTTGTGGTTAATAACCAGAATTAGTAGGAAAACGACCAATAGTAATATACAAAAATACATTCATGGGTAATCATGGTTAAAATCTTCAGCAATCAAATCCAGCGTTCTGATGATTAAATGCAACTGACTGTCATTCTGTGTATCCCTGCCCATGGCATTGGGCTTATGTGTACAGTACATACGTGTACATGTACTGGACTCTGTGCATGTGGACACAGACGCATTACATTTTCTGTGTTCCACTTGCTTGTGGGATACCTGATAATGCTTCATAACTACTTTTGAAAGCCTACATGTAGCTTGCGGTGTACACTGCGTATGTGTATGTTTGCACACGTGGCATGAATGCCCAATTAGTTGATCTTACGGCTTGAAATCCCCGAAAATGTTATGCTTTGAATTGTTTACTTATCCTATTTCAAAAGTCTTTCAAATTAACATTGTTTCGTTTAAAACACGTTTTGTAGCCCAATTGGGCGCATTCCAGCAGGTAATGTCCCTTTAATTAACTTAAAGTAGTAAAACCTGTTTTCTCGTCTCGTGGCATATATAGTACAAGGCGTTCAGGAGCTCTGCCTTTTGTAACCGTGGGGGGGGGGGGGGGGGGGGTACTTGTGCACAGAGCATGTTGATGTTTACATGTGTACATATATACATGTACATTAAGTGTCATGTCATACTTGTTCAGCACAAATGTGCAGCTGACTTGCATGTACATGTATGCACATGTACATAAATGATACTGATTTGCACAAACATCACTGTGGCTGTGGGAAAAAGAATAATCAATATTATTCTAAGCGGAGGCACTTGTTCTGTGCAAAGTAATTTAATTATGCATAACATCACAGTTGGGCTTCCTAAATGCAGAATTGCAGATGTATGACATCTACCGGGTACGTTGCTGGTATATATACAACACAATGTATTGCCTTTGCTTTTGAGAAAATAGTACCAAATATTTGAATCACAATTTGTTTACAAAAATTATTAACATAAACCACTCCCGTGAGGAAATAAAATTGAACAAATGTCATCATGAAAGCCAATTTATATTTCATACAACTGCAAATGCTATTAACCCTAACTCCCTGGGGTAATTTACTAGGAACCTTCCTCATTCTTGCAAATCCCAACACCATATGGTAAACTGTGCACATAAACAGTTGGACACCCAAAGCACAGTCAGTTTACTAGTGCAGTACTCATCCTAACAGATCCCAACACTTCTGGTGTTGGAGCTTGGCTGGTTGGGGATCGTTAGGGTTAAACGAAAATCACATCATGGAACATTTCAGAGGAAATTCAGAACCATTAAAAAGCGTTCGTGTAGATACTTGCCAAGACAACACAAATTTGCATAATTTACACATGTATGTATGCATTCACATGAACTGGCCTGGCACATACATTGTACATGTACTGTGTGTAATACTCAATAGTATTCAGAATAATGATTTTCCGATTGAGTCATAAATTGTGTGGGAGTGCCTTATCCTGGTACGCTGCATGCCTAGGCAGGCAGGTCATGCAGTAAAAAGACAACACCTCCAAACGAATTACGTGGAAATCAGTTCCGATGCTCAGTCAGCAGTCTTCAGTTTTTCAGTGTTTCGAGTATAAACACGGCTAAAGGGCAAAGGATGTGTTTCGTGTGAGTGTTTGTGTTCAGGAGTCGATCGCAGCGAAGCTGCCTGCCACGCGAAGCTGGCAAGGTGAAGCCTTGTCTCTAAATAGGCTTCATGAGAATTTGATTGAGGTTGGTGTAGTGAAATAAAAGAGAAGTTCTGTTATATTCATATCCTTTTCCCTCTGGACTATTGAGCCCGTGGACTGTTAAGCCCCTCAAATCACATTCAGCTTGTATATGGTGTGGGTCAGCCTATAATCTAATAAGCCGACTGGTAGTGTTGCAGAGCTGTGTAACTCATCAATTGTGCCACAGTGTCGATTATACAAACCCCCGGCCAAGCGTTCGCAGGCCTACATGTAGCCTGCGCCACTAATGAAATGTCTCGGTTTCTCAGTCAACGCTGTCACCGTGCTCATGTTAAGCCCCGGCACTGATACACACAAACACAGCGCGTACATGCGATGCCTGTTAACGTATGATAATCACAGTTGTGAAAGTGAATCCTCGGTTGGGTCTGATAGGATCGGGAGAAAAAACAGATGTGGCCCAGTTGAGTGGCATCTTCTGAGGATTCCAATGAAACGTGCTGCAGATGATTGTGACATGGATGCATCTTGTGTGTTGCAGAGCACACAGTCACTTGCTGCAGGGGAAATTGATGCTTGTTTATCTCTTACTGTCTGCCTCAACTTAATGGAAATTATACTGGAAATCCATTAGCCATACGCACTCCACCGGGAGATTGTGCACGTTTATGAGTATTGTGATTTCATCGTACTAAGGGCAAGTGACTTTGGCAGAAACTAGACCAATGTATTTGTAGCCCAGCCCCTTAGTACATACATTTTGTGTACGCATTGCCCAAATAGGCATAACTGTTCATTTGCATATTGTGCACATATTTTATTATATGTTGGCCATGTGTGTGTACATGTATGTGCATCCATCAATGGTAACCCCCATTGATCATTCAAGCTATGATATTAAGTGGGGCATATCGTGCATATCATGTATTTTCTCCCCTGTTGGCAATTGATAAGAAATGTGACAATTTGTCACTGGGTACTGAAATTCAGCAACACAAAATTCAAGCTACCCAGACCAAGCCAATTATGAGTCATGTGATATTTAGCTAATGCAAGGAATGAGCTCGGAAGTACAGATCGTTGAGCTGATAAGAATCAATAAGTGATATATTAAATCATGGTGGGTATGTGCATGCACAAGTAATCATCTTTATTCCCGCCTTGGCCTTTTTTGTTAGGATTCATCCTCAATCCTTCAAAATCCTTCAACATCCTCCAACTGCCACCATGGAAAAATTGGATACAGCCTCAATCCTACAAAACCATCAACTATTTCTTGAATTTTCTTCAGTGGAGGGGTGACTTCTGCCTCAATCCTTTAAAATCGTCCAACAATCACTGTATTACAGTGTGGGTGATTTCAGTATGACGCAGGCCTCGATTATGCATGGCTGAAAATACAACATGCTTGGTAAGGCTTAAGACCTTGACACAGTGCATTCTTCATAAATCAAATGACAATTTTTTGGGCACACAGGCTCAAATCCTCCAAAACCACCTGATTGATTTTGAAGGATTGATGACAGTTAGGAGTAAATGCTCTCAAAAATGTATTAACCCTCCTGTTGTTTGAACAGTCACAGATAGTCAAAAAGCCTGCCATGCTTTTTACAATCACCAACAGTTAAATCATAAGGTCAGGCAAGCACTGTGACAAGTCAAATTCAGTCAACAGACAAAACCAGGCAATAAGTAGGCACAGTTGGCTTAACAATCACCGATAGTCAAAGCATAGCTGTATCAAGTTACACAAACAGTCACAGCCAGTCAATCCTGCTTTATGTAGTCTGGGAGCTCTTAACTGTTGAAAACAGTCACTTGATTGATTTTGACTGAAAGGACAACTTTGCACAGAATGTACATTTGCATCGGAGGGTTAACTGAATTTCTGGGCTTGTTTATTTCTTTTTTTCTGCAGCTGCTTTTTTGACACAGACAGTCTGCTTAGACGATACAACAGTAAAGTTTGAGATCTGGGATACAGCGGGACAGGAGCGATACCACAGCCTAGCACCGATGTACTATCGGGGAGCCCAGGCAGCCATTGTAGTCTATGACATCACAAACCAAGTGAGGCTCAAATTTATAATCAGGCAATTAAATAACAACCAACTACCATTCTGTTTTTCATTTCTTTCCCCCTGGCTTTCAAGGCATACAGGGGGATATTGCGATCGTGTATTCCTTGTGTGTGTCCGTGTGTGTGTGTGTTCCAGTTCACTGTATTCAGTTATCAATCTCAACCAATACTGAAAGGTGGTCTGTGGAGAGAAGGTTAAGGTCAAAACAATCCTTTCCAATATGGATATTTACGAGGTCTCTGGAGAGCTCAGTTCAGTATTACTAATGACTCCAACATGTGGGCCTTTCCACACTAAAAGCCTTGTACAAAAGTGTGACATGGGTTTAGGAAATGAAGCAGGATAATAATATCAAGTTTGTCCCATTTTCCACTCGTACATTCCCACCCCATTGTTGAGGATTATTTAAGACTTTCCAGGCACATTTGACTGATTGTCCTTACTGTCTGTATACAAACTGCCTGCATGCCAGGGGGATCGCACACTTTGTACTTGCAGTATTTTTTATATCTCAAGTCTTCAATGCTGTTAAGATTAACAACAGTAAAAGGATTTTTTTTTCAAGACTAGACAAAAATTGTTAAAAAGTGCACATTCAGTCAGATATCCGTTGTCTACTTCATACATCCATCCCTAAAAGATAAGGGCACCCTCAAAATGTTGATCGTACAAATAGTGAGTATAGCTTGCATTATGCATATCATGTACTCGATATTCAAGTCAGTCTGGTTATATGCGTGTGCATTCTATTTTTGTTGTTTTTTAGGACACATTTGCACGGGCCAAGACATGGGTGAAGGAGCTGCAAAGACAAGCGAGTCCCAACATAGTTATAGCGTTAGCTGGCAACAAAGCTGACTTGGCCAACAAGAGGATGGTAGAATATGAGGTAACAAGCTTTTTTTTTGCTTAGTTTAAAGGCACATATCGCAACATGCCAAGTCACGTCGCTTTGTGCTCAGTGTTCGCTGGTATTCGCGGTCTCCCCCAATGTAAAACCTCAAAAGAAACCGCCCGTTCTGGACAAACTCTCGGTGCTGAGATTTGTTTTTGAGCAATTTGCTCCAGAGAAAGCTGTAGAAAAATGGGAATCTAGACTTATTTATTTATTTATTTTTTTTAATCAAAGTGTCATCTTAACGGTCAGTAACTTTTACATGGGATAATCGATATATCGAATATGCACGCTATTGGATTTCCAATACATCGATTATTGAAAATTGACGGTGCTTACTACATGTAGCTCACTAATGCTGACTGACTCACTGTCACTTGTGACATAGCCTGGTTGTTGGTTAGTGGAGAGAGCTGGGCAGTGCTATTGTATAGGATTACCCCGTAATGGGCTAAATCTGGCCCATTGTGTACACCACATGCATGTAGAGAGTTGTACTGACTAGCCATTCTGAATCAATTAATCAGAATGTTGGTGCCTTTTTAGCCTTACTAAGCTTGCCTTGTTTTATGTGTCGTATTATACAAATAATGTGAGTGCAATGGTAAGAATAATTTCATGAGGTGACAGATGACATGTTCCATTCCACGAGGCGAAGCCAAGTGGAATGGAACATTTCATCTGTCACCGAATGAAATTATTCTTTCCATTGCATGAACGTGAAACATTAATTATTTGTTTTATATAACACCTGTATAAATCCTTGTCATCTGATTGGTTGACTTTTAATAGCCAATTTATTCAGGTTGAAAACTGTTTAAAAGTTCGACAAGTTCATCATATTTATATTTATGCAAACTATTCGACAGGTTGAGAACAATCATATTCAATTTATCAATTTATCTTGATATAAAACAGCGCCACCACCAGCAGCAGTGACAGCGTACAATGGACAGTGCAATAGAACTTCCATTGCACTGTGCGCTGCGCGCCACGCGCGCACCGTGCGTTGGTACGAATAATTCAATGACATGTGATCAACGATCCTCCAATCAGATGACGGGGATTTATTCAGGTGTTGTATAATTGTAACTGTTTTTGTTGAGATTTTTTTTTACCTTTTGTGTGTGTCCTATTTGCCCTTTCCTCATTGACAGGAAGCCCAGGCATATGCTGAAGAAAACAGTTTGTTGTTCATGGAGACATCAGCCAAAACGGCAATGAATGTAAACGACATATTCTTGGCAATTGGTGAGTTCACTTGAAAGTTATTTGCACTCGTTTCCAGTTTCAGACTGCCAATCCAGGGTCGTTCTGAACAAAATTTTATTAAAAGCAACCCAAATCTACCTTAATCGTAACTCCCTAGCGTCTTTTATTAGGAACTGGACCAAGTCCATCAAAATCCATCGATCACTGCGCTTCCAATACAAAACTGTACATGACATAATGGAATCCACCACTGATGCACTGGTTGACATTCACGGACTTGCTACACATGGCTTTTATCACAATAGCAGTACAGGAAGCTGGGCAAAATCAATCGGATACCCCTAGCACTGCTTCAGGCTATTAGGCCCAAGTCCATCATCCTCCATCAATATTTAGTCATGCCAGGCCTCCTGGACCAAGTCCCCCAAACTCCACCAAAATTGGGGGATGGATTTTGATGGAGTTGGGGTGGTTAGGGTTAAGAGATTTTGGTGTAAAACTACATCTCCATTGCCTAGACTCTATAGAGTTATTCTGAAAGTCTGCAACAGTCCAACTTTTGATGTAGTGCTCCGAACTGTTTCAAACATTGAAATGTCTCATTTACTTGTATTGGAATCGTCAGAATAATTTCATTCAGAGTGACTTTGGAACGCCCAACTAAAACCGGCATGTGACATTTGTTCTCTATCTCTAAGACTGAGAGTGATTCCATCATATCAGAGAATTTTCGGGATACTTGCGCTGATAGCTGAATCATTTTGCAGCATTCCAGATCAGAAGCTGGCTTGCGTCTGTTTAAAAACATGGATCCTGGTATCAATAACATAACACAAATTTCCTCAAAAAATATTGTTTTCTATATTTCATTTTAAATATTTTGTTTACATGTTGCAATAGATTTATTGTTCTTGGAATTGGTCCCACACAGGAAGCAGTCCATAATTTGATCATCCTGATGGTTTTTTTGATGGACTTTTACAACAGTCATGTAAATTTCCCATTTTCATGCTGACAGTAGAATACAGTTGTTGCTTGCATAACATGGGTTATGCATATATTTTCTGGCTTTATATTTCCTGGATATCGCTATAAAATTATTTTATGAGTATGTGTGTGTGTTCGTACAATGAAAGAATTACCCAAGCACAAGAATATAACTGACTTTTTTATTGATATCTCCTTACAGCCAAAAAGCTTCCCAAAAGTGAGCAGGCGGGCGGAGCCGGGACTGTTCAGAGGCAAGGTGGGCGGGGCGTGGACCTGACGGAAAACCAACAACAGACGTCGGGTGGATGCTGCAAATGAAGGCTAACTTCACCATTCTATTATCTCCCTGTACAAATAAGAAGAAATTACCGTCGGGGTTAGGAATGGTTGGAATTGGGGGAGGGGGGAAGGGGGGGGGGGATATGAAGATTTTGGGGGTTGTCGATGGCCGTTTTTGATTTGACATGATCATAGATGTATAAATATACAGGAATTTGACAAATTAATGTGCACACTCTGAGTAATTTTTCACTAATCGGAGAGTGATCATCATTCTTTGAAATCCACCGTTTTGCAAGATTGAGGAAGGTTAAGCCCAGCCACTATGACATCACGTACGGCTCCATACCCGTTGAAAGTTTGAAAATATTGTGTACCGTGTGCATTTGTCGTCATTGGATTTTGGGTTTGAATCTTTTCCCTTGTCTGTTTTGTTAGAGATGCATCAATCAAATTGGCGCAAGATTTGGATTTCTGTAGAACTTGAATCATGGAGTCGATCTATTTAATTGACAAAATAATCTGGCTGTCTTTTTGAGTTGAAAAGACCCACTGTTCAAGGAAAGAAGGCATATCCACGTTGTGAATATGCTCGGACTGAAATTAACAATCTTGCTCTATGGTATAATGCCACTCTGAATCCTGTTAATTGGGTGGTTTTTGTTTTATTTGCAGCATAGAATCACTCCAACTAAAAAAAAGTAACCAGTTAGATCACTTTTTATCACGTGAATGGCTGTCACTGAAAACAATTGCTCTTTTTTTCTTCAAAAAGCATTTTAATTCAATAATTGTTTGCAATTCAACACTTGCTTGATTGGTAAACTTTGAAGCTTTTGAATTGTTTATGTTTACTTATATTGTATCATTTGGGGCTGTTTAGCAAAGACATAATTACACAAAAAAATGTACATACCAGCCATGCAACTTTTCCTCGGATCCGCTGATTTCCTCGTTTTTTTTACTTTTCATGAATGCCATTACAAATTGAAAAACACTGTACAAAATCCTGTGTGATTTAGAATTTCCTCGTTTTTGTTTCTAAATTCCCAGTTGCATGCCTGACATACAATGTGCAAGCCTTTTTTCGGAATAGAAACCCATGTCTAGCTTTCGATAGTTTCTTGCACTTTGAAATGTGATTTCGGTGTAAAGAATTGCTCAGAGTGTGCCGTCTCTTTGAGAAAACCACGTTTTTTTCAGCCCGCCCTAAAACACCAATGCATTCTTTAACACTTTCTGGCAATCAATTAGCGTATTAAAAGACAGAAAGGAACACTTCTCTGGCCCCACAAAGTGTATATGAGACCAGCTCCCACAAAACCTGGACAAAGTTGCAGAAGTTGTTTCCGCACCAAGGGCCTGTGATGTCATTTTTGGGATGGAACTGACCATGTTGAGGTTTAAAGATTTTCTGAATCAGTTACTAGAAATCTACAACCTCAGTGACAGTTAAACTACAAAGATCTACTCATGCTTTTACATCACAGCGGAACAAAGACCTTTCTTCAATTATGCAAGGTGTTTACTCCAGGTATTACATAGCACCAGTCAAGATCCAAAATTTGTAATAATATAGTTCGGAAACAGAATTCTCTCATTCAATATTTTGAAGAGAAAGCAAGAACATTGGGCTATCATTTGCCTCGGAACAAAAAATAGCTCAAAGAGAAATAGCACCCAAGTACATTGCAGTGCAAATAAGGTGCTTCTTGTGTTGGGCGGATTTCTAAAGTCTTTGAATTCCGTAGAGAGAAACGTTGGGTGAAAGATCTGTGACTAACATTTCCAAAAATATGTCATTTCCATGCCGACGACTGCCATAGGGGAAGGAAACATGACTAAGTAATGTCACGTGACAATCAAAGTGCTTGCAGTTCATGTGGACTTCACTTTGGCAGAGACAAAGTTTGAAACTGAATATATAAACTCAATCCAGTGATAGACCGCTATTGTGGCTATTTAATGTGGCAATGAGGTGGTTGTATATTATATAATGAGGTTATTGTTACAGAGAGGCAAAGTAATCCTTCTCTTGATTCGCTGGGTCTCTTTGGGCTTCATGTTTTTAATGCAGTCGGTCAAGAACATAGTATGCATCTTTCGTTTAGTTTTTTTCTGTTTTTGTTGAAACATTGGCTGTGTCTCTGACTTTGGCTTGAGTAGAAGCCAAAGTCAGTCATGAACCCAAAGTTTCGAAAAAGCCCATATATATCCAAGACGCCAGCATCCTGGAGTTGTTTCAACTAAAGGTGTGCGGAGCAATGCTTTTGCTTAGCGTAATGTGTTAACGGTTGAAAATGTTTTATGTGCTACTGCATTCAGCTTGCCAGTTGAATTTGATGGCTTAGCACAATGAATTGTACTCTCAATAAGTGTAGAGTTGACACTTTGATGTGTTAGTGTCACCATTATAACAGTTGAGGGCTCTGTGTACATGTAACCCCCTCAACGGTAAGAAAGGGAGAGTTTGGGGTGACCATTGGGAGAGACATTCGAAGACGCTATGGCTTGTGCACATTCAGAACGAAAGCAGTTGTGCAAACTGCACGTGTCCCCTCCAGGGGCTCTCAAAAGTGGTCAAAAAGAGCCCTCTCTTGTTGGCGCATGGAGCCCATAAAATGCAAGGTGTTGCAAAAGTGACGTCAATTAATGGGATAGGCTAAACAAATCCATGAAAAGGAAGACTTTCAATCAACTGTCTGCGAAGGTCAAAGGCATTTATGACACCACCCACTGGAACTTCAGAAAGTGAGATATAATAATTATGTATAATGGTACCCACAAAAAAAATGTCAACATAACCAAGGTTGATCAGATGAAAATTGTACAGACCATGTTGAACATTTTGCAAAAGAGCGGACTTATTTGTATGTAGTGGGTAGAAAATCGGCATTTAATATATATTGTGTATTGACTGTTTAGACCTCTTTTTTTCGCCATGTAATTATTTTTTATTTTGATCATGAATAATTGCTGTTCCTTTATTAAAAATTGGAATGGCCGACACATGTAAAGTGAAATGAAAGCCAGGCGTGTAGAATCTTTAATAATATAGTATTCATGAAATGTACGGTTTATACGCTAAATTTGGGGGAAGCTTAAAGGCTTGAGAATGTATTGATCAGTATGCAGTAGCACCAGATTGAAGGCTATTAATGATATAGGTGCATCCCCCCGTAGAATATAATGGTTTCACCCAAATTAATGGTGTAGCAGTTGTCCATAGATCACAACATTGAGCTTAGGAGGGATGGTTCATGGTTGAAGGGGAGGGGGGCTTAAAGGAGGGGGAAAGGCTGTATTGTAAATTAAAGGTGGTTATGGTTACTTGTCTCAACTGAGAGGACACACATTTTTGCATACTTGTAAATTGTATTACGTAGTTAAATTAATATGCTACTTCCCCCAAAAAACATAAGTGGATTCACCCAAATTATTGATAAGTGGGTTATTCCACTGACTGGAGGGTGGACCACCGGGGGAAAATCGAGTAGAATTTGGCAGTTTCTATCAAAATAAAAATGTTAATTATGTTGTACAAAAAGTGTCTCGCCCATAAAGACAAAATTCTTGCTTTTCTTGTGAAATTCCTTCTGTACAAATCTTTAATGTTTATAGATAACATCAAGCTAAACCCCCCATAAATTGTTTTTTAATCATTATTCGTGTCCATTTTTCGTTTGATGTATTTGTTTATGTAGGTTAGGTTTTCAGTGCATAATCTCCATGTTATTAACTCCTAATTTAGGAATTGGGGGGGGGGGGGAGATAGTCTTTCAGAAAATGACAAAAATGCATATACTTGCGCATGCAACTGCATTACATGTACTGTCCATGAGTGAAAAACGCCCCCACTTAACACTGTCATTTTAAAAATATTACTTTGAAATAACTATCGTTTTAAATTATTTGGAGGTCTTAATTTTACAGCTTATGAACAGAATTACCACTTGTACATCTACACTTCGTTAGTTTTTATCAGCTGGTCGAAGTAAACATTTTTTTCTTTGTCACTATTAATTTGGCAGAAATATTAGTTCAATTTACATTGATTTACTTTTCAAATGGTACAGCCATGGAAGATACAGTTTTTGTTTAATTTAATTTTGTGCATGTTTATTTAACCATTATCGTGCCCACATAACCATAACACAATTCATGTATGTTATACCCATTCCATAGCAAAATAGTCCTATTAATGCACGCGTATATCCTTGAAATCTCAAATGTCCCAAATATGTAGTTTTTTAATGTGCACTGTGAATTCACTTAAACAAATACCAAAAAAAAAAATAATAACTTCATCTCATTTAAACTCGGATTGGACCAAGTACAAGCGCATTGTGTCTGATGTTTATAGATTTGTGTATTTCTTTTTTCTTTTCTATATCTGCCAGTTGTTTAAAATGATGGTGTTTGGCTGTATATTATCTTGCAATGGTAAGTAGGCAAATAGATTTGTACCAAAAAAGTAACCAAGAAGGGAAAGGAACTTGTTCCACACTGATTTGGTCTGAATAACCAACAAATAAATACATTTTCTGATCTACATATTACCATGACAACATATCCCTTATGACTTATGAATGTGTACAGGTTTATTATTATTTTGAGTAAATTGCTAGAAAGAAAAAAAAAACGTATGACAAAACACTGCTAATGTTGGAATATCGTAGCAATGGGAAAAAAAAACCAAACAAATGATAACTGTATTGTATTAAAGATGATTAATTATTAAAGGTGTTTCGTGAATTTGTGCGCTTTTCTGAAGTTGTCCGCCATTGAATACAATGGAAGTTCAAAGTCGTGTTCTTCTAAATAGTGTTAAAATGATGTTTGAAACAAAAATGAGAACAAAGAATTTAGAACCCCCCCCAAAAAAAATAATATAATAATACGAGACAAGCTAGTTACTAGCCCTAATTTTGGAATAATCATTCAACGGAATATATACATGTATTCGTTTTAATTCACTCAATCATTGAATGCAAACGTTTTTTAAACCAGAAACAAACAATGATGTACATGGACCTAGACCTACCTAAGCACCAAAGATGACATCCAGAAAAATGTGTTATGTATGATAAACAAGACGCACAAAATCGGTTACTCACGTTACATTTTCGTAACGTGAGTAACCAATTTTGTAACACATTTTTCTGGATGTCATCTTTGGTGCTTAGGTAGGTCTAGGTCTACTCTATCTACCATGGGGATAACAGTTATTAAACCTTTTCAGTAAGGTAATTACAGCCCAAGGAAACTCAAAAGTACATCAAAAATGTAACGTGAGTAACCGTGGAATTGCCCATAATGTACGGGTACTTTATCATGAGTATCAGTACGAGTACCAAAGAAGGTACATGCACTCAAGCACTGATAAGCAGAGGTCGTGGGTGCGAGTACCATCCGAGCAGGCTTATGTATTTGCTTTCAGTACTGCGTATACAGTGCTTGTACAATTACATTGAAAAAGTTCAAAATGCCACACTAAAACAGACAACTCCCTCAACATAACATACCAACAAAGTATTGTAAACTTTGCCAAATAGGATACATTTGATGTTAGGAGTTTTGTTAAAGCTTCATCCATGGAATAATCAGAGACTTTGCAATCAAGTCCACATACATGTATTAAGTCTTATCAAGTCAATTACAAGTTTTTTTAGTCTCGAGTTAAAGCATGAGCTATTCAAATGGCTCTGACAAAGGGATTCAATACTTTATTATATTCGTTTCTGACTGGCATCGAAAAGTGCTGCCAAACAAAAATGTATTGAGAACAAACTACATTCAGAACTTGGTTTTAGACCGCGAACTTTTGTTCAAATTTCCACTGATTGCACTCTGGTCTTATCTTGAACGACAAGTCAATCATATTGTTTTTCAAAAGTTGACCGTTATTCAGATCGTCGCAATATTTTGTAAGTACAAGTAGTAAGCAGGTTGTGAGATCAAGTCCCATTTAAGCCCTGGAAAAGTCTGTCCAATTCTGATGTCAATATTTGCATCCAGGCAATAGGATGACCATGACCGTGATGTTGTCCTTAGAGCCACCCAAGAGGGCGCTCTGTACCAGTCGCTCGCTCATCTGTTGGGCCAGGCTGCGGTACATCTCATGCTTAGTCTGTCGTCCCTGCTCTACCTCCAGGAGCCGAGACTGGGCGTAGATGGTGTGCAGCTCTGTCAGGGTGTCCACGTCCGCTTCGTTGCCATCGTCATTCTCCATCAATGCCGAGATCATGCTATCAAAATCTGTCTGCTCGCTGATGTTGTCGTAACCATTGTCATGTGGAGCATTGCCTGGGCATGCCTCCCTGGTTTGATGGGGTAAGAGGTGGTCGTGCTCTAGAAGTTTGGGGGTGTCTTTTCGGTTTGACGCGCTGTCTGATGCTGGTGAAGCATTTTCCAGTTTTATTTGTGCCACGCTTGGAATTGGACTTTCTTTGACATTGCTTGTTTCGTTTATTTGGGGACTGTCCTTTTCTCCTTGTGTACTCTGTTGCTCAGATGGCACATCATTACCATTGTCCATGTCTGTTTTGGTGCTTTGGTCCAGATGATCTTCATCGTCTGCATCCATGTTCTGGTCGTCCATGCCGAGCGAGGGTGCCAGATCCAAGCCCCCAACCCCATACAGCTCTCTCAGGGGATCGTCGGGGGCCAGCTGCTGTCTTGGGGAGACCTCCTGGCCGGGCATGAGCTGCTGGACCAATGAGACGGCCTCTTGCTCAGACAGGACCTCCCAGACGCCATGCGAGGCCAGAATGAGGAATTCCGATTGGCTGTCGATGGTGACACTGAGCGTGTGGGGCTCGGCCAGCACGGCCGCTTTCAGTAACGGATCGCCGTGGTTCCCTAACCCCCTGGTCGTGTCCAGCACGCCGTTGACTCGTCCTCCGTGGGCACCGTCCTTGACGGAACCCCCTGCTCTGAGGACACGAGCTCTCTCGTGGGAGGATTGTGGAGTGTGTTTGCGAGTCAGTCGCACAGCCTTTCCGTTCTGGCACAGCACAGCATGTGAATTTCCTGTATTTGAAAAAGGTTTGGTATATCACAACCGATTCTTATTGTTTAAATGACTTTCTTTGAGTGGACAAAATAATTTCAACAAAAGTTGTGTGTATTCAAAGTAATTCCACTCAAGAATAAGAATATTTAAATTCAAATACAAAAAAAATAATTGAAGGCGAATTACTGGCAGAAAATATTTCAAAACCAGAAATAAGCATTTAATAGCTCGAATGAAATCTGTCTTTTAAATTTCATTAATGTGCCACTTGAGTATTGAAATATGGCATACATGTAGTCTATACAGGGTGGCCCCCAAACGAATTGTGCAAGCAGACACCGTTAACTTTCTCTAAAAGTATCCAACATCAGCATTTGATGTTGATGGAGTATGTTGTTTGTACTCTTGTGTATAATCACAGGGAAAATCTCCTTTAATAAGTACTTTATGAGAAATTTGATATCTGCTTGCCCATCTTTTTTGGGGGCAACCCTGTAGCGAGTTCACATTTTTGCTTAAAAAAAACAAGATAATTGCAGTTTTCAGAAAGAATCAGGGGTATTAACTTGACATATAATCAGTATGCACGGACTGAAATGTTGAGTTAAAGCACTGTAAATTACATTTGTCTGCTTCTTATCTCAGCTCCAGAGTGTCTTCCCATTTGGAATTAGTTTGTTAATTTTACAATGTTTCCACAAACTGTTTCAAGGCTGCACTTTAATGAGCTGCCCCACATTATACTTACGGAAGTCTGAATTGGCACATATGGTTTCTTTATTTTTATTTTTTTTTATAAACAACAGGGTGGATTAGTCTGAGTAACTAGGACTCTACGAATCGCCTTTTTTAACATTTGGACATGGTGGGGCGACTATCGCCCGACCATGTCCAAATGTTAAAAAAGGCGATTCGTAGAGTCCTAGTTACTCGGACTAAGGGTGGATACAAAAAAATGAAACCAAGATATTATTGCTAATTGGAACAGAAGTAGGGCACATGTGAATCAAAGGGAGATATCCTCTGTTAGGGTTGAATCTCCTCTTTAAAATGACACCCTGATCATGTCATTACATTCACGGTTGACTTAGCAGAGTCCAATTTATAAAAGGGTCTATTTAGACAATTGCGCCACTTTCAATTGTGGTTTTTGTGGTGTCATTTGTCACAGAGTGAAAGGCTATGGTTGCCAATCAAGGCAGGTGGGGGAAAATAGAGGAGTCTACATCACTCTACTTACCTGTAGAGCGAATACTACATATGCATTGTTCCCTATGCCGGCAGGCAATTCGCTAAGAGTTTTACATACAATAGCGCCCTCACGTGTCCTACCCACGACGCCCTGTGACATGCGCACTACGTTAGCGTCCTCTTTTTCTCTTAGCCGCAGGACGAGGTACACGTGAAATTTCAACGACCTGAATTTCGCTATTTTATTGGTACCTCTTTTGCTTAGAGAAAGCTATTTCGAAAAGAAAGTATTGTAGAGTTGTTCTAGTGAAGTATTGTAGAGTTGTTCTAGTGAAGGATTTGAGTGAAAGTGAAAGAAATGAGTAATAGGAAGTTGGGGAGGACCGGGTGTGTCGATAATGGAGGGACGTACATCCCACCAGACAAGCCCGAGTTCTCGGGGGACTGCACCGGTGATGGTACGTCACCGCGGCAGCAGTCCCCTAGTCGGCCCCTTCAGCCACTGCCGGCTGTCGGAGCTGACGGACCCGTTGACCAAGCGGGGGGCCGTACAACCCCACCGTCTTCGGTCAATGTTCGCGGGTCCGCCCAACTGAAGGGGAAACGCACCGGCAAGACAAAGAAATTGTCTAACGCCGGGGCAATACCCAAAAAGGGACGTACGGCAAAAGGTGGCCCCGCTACGGGGCGCACCGTGCCTGTCCCTGGCCCGTCTACGGGGCACACGCAGCCGGAGGAAGTACTCCTCCATGGCTCAGTGCACCCAGGCCCACCCAGCCCCGTGATTACCACGATGCCTGGGGATGGGCTGTTATATGGCCGGTTGATTGACCGTACAGCACCCGCCTATGTTACCGGCGTGGGGGCGCTGTCGGCCGCCCGGGCTATTGATAGCGTAGAACCGAATCCCAGGGATTCCCCCAGAGATTTAACACTACGCTCGGAGGGCCCTGCCTCCACATCGGATTTTATTCGTTGTTCGGGCATCCCCGTGTCCCCGCAATCCTCGGCAACTACTCGGAGTCGCTCCTCAAAGAAGAAAAATCAAAAAAGAGCCGCCGTTCCCGCCGTTCTTCGACGAGTTCCAGCGAGTCATCCGGCCGATCGCACCGTGGGAAACGCCACAAGGGTGGCGACCCGATCTCACGCGATGATTTTTTGGAGGCCTTTCACTCCCTCGCGGCCTCATTGTCGGGCCGCCAGGGAGATTACGGTCACAGTTGGCCGACTCCGGGCCAAAGGGACATACCGCACACAGTTAGCTGTGCGCCGGAGTCCCCTCCAGAATTACAGCCCCCACACGCCGGTCATCACGGCCGTGGTGGGGTGACTACAGACCAGCGGACAATGCCGTGCACGGAGGGCCGTGCACCGGCGTCCCCGCCCGGTATTAGTTTACACCCATCGGCGTCACTGGACTCTGAGCGGGGCTCGATACCGGGACGCCGTGACGGCGCTGCTTCGCCCCCGGGGCCTGGTTCCCATTCCCCGATGGCAACTCGCCCCCCGGACTCTGACAATTCGGCGGACGAGAGCGAACTGACCCGCACCATGCAACGCCTATCGGTGGCTGAGACCGAACTCCGCTTGGTCCAACGGGATATGATCAGAGTTCTGAATCTTCCTGCTGGTACCGAACCTCCTCCTCCTCCTGAGCGTCAGTCGTTCAAGAAGCGATCGGGACCGACGGCAGAACCGGTCCGGGCTTTTCCCACAATGCCCTTGGACCGCGTGTGCGTTGACCACATCGACGGTATAATGCACGCAAAGACTTGGAGTGCCTACGCTAAACGCGTAGACTCATATTATCATTTCCCCCCAGGAGATTTTGAGAAATATTTCTCAACTCCAGTCCTGCCGGACTCGGCCATTGACAAGCTCGCCGCTGACCGAGGGACAGCTTCATCCAAGGTTCCTTTTACAGACAAGACCCGTGGAAAGCTGGAAGATGTCACCCGCAGAATGGACTCGGCGGCACGCATGGGTATGCGTGCGACGTCCTTTCTTCTTCTCCTGTCAGAGTACCTGGCACTGGGATATGAAGAAGATTCGGTGATACCAGCCGACATGATGGTGGCTGCTCTCCATTGCCTCGATCGCGGCCTGTGCTCCACTCTCGACCAGTTTGCTAGAGTGTCGACCTTAGCAACATCGTCACGCCGCGCCAATGTGCTAGATGCGCTTTTCCTCCCTTCACCAGGAGCACGAAAGCGTCTCGACGATCTCCCGCTCTCAGGCCCGGACTTATTTTCTGGTAATTTCCAGGAGGCCATGGAGGCCGAAGCAAAGCGCCTCAAGGCCACGGAGAAAATAAATCTCAAGAAACCGGCCGAGCCGAAAACCGCGGACAAGAAGAAACAGCCATCTTTTGTCATTCCCCGGCGCCGCCCCCCGGTCAGAGCGGCCCGTGGTGGATTTCGTGGGCGCGCCGATAAGGCGGTCGGCCCGCGCTATTCACAACCACATACCGGACAACAGCGTCCCCAGTCGGGACGCGGTTTCCGTGCGCCCACTCCCCGGTACACCGGGGCGTGGCGCAAGTGACTTATGCGTCTCCGGGCGGCCTCCCACCGCTGGACCCGTGGGAGGCCGCCTTCAGGAGTTCGTGGGGTCCTGGGTGCAGGTGACTTCCGACCGGTGGGTCCTCGAAACAATCAGCAGCGGTTACGCGCTCGAGTTTACGAGGACCCCCCCGTCGGACATGCTAATTCGGACAACGCCCGTACCGCCCGACACAGCAAAACGCCGCTCCCTCGAGGAGGAGATCGACGCCCTCCTTCTGAAGAGAGCAGTTCGTGTTGTCCCCCAAGGGGGGACCCGGGCAGGTTTCATGTCAACCTTCTTCTTGGCCCCCAAGAAGGAGACCGGCGTGTGGCGTCCAATACTGAACTTAAAACCCCTCAACAAGTTCATACGTCCGAAACGTTTCCGCATGGAAACGTTACGGACCATTCTTGCATCGATCATGACACCAGCGTGGGCGGCCAGTATAGACTTGAAAGACGCGTACTTTCACGTACCGATCAGGCCGGAACATCGCAAATTCCTACTTTTCCAATACAAAAATACACTGTACGAATTTGTGGTGCTCCCGTTCGGGCTATCCACTTCTCCGCGGGTGTTCACCCGGATCGTGAAGACGATCGGGGCGGCACTGCGGCGTCGAGGGGTCATGATATTCATGTACCTCGACGATTGGCTAGTAGTGGGCCGTTCTCGAGGGGAGACGGAAGCGGCGCTCCAACTAACGTGGCAACTTGCTTCCGACCTGGGATTTCTCATCAACACCAAGAAATCCCATCCAGTCCCCTCTCAGGTTCCCACCTTTCTAGGTGCATCCCTCGATCTTCGCAGGGGACTGGCCCGGCCATCGGAGGACCGCCTGCTGAACCTTCGGCAGTGCGTGTCCCTCTTCCTCCCGACGGTAGTGGCTCCGGCCCGAGCCTGGCTCAGGCTGTTGGGCCTTATGGCCAGTCTGGTGGACTTGGTGGATTTTTGCAGGCTGAGGATGAGGCCAATTCAACTTCACCTGCTGTCTTTCTACAGACCCCGCTGGCACCCGATCAACCATCCGGTGCCCACTACGTCTTGGCTAGTCCCCCACCTTCGTTGGTGGCTAGTCGAGGCCAACATAACGCAGGGCCGCGTTTTCCGCCCGCCCCGCCCGTCGGTACTTATCACAACCGACGCGTCAGGGTACGGCTGGGGGGCTACCCTCCACCCGCGACAGGTCGCGGGCGTATGGGGCCCCGCACATCAGTCATCCCACATCAACGTCCTGGAAATGCTGGCAGTCACCAACGCACTAAAACATTTCCAGTCGGACGTCAGAGGGCAAGCAGTCCTGGTACGATGCGACAACGCCACAGTGGTGGCATACATCAATCACCAGGGTGGCACTCGGTCAGGCCATCTGTGTGCACTAACGTGGGATCTCACCCTCTGGTGCATACATCACGGGATAGCCCTGTCGGCAGTCCACATCCCGGGGGAAGAGAACGTCACAGCCGACGCTCTCTCCAGAGGCTGGATCGCCCCGACAGAGTGGTCACTGCTCCCACAGGTGGCTCAGTCGATCTTCAGACTAATCGACCGGCCGCATGTGGACCTATTCGCGTCGCGAATGAACAATCAGCTACCGATCTACTGCGCGAGGGGCCCAGATCCCAACGCGTGGCAGACCGATGCACTGTCGGTGCGGTGGGACGGCCTACTGGCCTATGCCTTCCCACCCATCTCCCTCGTTTCTCGAGTGCTGACCAAGATCGAGCAGGAGGATTGCCGAATTCTCCTCATAGCCCCGTTCTGGCCCCGCCAGCCGTGGTTTCCCCGGCTCGTCCGACTCTTGGTTCACCGCCCGGTAATTCTACCAAGGAGGGCCGATCTCCTTTATCAGCCCAGCTCGGGAATCAATCACCAGGCTCCGGGGGATCTTCACCTGACGTGCTGGGTATTGTCACGCGATCCCTCTGCTCAGCAGGCCTTTCGCGACGAGCTGCAACAATTGCAGCCCAGTCCCGTAGAGCCTCAACCAGAAAGGTGTACGATAGCCGACTACGCCATTTCTTTAAATGGTGTAGACGGCAATCCATTCATCCCCCCAATACTTCTGTAGGGGAAGTGGGGGATTTCCTCCTATACCTTTTTAACAGTGGGCTCACGACGGCCATGGTCAAAAATTATCGATCGGCCGTTGCCGCGATCCATCAGGGATTTTCGGACGGTTCCTCCGTTTCCGGCAACCCTGCAATTAGCCAACTGATCAAGGGGATGTTTAATACTCGTCCCCCAGTACGCACATTAATCCCATCTTGGGACCTCTTCGGTGTATTATCTACACTGGCGAAGGCTCCCTTTGAACCAATGAATTGCTCAACTTTGTTACAGCTCTCCATCAAAGTAGCTTTTCTATTGGCTGTTGCTACGTCCCGACGACGTAGCGAACTACACTCGTTATCGATACAGACGGGACACATCCGGTGGGAACCGGGGGGTGTCCGCCTGATCCCTACGGCCGGTTTTCTCGCAAAGAACCAGTCGGAGACCTTTATGCCCCCGGACATCTTTGTCCCGGACATCAAGTCTTTTTCGAACGAGGCAAACGACAAACTTTGGTGCCCAGTTCGAGCACTTAAGTGGTATGTCAACCGTACGAAGTCACTTCGTACGGGACACGAAAAATTGTTCATCACGACGACCCCGCCCCATGGGCCGGCGTCCCGTGATACAATCACTCGCTGGATCGTGACAGCTATCCGGTCTGTACCGGGCGGCTGGCCAGCGACCCAGGGACCCATTCGAGCGCATGAGGTCAGGGGAGTGTCCACCTCGTGGGCCTTTTTTAAGGGTGTCCCCCTAGGTGACATCGTCAAGGCAGCCTGCTGGAAGAACCCTAACACGTTCTCCGAATGCTACCTGAAGGATGTCCTCCAGGCAGATGGCAAGGCTGGAAGAGAAGTGCTGCTAGCGGCCAGTCGAGCCTCACGGAAGCACTAACGGGTGAGCATATCAATATACATATATATATTTGTATGGGCATTAAGTTTACTTAGGTGTACCTATCATGTGTTCATTCCCATAATGGTTACACCCCCCTGACTTCTTGCGCACGAGCTCTTTGGGTTCCCCTGACGAGGTGAAACCTAGAGCGTCTGGGGTGTAGGTTTTGGTTGGGTGTTGTTTGCCTTTGGACACGCCTCATGTCCTACACCCCTGTAGACATACGGTAATTTGCGTATACCCACCGCCTTACTCGGTGCGAGTCTATGCATATGTAGTATTCGCTCTACAGGTAAGTAGAGTGATGAAGACTCCCCCCCCCACAGTAGTGTGGTTGGGGTCTACGAGCGAATACTTACCTGTAGAGCACCCCTCCCTCCTTCCCCACTATACTCGATTCCTTGAGTGCTTACGCAAGTAACGCTTGAGAAAAAGAGGACGCTAACGTAGTGCGCATGTCACAGGGCGTTGTGGGTAGGACACGTGAGGGCGCTATTGTATGTAAAACTCTTAGCGAATTGCCTGCCGGCATAGGGAACAATGCATATGTAGTATTCGCTCTACAGGCAAGTATTCGCTCGTAGACCCCAACCACACTACTGTGGGGGGGGATTTCACCATGAAAAGTGGCGCAATTCTCAATAGACCCTTTCATAAAATTGGTCACTGCTCAGTCAATCGTGAATGTTAGGACATGACCACGGTGTCATTTTAAAGAGGAGATTCAACCCTAACAGAGGATATCTTCCTTTGATTCACATGTGCCCTACTTCTGTTCCAATTAGCAATAATATCTTGGTTTGTTTGTTTGTTTTGGATCCACTCTGTATTGTTTCATATCTTAAAAGTCTTGCAAGCATCACCAGCAGCATAAGATTTGGAAACTTCACAAACCTATTGAAAAGTTAGAAACTTAAGGATCACTTCCTTACCTGCATTTGCCACATACAACACACCCAGTTCTTTGACCTGTGTCTCCTCATCTGTTTCCGTCTGTTTCTCTTTACCGTTCTCCATCTCATTCTCATCCTCCTCCTGATTCCCGTCCTCCTCCATGTCTCCTGTGCTATGGATGACACAGGTCAATGCTGAGCAACCGCTCCAGCGCACGCGCGACTGTTCATCAATTCCATACGACAAGATGTAATCAACCAGCTGATACGCATTCCGGAGCGCAAACTCCATCTTTTCTGCAAAGGGATCGTTCTCGCGTTTGTTGGGGATTTTTGACTTGGTTTCTTTCTTGGATGGCTGGTTGTTGGTTTTGACTTCCAGCTTGGACACGTTCTCCTTGCACGTGTGCATGATCTGCTGGATGATGTTATGGCTCTCCTCGTGGAGAATGTGCCGGATGCTGTCTTTGCGGACGACTGGTTTTGGCCGGTCCAGTTTGTAACCGATGAGATCGTTGTGCTCGGCCATGTTCAGGGTGCAGGTGCAGGAGGTCGTGGGGTCAAACTTGGTCATCTCGTTCAAGAGAAAGTGGTGAAGGTCATTGGCGGTGATGTCGGCAGCGAATCGCCCACTGTGGCCATCATAGATGGCAAAGAAGCACTTGTTCTCGTCATTGCCAAAGTAGTCTTGAAAGACGCGAGTGTCCTCCATACTGCGCTTCCAGCGTTGGTTGTCATGGGAACAGATGCCCATGGCTCGGGCACATTTTGCGCTGCACGTCAGAGCCAGTCCCTGGCATTCTGGGTAAACCATCTCCCGCGTCTGAATAAGATCCTCGTAAGTGTCTTCCAGGTATGACTTCAGTAGCTCATACGCATCGTTGATCTTTTGCAATGTCGACATGGACAGCGGTTTGTTCTCTTGGGTTGCTCGCCGGGTCATTTTAGCCAGGACTGCCTGACGGCGTTTCAGAAGGGCCTCGGCGCTCTCCGGCCGCTGTCGCTGTGATTCCTTGTACTCCAGTGTGGCCAGGGCACCATGGTACTTGCGGTGCTCCTGCAGTAGACGCAATAGGATGAAGGAGCCGCATTTGTCGCAGAAGAGGGTGATGTCTGGCTGTTGGGGGTGCTCGGTGATGTCGGTGTCCGGGGTGGAGACGCGGGGCTGGAAGTTGCGACTTCGGAGCTGTGCCTCTGTGATGCGGCCCTGATGCTCCGACACTGATGACGTATCGCTACTCATTGTGGTTGAATACGCTGCGTAACATCAAACAACTCAGCTGCACTGTTTCAAGAGAAAACCAATATATACCTTTTATTAAGACAAAAGTGACAAATCACACATTTGAATGAAAATAGAACCCCACAATTTCAGCTATCCCCAGTCTTATACATATTTGTTGAACTTTAAAGTTTCAAAGAAAAGAACAGAGTTGTAACGAGTCACTGATTTTTGTGACTCGAGTCGAGTCGAGTCATTTTCAAGAAGTGACTCGAGTCGAGTCGAGTCATTAGGTCAACAAGGTCGAGTCGAGTCGAGTCGAGTCACAGAGTGTGGTCGAGTCGAGTCGAGTCGAGTCAAGTATTTAGCTCGAGTCAATTCGAGTCACAAATATTTGAACACTAAATTACAATAAAAAGCAACAAACACAAGAGAGAAAGAAAACAAGGCACCAGTCTATTACGGAAATCCAAAGACATAAAGTATGCTGTATGGTACCCAACCAACAGTTTCCATTGCTAGCTCACGTCACAGAAAAGAAGATGTGAAACTTCGGTCTTATAACTGGTTTGGCTTCGGGTCTAGATTTTGTTGTTCGCTGATCGCTGACAACGTTAAAACCTAATTGCATTATACAAAGCTTTTCTGATTATTTAAAGGTGGGCCCGTCCGTATCCATTTTTTTGTGTGAAATCGGGACATGAATTTAGCCAGCGTTCCACCAAGAACTTCAAAATCGCCCGAAACCAATGATGAAACCACGGATTGAGAAATGCGTTTTAAGTCTGGTTCCGGGTTTAGCATTACATGCTATAGAACCACAAGGTGGGAGTCCGCGACACGGTGTATGTTTGTTGTTTCATTATGGAGGAAGGAAACAGACTGCCGCTGTATATAAACATACATTATTCGCGAACATTAACGTGACGTGAACAAAAACTGGTAACGCGAACAGCGCAGCGTAAGTCATTGCAAATATTTTTCGCAAGTAAGTTTTGCTTTTATTTTGGGACTCGAGTCTTATTAGCCTTCCTCGAGTCGAGTCGAGTCATTCTGATGAGGGACTCGAGACGAGTCGAGTCATTTGCTCGCAGTGACTCGAGTCGAGTCGAGTCATTTACCCGTCGGGACTCGAGTCGAGTCGAGTCGCCAAAAAATGTGACTCGAGTCGGACTCGAGTCGAGTCATTGACTTGAGTCATTACAACTCTGGAAAAGAATGTGATATTCTGACGCCACACTAACTGCAGTGGTTGTGTACAAAGTCTACAGGGAATCAGACACTTGACAATTTTCCCAGTAGGGCCTAGGCTGTGCTTATTTTTGAAAACGATGTTTTTCAATCCATTCCTCGCAGTGATGATATAAAAGATAACTACCTGACACACACAGTAAGCTAAAAAATATTGTGGTTATCCCCTTTCTTAAGTAGTGTCAGGATATAACATTCTTTCCATCTGAACTTTCTTAAACATTAGTAAAACAAATCGTTTATGAATTTTATTGCCAGTGGCAGTGTTAATTGTTTGAACATTGTTGATCTTGACTACTAGTACTATCAGTGAGACAGTTCCGGATCATTTTTATACAAACCGCTGTTCACCAGCTCATGTTCGGAGTTTCTGTGTCCGAGCGACGTCGTTTCATAGTAAAATTCCTCCCTTTCAAGTTAAAACCAAATAGGGTCCTATGTTCACACAGACTCAACATAAAGGGACATAAATCATGTCTTTTGTACAGGACTGAACCCGGCAGTTGTGGATCACTTTCCACAGTTCCAGATCACGCACGCTGCGCTTCGTCATGTAATCTACTCACAAAACTGCATCGTGTGCATGGGTGATCTGCAACTGTCTCACGTGGGGATAAAAAATCTTTCGGCGAATATGGCAATTCAGTTAATACAAATGCCCAAACCGTTATTTCTCAGTGATACTTGAGATTATGTCCTTACCAGAAAATATAGTGAAGAAAAAAACGATAAATGTTGACTACGTTCCACAGAAAACCAGATCTTTACCTTAGTTTAAGTGCTTCCTTTCACAGGACAGTTACAAAACACGTGGATATGCCTATTTCGCCAAACAGGATCTTGGGTAATGTTTAAGGGATATCCAAAATTTCTTTTCCCCGACAACTGCAAAATGATAGACCTTCAAATTGGTGGAAAAAATCTCGGAAAAGAAAGTTTGGTTACACTTGAATTAATTTTTATTTATTTAATCAAGTGATCCGGAACTGTCGCACTACTGCAGTAAAGCTTAAGTTGGCAATAACTTAAAAAGTGGGAACACGACGATACATGTATCCTCGACCCTCCATTATCTGCGCAGGTAACGCTTGCTTACGCGCGCGCGTCGTTGTCACGAATACAGGTCAACTCGTACGCGAACCAACTCGTACGCGACCAACTCGTACGCGGGACAATTCGTACGCGAACCGACTCGTACGCGGACCGACTCGTACGCGGACCGACTCGTACGCGGACCAACTCGTACACGGACCAACTCGTACGCGTGAGTTTAGACGATTGGTTTAGCTCACATGGACAGATGAAATTAGGTTCGGTCGGTAGGTCGGCATAATTTTACCTTTTCTGAAAGGTTGAGATTTTCAAATTAAATGTAGTTGATTTTTGAATCCGCCAGTGCTACTTACATTCGCGATTTTTTAGAGAAGATTTCTGTGTTTTTTTTTTTTTAACAAGTTCGCTTGATTGATTGGGAAGTTGTCTTCGCGATAACCAGTATGATTGGTTCCCGCCGCACCGCGCACTGTTTTAAAGAATGCATGATTGAATCGCTGTAACCTGTGTATGCCGCGGTACCGTTGCTGGTTGGTTAGACAAGTAAAATGACAAGAAAACACCGATATTCGCGAGGTCTATTGTATAAAAAGGAGTTACTATAAAAAAAGGTATATAGCATCGCGCATGCTTATACAGTTGTACGAACAGTGTCCGCCAGTTTTTTGCTTGGGTCAGATAGTTTTTTAGTCCTAATTATTATGTCTCCAAATTATATTTTGTAAAATAAAACAATGGGGAGGTGAATTTTATTTATTTTTAAAAATTTGAATTTTATTTATTATCACTGCAAATGCGTGGTGGCCCTGTGTTATGCTGCAAACAGATTTTAAATGGCTCAAAGGATAGAATTAAAAAGGAGAGGAAACGAAAATGGAGAGGGCAAGGAAGGCTGGGGAAGAACAATAATAAAAAAAGGAGAGAACAATTACATTGGGGCGGAATGTGCAGGGTTCGACCACAACTTCTTTTGTTCACTAGCCAGCCGGGCTACTGGCCCACGGGCATTTCTACTAGCCCGCATTTTTTTCTTATATCAGATACAAAATGGCGTATTTTCAAGCGCAATTCTGAGGGACTTTTGTTGGTGTTTTTGATTAACAGATCAGATAATTTAATCCTTTAAAACAGTTGATAATTAGACACAAATTAAAGGGGTTTCCTTTTTGAATTTTATGATTTTTTTTTTTCTGTTCGTTGATCTTTGCCGTATCCCAATAATTTTTCACTCGCACGCCGGCCTGGTTAAGGAATAGTTTGTCTAGCCCCGGCCGCCGCTGTTTTGACAAGCATTTGGTTAGCGGGCTATACCGCTAATTTCGAACCCTGATGTGTTATGTGTTATACCTCCATGGTTATACCAAGCATTTCAGTTGTAAATAGAAATTGCTAGGCCTACGGATGTCCCCGCGTGTCTGCTTTTTAATTGATCTAATTGATCAATGGTTGTGAACCACAGTGAAAGTTGAGTGACAGGCAGTTGACAAGTCTGATCGATCTCTTTTGATCTTCTAAACCCGCCGGTTCTTTTAGGACACCGAACCGCGAGAACAGATCCATGGTAGTCCAGAGCGTTGCAATTGGGTCAGTTTGACAATGGTGACAATTAATTGACTGACAGGTACATTGATTAAAAAAACACGAAAAATGCAACTGGTACATCGTTGCATTAATATATGGAATTAAATTTGACGTGACAAGGCTACAGGTATGCACAAAACAAAACAACACTCGTCTAACTACAAAAATCAGTTACTTTATTATCATCATTCACGGGTTCACTCCCAATCACACACAACGGTCACACATTGAACTACGGACTACCCGTCACACTATTCCCAAATTCTTCCCAACCATGCCAACCCAATCCTCGAAACCACTCCTAAAACGGCCCGCGTACGAGTTGGTTCGCGTACGAGTTGGCTCGCGTACGAGTTGGCTCGCGTACGAGTTGGCACGCGTACGAGTTGGTTCGCGTACGAGTTGTCTCGCATACGAGTTGACCAATCCGCGTACGAGTTGACTCGCGTACGAGTTGGTTCGCGTACGAGTTGACCTGTTTCCGTTGTCACACACAAATTGAAGGTAAATGCGTAGAAAAAGGACCGTGTAGTTCTAGTTTTAGGGGGTCCGAGTGACGATACGTACGTCTACCCGCGTCGCCGGTTATTTAGTTTTTACAAAGCATCATACTTACCTACGCACGTTACCAAACAAGTACGATTATAATCAATGTTAATTTGGCAATCTCTGATTTCGCCAGTAAACAAACTTTGTAGATTGGCCAAACTTCAGTGACGAAACCGACCGGTGCACTGTTGTGTTTTCACTCTTTGCCCATAGAGGGCGCTATCTCAAACAATTTCATGTTACCATGGTTGAAGGGGCGGGGCCGGGGGGGTGGGGGTTGAACAAATAAGCCCTTCCCATGAAATATTTTAATTTATAATTTCGCGCAGATGAATTTAGACAAGTTGATGATATCCACATCCAGTCAATTTCAAAGCAACTGTTATGACAAATGAATTTTGCCCAATGAGCCCTTCGCATGAAATATACCAACCCGACCTGACCGTCAATTTCAATAGCTCGCTTGCACTATGAGAGCTGAGGTTTTACTCTTCCTTGTAATAGCATTCATTTGTGCATATTTTGTTGAGGGAAAACATTATACTTACAATTTTGGATGTCCGAGCTCAACTCGGTCACCGTTTTAATATTGCTCGAGTTAAATTAGTTAATCTTTCTTACTCTCTTCCTTTTTTTTCTTCCATCAGACAATGATTCTCAGCGACAATAAACATGAAACTTTTCTTGGGGGGGGGGGCCAAAGCACATTTTCCCCGAAAATCCTTGTACTTTCTCTAGCATATTCTCACTTTATCTTTTTTTTCCCGAGGGTGGGCGGGGGACATTTACCCATCCCACCCCCATTGACACCTCTAGCCTGCAAGCGACCATTTTGTTAAATGTGTATTACATTAAAAGAAAATGTGACTTCACACCTCTTTTTTCACCCTCATATTTTTTTTGGGTACTTTTACGATGGGGGGGGGGGGGGGGGGGGTGAAGCGCCCCCTTGCCCCATCCTTGCGACGCCCATGATTGCCATCATTTTAATATCCCAATCCTTTCGATTTTTTTCACACAACAGTAACAAAACATAACAGAAATCTTTTTCAATTCATTTCCAGTTCACTTTATGGTTTTTTACAATATGTACAATTCAACAATTATTTCTTATAAATCCACCATCTGAATTCACAACTGAAAAAAACCTTTCAGTTTTGAAAGTTATTCTTAAAAACATTAGCCCTAGTCAGAAGGGAAAGCTAGCCCAAGCATTGTTACACTAAGCACCTCCAAAAAGGGAAATAATCGCAATAAACTATTCTCCGACACAAAAAGTAATGACTGGTTAAAGAATATACGAGATATGTAAATAAGCCCATATGAAAGCAAAAAATATTTTTAAAAATGCACGTACAAACTATATAAGACAAAATGTTTGTGTCGAAATGAAAAACGAAGAAACACAGAAACAGATCAGTCAAAACTTAACGAAATGAAACACAGCGACATCAATTCCAACCTGTTGTATATCCCCAACGTTATTGAAGGGAGGAAAAAAAAAACATTTTACATGCATCTTGATTCTCTACAGCAAACGTACCAATGCTGTTTCCACTCTTGATACATACACTGAGTAACGCAACTGCAGGTCCCATTGGGTCAGCCTTGCGTCCTCTTTGCAGATATTTCACGGATTGACCGATTCACTGACTGACTGACTATCACTTGTCAGCCGGGCAGTGCTATCGTATAGGATTACCCCATAACACCAATGAATGGGCTAAATCCGGCCCATTGTGTAGACCAGGTGCATGAAAAGACTTCCAGTGAATAGCCATTCTGAATCAATTAAATACAGTTTTGTAGGCTCAGGGATCAAGCATTAATGTCTTGCCTACCCTTGTTGTATCATTAAGACAAAGCAAGCAGTTTATCCAACAACTATACACACACATATCCTGGACGTTTAATCTGTGCCAACATTTGTGTCAAATTGCTCATCGGGCATTTGCATTCAATAAATATAGAAAGATCAATAGGTATAACTTAAAATCCAACTGCATGTTTTTTTTTGTTGGAATCTGTTGGGAGTGAGTACTGCACTAGTAAACTGATTATGCTTTACCGGGTCAGGCATAACGCCATAATCAGAGTCCAACAGTTTGGGTGTTGAGTTTACCATATGGTGTTGGATTTTGCAAAAGTGGGCAAGGTTCCCAGTAAAATCACTCAAGGGGGTTAGAGTTAATGAAGTAAAGCAACTGACAATGTGACCCTATGAAAGCCCCCCCCCCCCCCAAAAAAAAAAAATCACTCAGAAACAACAACAACAACAACAAAAACATACACAACAACCAAACACAAAAACATTAAAACAACAAAAGTCAGCAATAATTTAAATATTTTACAGTGTTTACACACTTGAATTGTAAATGAATGTACTTTCATACACTAATTGCTATTAACATTTTACTTTGATTGCTATGAAATACTCCTTTTTCTGGCTTAGTATAGGCTTTTTTTTCTAGTGGTAATGATAAGAGTAGAAAAATCACCATGTGACAGGCTCTTGACCAATCAAGAGACATAATCTGTAGAGGTGGTGACATACAGTACAAGCCCCTAAATTCTACAGTGTACGTGTATTACACTATCCTAGAGAATACAATAATACTTTCATATTGCCAAACATTATCTATATATATACATTATATTGCAAAATAATTATCGATACGAAAACACTGCATGGAAGCATACTTGGCATCCTTTTGCAAACATGCAATCATAATGTATATGTTGATATGCATTTTTGCATTCTTGGCACAATGTTGTCACGTTAATCAACCTTTTAAGGCATTTTAGTGAAAATTCCAATAAACCGGAATACTGTTAATGAATATCTAAGAATAAGGCTAACATGCAGCTTTGTATTATGATCAGGGCAATTCAACTACTCATGTCACACAGATGTCATGTCTTTTAATTGTATGAATAAATATTTCTACATATGTGACCATCTCAGGCAAAACCAGTTGGAAGCCACAAGGCAGTATTTTGAGATACCGCCTATGATGCACTGTACAGGCAAATTTATCGAATTTCAGATTATTGTTTAGAAGCAAGGATAATGGAAATATTTCATTTTCAATGAATTTAATTTGTAAATTTAATGCGGAGTTCATTTGGGAAACTTTACCAGCAAATTCTCCGATGTTTTTAACTTTCCGAAGCCTGAAAATTGGGAAATGAAAATACCTCTGTCGGATTTCCATATTCTATACAAAGCTTATTTCCTTTCCAATGAGCCTAAAATCCCAGTTTTCAAAAATTGGTCCAAGTGCTGGAGGGTCACATATAAATTCATCAATTTATCCCCCCCCCCCCACCCCCAATATTAATATACAATACAATAGTAGATAATGGTTTGAGGGAAATAGTGTGAAATTACGGGTCACAAAGATTTTGCTCTTTTGACTTCTAACACAAAAGTAGAGGAAGTCAAAATCAGCCAACACTCCACCAACGCTGCGACACCAGAATGTTTGCACTTCTTTCCCTAAATACACCATGTTGTTTACATAATGCCATTTGTTATTGAAACAAAGTCCACAGAATTACTTTGCGTTATCAGTGCATTTTGCCTTTCGGGAAGGTTTTAGTCAGGTTTTACTAACAACACGGCCTGTAGTTCCATGGTTGGAAATCTGGGAGCTAACCTTGATTATTGACTGGTTGGAAGTACATGTAAATGCACGGATCATGGAAGGTTTTTAGTCAGGCTCCACTACCAACCTGGCCTGCAATTGATACAGTTCCATGGTTGGAAGTCTAGGAGCAGGTACATGCATCTGAGGTATGGGATAGTTTTGTTGTCCCCGATGCTTTGAAAAAATGACAAAAATAAAGGAAGTGTGTTTGGCTCATAAATTTGTATGAGGTAATCAAATATTGAACACATACCATGGGGGGAGGGGTTGATTTCAATATAATTCAATCAATTTCATCATCATGAAAAAATATTAATTTGATGTGTTAGAATATCTGATTCTTATTTTCACTAGTTTCATCCTTTCATTGCACCATCCACATTCTAAACTATGACTAAAGTATATGTCTTCACACCACAATACACATCTCGACATGAAACGCCATACTCTACACAACTATTTAAACCAAAAATACAAATCAGAAGATAAATCACATCATTATTATCCTCTTGACTTTATAAGTTCCATCCAAATCTGTACATTTTCTTGACATGTGAACAATACTTATCCATTATTTTTTTCTCACAAACGCTCATCATAATTATTTACATTTGGGCCATTTTTCAAACTATGGCTTTGTCACCAGCTGTGGCTTCACCTCAAGAATTATTTAGAAGCCTTTGATATGAAAACTTAATGGAAAAACTCTAGACAGTGGCCTCATAGTATGGACTCGGTGCACAAGTGAAACACCCCCTCGTTGGTTACAAAGAGAGAGTTAAAGGTAGAGTAAATCTTTTGCAGATATCCAAAAAGTGACTGACAAAACTATTGTTGAAAAGCTTGCTGGGTTTAAAGAAGGGGATGGCAATAAACTCCCTGTGAAATGATTCTTTCTGGCATGCTGTCATTTTGAAGAAAACAATCTAAGAAGGCCATTTTCAAAGATGGGTCAAGTGACACAGTTTTGGAAATTTCCGTCAGTAGTTGGTTTGAAATTCGGTGAATCCGTGAATGGGTGCGCGAAAGTATTGACACGATGCACCCGATTGCTATTATTTGTTGGTTCTGTGCCTGACATCGTGTAGCTGCAATCGGCTGAATGAGAACGTGTCCTGGATGCTGATTTCAGGCGCAATTCAAAACAAGACTCGGCGACTTTTAAATTGAATCCTAGAATATTGTTTTCTTGGAATATACAGCATTCACAGAGCTAGAACTTCATCAGGATAGTTGTTAAGCACTCGTCTTTAGATTTTGAGCACTTTTGATGCTTCAAAGGAAAAAAAGAATGCACAAATGACTAATGATCTACCCTATTTTTAAAGGGAATATACAACATTTGCAAACATCGAAAAATAAAACTACCAAGTTTTTGCGAAATACCTTAATAGGATGTTGGTAAATGACAGTCTAAAGCATCCTGTAAAATTATGGCACCTGGTATACTGTCATTTTCAAGAAAAGTGGTATTTTTGTATCAATTTCCAACGCTGATCGGCCGATCAGCGTTGGAAACAACTGGCTTTTTTTCAAATACTGGCCCCAATTGACCATTGCACTTGTTTGCAATCGATTACAAACCTATGAACGGGTACGAGCCAGCTAGACTGGTTCCCTGACCTTACAATTCCCTAATGTATGTTAACTGCTCTGTTTCTTCTTTTATGGAGTCAGGGAACCAGACTACAGGAAAATGATCGTTTTTCTTGGTTTTTATAGCATTTTCGAACCCAAAACCTCCAAAAAGTCAGTGTAACTATATTTGCTTTATATTTCCAACCCTCCAATTCCATCCATTTCTGAAAATTACAGCAAAAGCAAATGATGTATATTCCCTTTAAGGGGAGTTGAACGCATTGCCATTGTATGCCTGGCTCATGCGACAACAATAAGGATTTGTGTGCATACACAATAAACGTATTCGCCATACGTGCATGAATCAAACAAGCATGCAGAGTGTCACCTCCCATCGAGGTCTCATGAGTGGTCATGAAGTGCTATGTACTGTTCATGCATGAAGTCCATAAAATTTGTGTTCCTAAAACGGAATCTGGACCCATGGACTCCGTGCACAAGTACCCCCTCAATGGTTACAAAGGGAGAGTTGGGAAGGACCTGGAGGGACGTTCCAAGCACTGCCAATGGCACCTGACGTTCACACGATGATGCTACAGGTTTCAGTACATTCAGAATAAAGTAAGGCCCCGTCTCATTTCATATCCGAGACGAGTTCCGGACAAGTTGCATTAGCTGCGGTACAAGCTGCAGGATTCTCAACAACTTCCCCACAATCTTCCCGCAATGAAGTTATCAGTATTAGAGAGTCAAGCACTTGCTTATGAAAATTTCCCCGGAACATGTCCGGGACAAATGCAGAGCTTCTTCCTGACAAAGTAAATGATTGTACCGCAACTTGTCCAGAACTCGTCTCGGATATGGATTGAGGCGGGCCCTAGGTCTAACGTACATCGTACCAAGTCTGCGAACCAGTATGCCAACACGGTATATCTCTTCTATTGGGGCTGTCGAGTGTGGTCACAAACCATCATCTACTGTTTGTGCACTGAGTCCATACTGAGCAGGAGTCTGCATAGTCCGAGGCCCTAAATATACCGTAACCACAGCAGGAGACAAAGTCAAAGCATGGAAAACCCCCTTGGTGGCAGTTTGTGTGATTTGGCACAAGAGAATTCAGCAACTCTCACTGTCTCTACTGGCCTCAGTTTCGTCCGAGTCCATGCCGTCTTCTATGAGACTCTTTGATTGTTCCTTGTCCTCAGAAACTCTGTAAAATTAAATACGGGGGAAAAAATGGGTCAGTCAATGGGTTGTCTTAACCTATTCTGAGTTTTTGAAATACTTTTTGCAATACTTTTACGCAATCGGCCAATGGGTATAAAATCCAGAGTAGGGCGTTGACTAGGTACTTGGAGGCGAGACCAGGACAGACACTACAACGGGCCCACTTTTGTTGATGGAGGATATGTAATGTATCTGTGGACGCCACAGATAATTTAGGTAATTTAGTTATTTCATTCTTAATCCCGGTTCAAACTTCATGCGAATGCGAAGCAAATTTGATGTCATGAAACATTCGCTGCGAAATTCGCCTGAGTTGAAAGATGTTCAACTTTTACGAATTCACAGCGCAAATACTTGCCATGACGTCACAAATTCGCGTTTCTTTCGCGCAGAGTATGAACAGTGCTTTACTGTATAGTTGTGCACGGCCAAAAGTACTATACCCGTAGCACCCAAAGTACTTTACACGTACCAACCAAAGGACTATACACACAGCAACTGGTATTGCATGCAAATTCATACGGGCGTGGGCGTTGTGCATATTGTTCCCAAGCACTAGTGCTACAGAGCTGGGTTCAAACATTTCGTGAAAGGGTAGTTTGGAAAAGTGCTAGAAAATTTTGAACTAATTTTGAACTAATTTCATATTCAAATAGAAGTACATTTTAATTGTATTTAGATAAAATTAATCATTTATCGCTTAAAATCAAGCAGAATCTGTGGGTGAGGTGTTGTTAAACAAATATTGACTGCTTTGACTCGTGGTGTAGTAATACTAGCCTCCCTCGGTGATCCATGGAGCATTCTATTTTTCCTCGGCTTCGCCTCGGGACAAATAGAATGCTTCATGGATCACCTCGGGAGGCTAGTTTTACTACACCACTCGAAGCAGTCAAAATTTGAATACCAAAAGCGCTTTCTGAGTACTGTTGCAGACTCAAAATTAAATGTTAGATCATATTTTTTTCAAGCAGTTTGTGTATGTGTCAATCATAGAGCTATATTAAATTACTAGAGCGCCAACTCCTCATTCTTGGGAGCGGAGACACTTTGAAGCCGTCCTGGGCGCAGACATTTTGAATTCATGCGCGTGTTTGTAGAACACAATGAAATTAGATGGATTGAATTTTGAAAGCGTACTCTAAATGCAACACCCAAGTAGAACATACGCAAACAACTTAAGCTCGTCATGATGATTTAAAAAAGTCGCAGTTAATCATCTGCAGCGGATATGCGAACACGTTGCGCGTTTTGCGTAGAGCAAAATGAAACGCTCATTTGCTGATTGTACGTTTTGTTTTTGAGCTTATTGGCTTTGATAACGCACCGGAATACAAAGGTAAATATGCAAATAGACGTACAAAAAACATACAAAATTTCGAATTCTCCATAGGTTTGTGTACAAACATGGATGCGCCCAGCAGGCATTACTTCTTGCATGAGTTAGCGCTCTAGTAATTTAATATAGCTCTATGGTGTCAATTCACTCTCTCGGAGAAAATCAGAGAATATCTCAGAGAAAAAGAAGGGTCCAATTACCTTAACAGGTGTTTCCGTCTTCGATTGCACCAGCAGCAGGAGTTCAGGTAAGGTCTCAAGATGCTGTAGAGTTGCCGTATGCCCACCCAGAGTGGGTCCCAGTTATTGTAGTGGTTCAGTAGCGAGATGACGAAAAAGGAAACGAAGATCGGCACAGCACCGACGAAGAAGAGGAGTGAAAAATGCACCTGGGATAAAAGAGGATAATGCATACAAACTAACAATAGATTTCATGGGTTTTTGGTCATTAAGAGAAAGTGGGTTTATTAACCCATTAGCAACTGTATTACACAGTATTACACTGTCTTAGCCCTCCTACTATTTAAGAGGTCACCAATGGTCAAAATGTTTGTATCTCACCTCCTGACATACTGTGTACAAACCAATGACGGTCTTGACCAATATTGACCCAAGTAATAACCAGGCTGACAATACATGTTTCCATAGGAGGGTTAATCACTGAAAAATTCATAAAACTATTGAGTACTTTGGCAGTTTCAGGTTCTACAGGGAGTAACTGAACAACTTCCACGGATTCTTCCTGCAATGAAATTGTCAGTATTAATTTAAAGGGCCTATGCAATGTATTTTTCAATGCAATCCTTGAAAATGCACCCCTGTGTGTCATTTAACCCTATTTTCAATTATTTTTTTTTGCCATTTTCAAGGGTATTTTGGTGCCTTTTTGGTTTCATATGGTACTACGAATTTTCACATTTATTAGCAAAACTGTGGTGTAATTTCTTTTCTTTCGTGATTCGTTGTTGTGTCTGTACATGGCAGTAAGCCAATGAGCAAACTTTTCTCACAAATGTTTTTAATGAACACATTTTTTGGTTCTCAATTTGAACACAAAACACCTAAACTGAGCAGTGTCTTCCTGATATGACATCACAGCAACAGCGCCCTCAGTTGTCCAGAAAAAGCATGAATCAAAGATTTTAAATCCCTCTGAAGTATAATAGACGCATTCATTGACCTGTTTGCATGGCCACAAACAACGGCCACTGCATGTGGCGGAGTATGTACACATTGTGTACAGCAATGCGTAATCTTTTCTGTCCGTTATCTGGTCAACATACACAAGCGTAAGTCTTGTCTTTTCTTCTGATGAGTGTTACTTACTCTGCTGAGGTACATATCCAGGAGAATGGAGATTGGAATGGTGAGGCTCAGAGCCAGCGTTGCAATGAGGGAGGACGTCAGAAAACAACCCCTAAAAAAAACCAAAAGAATGTGTGAGTGGTTCAGGCACAATAGATTTCAGTTCCTGCGAACAGTGACCAAAGTGATAAGCACACTAATTGACAAAAACATAAAAACCAGTCACTGAATTCCAAAATAAGATTGTGCTAGCCCCCAAGCTGTAGATTGGCCGAAAAAAACTCCCAAGGCTATTTTGCTAGGATGTAGCCCCAATCCTGCAAAATCCTCCATTAATTCTTGAATATGGTCCATGGAGGGGTGACCACTGCCTGAATCCTGCAAAATCCTGCGGCAGTGACTGTCAATAGGCTGAGGCTTGTCCAGTGATATCCTGGAGCAGTACGGAGGATTTCAAGCATAATCCAGGCCTATATTTATGCAAGGCTGAGCAAAAATAACACAAGGTCTGGCCCAAGACCTTGACAAAGTGCATCCTACGAAATCAGTATCGCACTTTTGCCATGTAGCCTCAATCCTCCAAATTCCTCCACTTTGGCGAAGAGGATTTTGAAGGTTTTGGGGCGGTTAGGTTAAGGTTAAAAAGACTAAATGTGGACTCACCACAGCCACAGAAACTCTGAAATGACCGTGCCGATGATACCGTTCAGCGCCAGGTACAGAACCACCTTGACCGAAGGCATCTCCAACGTCTCCCAGTTAGAGAAATGGAGAATGATTAAACCGGGCCAGATCAGAAGAAAGTTGAACAGACCAACAAAACCTGAGGAATAAAAAAGAAGACAAGGCATGCCAAGTAAAGCTGGTTCCAATTTGCACAAAATTCTATTCTCTGTGCCTATTCACTGAAAATGTTTTCATGCATATACCAAGGGCTCCGTGCACAAGTACCCCATCAACGGCCAGAAAAGGAGAGTTGGGGGTGACCTAGACTGGTTCCTGATCCATCCACTGCGTATTTCGAATGTATTCAAAGTTATTGGAGGCGGGGATTAGTCTCGGAGACCATCGTAAGTTGAATTCGAACGTATTCGCGCGCCGATGACGCCTGTCGCTGACGCGAAGATGAGGTGGCTTTAGCTTTTGAACGTTCAGGAAGTCGTGCGTACTTCACGCGCGAACCAATACAGTACAGTACGCGCATGCTGTATGTCCCGTCCACAGAGCTCCTGAAAGAGGTAAAAACGTGCCCTCTTTTGTTGGCGCACGGAGCCCATGGGCCCTGATTTGGCCCATTCATTGACATTCTTTACCCCTCTTATACAAACATACATTCTGTGCGAAGTTGTCCATTCAGTCAATATCAATCAAGTGACTGTTTTGAAACAGTCAAGAGCTCCCAGCCCATGTAATGCAGGATTGACTGACTGTGACAAATGTTACTTGATAAGCTATGCTTTGACTGTAGGTAATTGATAAGCCAGCCGAGCCTACCACTTGCCTGCTTTTGTCTGTTGACTGAATTTGCCTAGTCACAATGCTGAAATATGATCCGACTGTTGGTGACTAGCCTGTGTAAAAGGCACAGCAGGGGAAGAGGATTGATTTTTTGACTGTCTGTGACTGTTCAGATAGCAGGAGGGTTGATAGTAGAAATGAATCACAGTGCTTAAACAACAAACAAGAACATGGGTTGGAGTATATTCATTGGGTTTGAACAGAGCAGGATTCTGATGAAACTTGGTTCGGTAACCTCGGAGGTGAAGCCAGTGTTTCTTAAAGCTACAGTCCATCATTTGCAGCTATCCAAAAAGTAACTGACATACTTATTGTTCAAAAACATACTTGGTTGAAAGATTGTACGGGAACTAATCTCCCTGTGAAATTATTCTTTCTGGCATGCTGTCATTTTGAAGAAATCAACGAATGAAGGCCTTTCCAATGATGCGTCTACAGAGGCATCGTTGGAAATTTCCGTTAGTAGTTCGTTTTTTTAATCGGCGAAGCGCGCGCAAGCGTTGACACGACGCACACACGCGCGCGCGCAGTTGCTCTAATTCTTAGGATCAGTGCGTGACATCGGCTCAGTGAGAACGTGTCTCAGACGCTGAATTCAGGCCCAATTCAAAACGTGACTCAGCAATATTTGATTTGAAATCGAGATCCAAGAATGTTGTTTTTCTCGAAATATACAGCTGAAGCTGAGCTGAAACTTCATCAGGTTAGTTGTTCAGCACCCTTCTTTAGATTTTGAGCACTTTTGTTGCTTCAAACGACCAAAATGCACAAATTACAAATGATGGACTGTACCTTTAAACCTCCTGCAACTCGGGCATATGGCTAGCTACAACTTACCAAAGAACATGGGGATATCCAGAGTATTTTCATTGTCCACTCTGCGCTTCAGCATCACCAGGTACACTGCGTAGAGGAACGCCCCGCCCAGGGCCCAAAATGACCCCACCTTGACCTCTTCGTGGGCGTTGTCCGTGGTGGTGAAACTCACCATAGCAACACCGCCAACACTAAGACAGAAAAATGCGTAAAGAACACCACATTTAATTTGGTACCCCTGGGGTATTTCGGCTAGAACACAACACTTGTCAAAAATGCACCACATGTCAAAATGACATGTCTGCTCATATTAAACAGTTCACATCGGATGACATGTATACAGGCAAAGGTTTTCGGAACCGATGACGGATAGACACACAAAGAGCAAGGCAGGAAATATCTGTCTGCGACCCGCTCGCTGCGAGCGACGCCGGAAATATCAGGGTGTGCTACCCGCAGATGACGGCCTGAACCCGTCTGGCATCGAGGTTCATGAAAAACAATCCCACGCCTGGGTCCAGTCAATCTCCAGTTTCAGTAGCATGAAACGACTGAGAATATTTCTACTCCCCCTGGATGGGATGCTAGTCCATCGCAGGTTTCTCCCCAGCTAATGCCGGTACCCATTTACACTCCTGGGTGGAGAGAGGCAAAGTGGGGGTGAAGTTGCTTGCCCAAGGACACAACATATGGCCAGCAGCTGGATTCGAACCCCTGACCATCTGATCATGAGTCATGAACCCAAAACACCAGGCCACACTCCCCACTAAAAACTGACATGATGGAACATCAAATCTGACTCAACTCCAACGTGAACGAGGAAATATTCACAATGTTTGGCTTCAAACATACAAACCAATTTACCTGAAGAGTACGCTGACTAATTTTGTCAAGGTGAATTTGTCCCCGGAGGAGCTGGGAAATACAGAAGCTAGGAGCATGGTGAACAAACCTGAAGCAAAAACACAGAACGAAAAACCATCAGAGAAACAAATCATAACCCCATCATTTTCCTGAATCCTCACATTTTACAATGATTTTTCATACACCCTAGGGGGTTAGGAGTAAGGATATAACCTGATCAAGGCTGAGTCTGACTGAGTCACAATGACCTGATATAACATGATTAGGGGGTGTATGACTCACGACTCAGACTTGGACTTGAGTCTGACTCGAGTCACAATGACTCTGACTCCGACTGGGGCTTGGCACTTCAGATTCGGACTAGGGACTCCAATTTCAATGTTAGTGACTTACACTCAACAACTAAATGACAAATACCGGTTTGTTTTTTAAGTTGACAATTTAATATTTTTCTTGCAACAGATTGGCTCAACATTGTTGACTTCCGAGTTGGACTCAGACTCAAACTCAACCTAAATGACTCATGACTCGGACTCGGCACTGAGGACTTGGACTTGAGGTTTGAGAATTTGAGTACAACTCCTCAATGTCGAGTCTGAGTCCCGAGTCATTTAGGTCGAGTCTGAGTCCGAGTTCAACTCGGAAGTCACAAATGTTAAGTAGTATTATGCAACAAAATATATTTATTTTTTAATTCAAAAGCGCATCTTAATTTAAAAAGTAAGGTGTGATCTGCTTAAACCTTGACTCCCAGGGGATTTTGCTAACATTATTCCCTTAACCCCGACACTCCAAAACATGCAACAGTTGTCTAAGTGAGAAGCCTGCTCAGTGTAACCAGTTCAACAGGTCCAAATTTCAAATTTTCCCAGCCAGAAAAGGAGGGTTAACATGCACTGAAACTGTCAAATAGTTTTTTTCTTTTAAAAAGTAGCATATTACATATCTAAATTCCACTTGAGATTTGCCAAAATGCTTGAGAAAATTACCTGAAGTTGAGGAAAGAGTGTTGACAATTGCCATTTGAGTATCATTCAGAGCCTCTTGGTAAGAGAAGTTTGCTAAAAACCACTGAAAAAGAAGCAGATATGAACATCAACTAAGATTTACAAGGGAGAGTTGGGGGAGACCACTGGGAGGGACATCCAACGCATTGCCAACGTGCCTGATGCTCGTGTTAAGACGACTGACGCTCACGCGAAAACGCTACAGCTTTGAGCACATTCAACATGAAATAAGTTGTGCGTAGTTTGTGCCGTACCCGCATGAACCAGTACTGTTGAACCTTATTGTCGATCCGGACTATAGAACCTTATCGTCTATTCATTTCCCACCCAGTAGTTTTTCGCGTCTGTTCGTTCCCACTATCTTCTACCAGTGTCTATTACAATGATAACAAGGGAAGACTCACCACAACACAGAAGGAAAGGCTGATTTTGATGACTTGAGTCATGGGCAGTTTCTCGCCTTCTGGCGGTGGGGGGATCAGGCTGTTACGCTGGCTGGCATTGTAGGGCATTCTGGACAGCATGGCATCCTGCCCATGACACTCTGTAGTTGACAAGGAAAAAAAACGACGAGGGAAAACAATTTAGCGCTTTCAACCCTTGCTCTTCTTCACTCTTTAATTCAGTTCAATATATGGCCACATTTGAATTATTCCACGGATTAATATTTCCTTCTTTGAGAATGTCGCTCAGAGAACGTAAGCGGTGAAGCAATACCATGATTAACCCTAACCCACCTCACTCCTCCAAAATCCTCCTGGCGGTTTTGGAGGATTCTAGAGGATTGAGGATGAATGGTGATTGAATCAAATGAGGATTCTGGAGGATTGAGGATGAATGGTGATTGAAGCGCATGAGGATTTTGGAGGATTGAGGATGAATGGTGATTGAAGCACAAGAGGATTTTGGAGGATTGAGGATGAATGCATTTTGAGGCTGGACTGTCTGATGATTTTGAAGGATTTGGCGTTGGTTATCCTTCATTTAAACACGAGTGCAAAGTTTTGGGATGAGGAGGATTTTGGAGGATTGAGGATGAATGCATTTTGAGGCAGGACTGTCTGACAATTTTGAAAAATTTAGGCGGAGTTGCACAATTTTGGAGGATTTTGGAGGATTGAGGATGGTTGTAAGCAACAAGGGCCTAGGGGGTTAGGGTTAATTCAGTAGTTTGGATGGAATCACTGCAAAACACTAAGTTCTCGGACTCTTCTTTTCCCTTAAATTAAAATTATCCCGACGATAAACCAGGGATCTTTCGATCCATAGTTCTTCTCCCTATCCACTAGACTACTTTTTGAACTTATCGATAAAAACTTTAGGGTGACGCAATAAAATTTGGGTAGGTCAGGTAACTGGAAGCAGAACGCTTTTTTTTGTTCGGTCCTGTGATAACAGATGATAAAGGAGGCAAATTACACCCAGACTTGTTCATGTGTGCGAATGGAAACCAATATGCTTGTCACCAATTTTCAATTCAATAGGCACAAAGCTGTTGTGTCTTAGGGAAAGAAGAACACGACTTTTCATCTTGATGACTGAAATGTTCGCTACTCACCAGACAACTGCCTGACTTCCATCAGATTGCTGAATCTCACTCGGCCAATTTTGACAGCTGCAAAAAGACAAAAAGGAGAAAAATATACAATTAAAAAAGGAGAAGAAAAAAAAAAGGAATGGAAACATTGGATTGAAGTAATAAAAATCTTATCATTGAAAAAGTGAGAAGCAACAAAGCTTCAAAGAGGGAAGAATCTGTAACAGCTTGAATATATACAGGAGTCCCAAAATATGGCACACTTTCAATTACTCTGAATTTCCTCATAAAGAGTTGTCAAACTTATTTCTTGATGAGCTTAAATTTAATTCAGTAAAGTACTGAAATTAATACAACCGATCCCGTTAGCTCAGTGGTCGAGTGGTAAGGCGTCTGCACTAGAAAGCAGGAGGTCATGGGTTTGAGTCCCACCCGAGTGATTTTTTTCCAACTTTCACTCGGGAGGTAACACACTGAGTATACAGTGTTCATACGTCGGTGAAGGGCAAAACCTAATTTGATTAACAATTTTAGCGTTATATAATGAAGCTCTCAGGTCAAAAAAGGTGGTGCCTGGAAATTGGGCACAAGAGTTGGCAATGGGCCTTTTCATACTATCGTGTTGCTTACCCATGTTGAAATCAACACGGGTAAACCATACATGTATGTAGGTGGAACTGGATATCCCATCGAACATAGGTGGGCAAGGCATTCCGTTCACACTAACACTGTAGTGAACATAAGTCTGCTGTACATATATGCATTTTCTACCCTGGTAGAGACTGGTCCTGACCCGGGTTAGATTTTACCCGTGCGAAGCACTGGACCCATGTAGAAGCCGTGTTGCATTCTTGCTAGTGTGAAAGGGGTTTCTGAGATCTCCTACTCAAACACGGTGATTATGGAGTAGTGTGAAAGGCCCTTAACATGGCAAATAAGTCAACTTTGACAAACGTTTCATTCGGAGACAGGTTGCCACTTACGTGAATCACATGGCTCGCTGATGCTACTATGTCTACTGTCTATGCTTTCCTTGTCACTGTCAGTGAATTTGACGGGAACGTAAAGGGGGTCACTCTGTAACAGAAATGACAAAGAAATGTCAAATACTTCCAGAGTCCTATAAACTTGTGCAAATCATCACAAAGTTATTTAAAATTGAAAAATAAAATAATAGTGTCAACCATATTGCAAGGAAAACAAGAATCCTTCTTAGATTTTACGTTAATTAAAATTAAGGAACACGTTGTTAGCGTATTCCCAATGAAACTCACAATTACAAATACTTCTTACAAACGAAGGTTTTGACCTCTAATTAGCAATTAACCAGTATTCACAAAGACTCTTAATAGATGGAGGTTTTCCATTGTTCTTTTCGCCGGGGAAAATTGGAAACCAAGTTCAAATGGAATCACGATTCCTGGATGGAATCAGAATGGATTGCAAAAATGTTGGAGTCGGCCAAGCCTACAGACATAGCCAAGGACTTGACTGTTTCTTACCAACAAATCATGCTTCTCCTCTTGAATGTTTGGCACTGTACTTTGGACATCTGTCGCCTGTTGATTGCAAAAAAAGTAAAGATATTCCTTTAAATCTCATTGTTAATTCATTCCAGTTATGCTGGTGTAACGTCATGGCTCTGCTAACCACGGAATTCTTCGCTTATGATCACCATTTTGTGCTAAGTATACTTTTAGCACTGAAGTTCTGTGCTAAGCATCAAATCCATATCTATGGAATGTAAGCTTTCCGAAGATGAACATTCCCTGCTAACCCGTGAAATATTCCAACTTTGGCATGGATTTTTTTAAAAATAGTTTAGGCTCCATCCATAACAGATTTTTCGATATCGATTATAAATTGAACACGCGGAAATTATTGCCAGGCACACAGGCGTGTATTGGACTGATGTGCTTTACAGAAAAACTTGTCGAAAAGACATAAGTAAGCTTTGAGGTTACCTCAAAAAAGAATGCAAGAAGATGGTCTATATTATGCTTCGGACTTCTTTTCATTGTACAGTTTACAATCTATTTTTTATATAAACTTGGTGGTGACAGAAAAAGCAGCCTTCTTGATGGTCTTTTGTTAACAGAATTGGTCTGACCATGCTCCGACACATGAAACAAATCAGCTAAGGTTTTTTGTGCGATATCTTTTTCTCATATCAAAATTTACAACATTTTAATACAATTAAAAAGATTGGTATCGGTACATCAAAGACGCCTATAATACACAGTTAGTGGGAATTTTCTGCTCACAGTAAAGCAGAGCCATGACATTGGCCCTGATCAGGTTGAATATATGTTTTTAGCCGTACAGATGTTGTGCGAAATTCTCTTAAGTCGCATCCAACCTTGGTCAAAGACCAACCAACATGTGCTTAACCAACATGTGGCACTGTTCATAAGCACAGACATTTGCAAAGCAAAGCAAAACCAATTTTTTTTTTAAAATGTGCATAGCCAAAACAGGTTACCAGCTGAATCCGAAAGGATTCATATAGTTTGTGGCTGGTCCCAGACATGCCAGATAATTATAGCTAAGTGCAAATCCCTGCTTAGCAGCTCATCTCACTTCTCATGACAAATTTTCACAATAATAATTATTAACATAGCTCCGAAGTCTGCCTAAGAGACGCTCATACATGATACCGGGTACAAACCGCGAAGGGAACTGACTACAATGTAGGTGCAATATAATAATTTTACAGTTGAACAAATCCAGCCCTATGTTGGCAGTCCCCCATTTCGTCATGACTTTGTCATGATCCTAGCAACATTAGCAATGCTGCATACCCGGCAAATAGCAAATGGGGATCACTCAGAGAGGATACAGCTTTTTTATTATTTTTTTTTGTCAGCATTTTACTCACAAGTGTAGTTGGCTTTCCAATGCAAACTGAGCACATCCGTTGCCATGGTTTCCAGAAGATAAAGCCAAGGAGATACAGCATAAACATGGAGGTTTTCAGGTATGTGCTGAAGAAGGGCTTGTCATAGCCCTTGTCTTTGAATATGTACTGCAAAAGAACAAATATGGTACTTGGTTAATTTCAAGGTAGGAATACATCTTCTTGCACAGTCAGTGAAAACCAATACCGTGACATGACCAGGCTCCCCCCCCCCCCCTAGTCTGGCGCCATCCCATTCAGGAGCAATTAATGAAATACGTTCAGGGAACTCGACCAAAATGACTGACTTGTGAATAAGGCCCATGGGTTGGAGAAACATTGTGACAAAAGAGCTTTCCAATATGGGATCAAATTGAAAGATTGAAAAACGGAGTTGCAAGGGTGGGATTTTTCCAGTGTTGATGAGTGTTGATGGCCTGCCCCCTTCATACCCCCCCCCCCCCTAGGAAAAATTCCAGCAATGCCTATGAATTGAAAACTTCAATATTAGGGCTTAGGTTGTTCAGAGTCCGACAACAGTCAACTCTAATATCGGTAGGGCCTACATGTATGCTATAAAGGTATCTCATTTTACAATCTGGATGCTAATAAAATACAGCCTTGACTTCGACCCGTCAGAGATAAAAACTGACGCTGAAAGTACAGACTTATCAATAAAAAGAAATCAAGGTACACTGTAAACCTGTAAACAAAAAAGTTTATGAACCCTCAAATATTTTCATGCGTGGGACGCACAATGCTGTGCATTCAACACACAGACTGCAGTCTGCACAAGATAAAATAAAAAAGGGTGCAAAATGTACACTTTAATTTTGAAACTTTCAGTCAGTTCTGGAGCAAGAATTAATTGATTTTTTTTAGAAAACTGTGTACAGAAAAACCTCTCAGTTGTGTTTAGTGTGTAATAGTAACCAGTGTTCTCCATCAGTGGTTTTAGGTGGGATGCGGATGGCTAGGTTTGCTTTTGTATGCTGCCCCGTTAAGGTTTTGCACCCCCATATTTATGACCAACCTATTTTTGTTTTTTTTTCACATCATTATGCCACACAACATTTTCAGCTAAACAAAAAAGAAGACTACATTGTTTCATGGATTCCTGATTATTAAAAAGTGGAAGTTGACAATCCTTCATCTGCGGAGCTTTATCCCTTCATGTTATGGTCGGACAAAATATGATTTTGAGTGGTTCATATTTTATAAATACACATACCAGTAAAACCTACACATACAATACCATGATTCAGTATTTTTGTTATCACGTGTGTGAAATTGACTTCAGACACGCAACGTCCGTAACAACAAAAACATGACGTTTCCATAACATCAAAGTAGCTTTTTGTAAGGTACTTGTAACGAGAGAACCTACATATATATCAACCACAACATAGTTACTTCATTAAATTCTTGTAAGAAACTTCACAGACTTTTATCAATGCCTACCGAAAGTCAAAACCTATGTCAGAATGGGTAACGTCCGTAACAGTCATTTACAGTGCTTATAACCCCCCTATGCAAACATACATTCTGTGCAAAGCTGTCCTTTCGGTCAAAATCAATTAAAGCTATGGTCCATCATTTGTAATTAGTGCATTTTGTTCGTTTGAAGCAACAAAAGTGTTCAAAATCTAATGGAGGATACTGAACAACTTACTTGATGAAGTTTCAGCTCAGCTTCAGCTTCATATTCCGAGAAAAACAGCATTCTAGGATCTCAATTTAAAATCAAAAGTTGCTAAATCATGTTTCGAATTGTTTTGAATTGCAGCTTTACGCGATGTCGCTTACTGATCAAACGAATTATAGCAACCGGGCGCGCCTGTGCGTCGTTCCAATGCTTGTGCGCGCTGCACCGAATAACAAAACGAACAACTAATTTAAATTTTCCTACGGTGCTTCTTAAGAAGCACCGTTCGAAATGCCTTCTTTCGTTGATTTCTTCAAAATGAGAGCTTGCCAGAAAGGATAATTTCACAGGGAGTTTAGTCCCCTTACTATCTTTCAACCAGTATGTTTTTCAACAATAATTACGCCAGTTACTTTTTTGGATAGCTGCAAATGATGGACTCAGGCTTTAAGCGACTGTTTTCAACAGTAAAGAGCTCCCAGCCTACCGGTAAATAACGCAGGATTGACTGGCAGTGACTGTTTATGTACATGTAACTGGATACAGCTATGCTTTGACTGTAGGCGATTGATGAGCCAGCTGTACCTGTCACTTTCCTGCTTTTGTCTGTTGACTGAATCTGACTAGTCAAAGTGCTTGCTTGAAACACGAACTGACGGTTGGTGACTAGCCTGTGTAAAAGGCATGGCAGGGAAGAGGATCGTTTTTTTGACTGTCTGTGACTGTTCAGATACTGGTTGCAGGACGGTAAACTCAGCTACATATGTAACACTGCGTGAACCATGTCATGTTATTGTTGTCCGAATATAAAAAATTTGCTGTCACTTCAAGCATTATTATTATTTTTTTTCATAAACTGTTTAGTAGGCTTTGAATGTAGCATCTGTAATGATGGATTTGCCCAGATATAGAAGACTGCTGTTTTACAACCTTTACCACCCCAACTCCATCAAAATCTATCCCCCCATTTTTGTTGGCCTGGCGTGACTAAATATTGACGGAGTATGATGGACTTGGGCCTAATGGCCTGAAGCAGTGCTAGGGGTATCCGATTGATTTTGCCTAGCTTCCTGTACTAGATAAAAGCCATGTATAGCAAGTCCATGAAAGTCAACCAGTGCGTCAGTGGTGGATTCCATTATGTCACGTATAGTTTTGTATTGGACGCACAGTAATTGATGCATTCTGATGGATTTGGTCCAGTTCCTAGTAAAAGACGCTAGGGAGTTAGGGGTAATGAAACTATGTAACAGTTAAACAAATGCATATTGATCAACTTAAAGGGAAAATACAACATTTGCAAACATCAAAAAATAAAACTACCAAATCATTTTGAAAAACCTTGCTGGACTGTTAGTGAATGACAGTGTAAAGCATCCTGTAAAATCATGGCACCTGGTATACTGTCATTTTCAAGAAAAGTGGTATTTTTGTATCAATTTCCAACGCTGATCGGCCGATCAGCGTTGGAAAAAACTGGCTTTTTTTCAAATACTGGCCCCAATTGACCATCGCACTTGTTTGCAATCGATTACAAACCTATGAACAGGTACAAGCCAGCTAGACTGGTTCCTTGACCTTACAATTCCCCAATGTATGTAAACTGCTCTGTTTCTTCTTATATGGAGTCAGGGAAACAGACTACAGGAAAATGATTGTTTTTCTTGGTTTTTATAGCATTTTCAAACCCAAAACCTCAAAAAAGTCAGTGTAACTATATTTGCTATATATTTCCAACCCCCCAATTCCATCCATTCCTGAAAATTACAGCAAAAGCAAATGATGTATATTCCCTTTAAACTTCTCCCAGATTTTTTCAAATGAAGGACCAGGTCTTACCCTGGTAAGCTCAGATGAGGCTACCCAGATGGCGTCAACAGTCAGTAGCACCAAGATACCCAGACAGAGACGTTTGGAATGACTCAAACCACTGGTGATGCTCATTGTCTTACTTCATTGACAGCTGAAAAAATCTGCAATAAAAAAAAATAAAAAAAACAAATACCTGTCAAAACTCATCCTGTTTTATCATTTTAAATTTATCATTTAAAAAAAAAATCCTAATTGTACCTTAACTGGGCTACCGGGTAAAAAATGATTAGGGTTGCAAGACCACGTTTTTTTCCACCGTGAACATGTATTGCCAATTCATGTTGAAAAATATGAGTTTGGAAATAAGAAACATTAAAATACTCTTTTAATTTTTCATGACTCCTATAATAGACCTTTGTACACAACCACAGTAGTGGAATCAGTATACATGTACCGGTACTACATTCTTTCGCGAGCCATGTGGAAACCCACAACTGAGAATTTTTCCTAAATGCGTATGCTGGAAGCGTCTTCCTGTATAACAGTGAACTTTGGACTCTAACAAAAACCTTGGAGAACCAAATTGATGCTTTCCACAGACGTCATCTTAGATACATACTAGGAATTCGCTGGCCAGAAAAGATATCAAATGAAGACCTGTACACCAAAACCAACCAAAAGCCGTGGAGTGTAAACAGGCGCGGATCCAGGGGTGGGCCGCGGGGGCACGTGCCCCCCGTCCAATTGACTCCACACAAAAAAAGGGGGGAAAAGAAAGGAAAAACGAGGGAGGAGCGAAAAGAGGGGAAGGAGGAGGCAACCCTCCTTACAAAAATACCGGCGCCGATATTAACCCTAACTCCCTAGGCCTTTTTGCTAGGATGTAGCCTCAATCCTGCAAAATCCTCCAATTGGCCTCATGGAAAAATAGCATATAGCCTCAATCCTGCAAATTCCTCCGTTATTTCTTGAATATGGTCCATGGAGGGATGACCACTGCCTGAATCCTGCAAAATCCTCCGGCTATGTCTGTCAATAGGCTGAGGCAGAGGCAGTGACATCCTGGAGCAGTGCGGAGGATGTCAAGTATAATCAAGGACTAAATTTATGCACGACTGAGCATAAACAACACAAGGTCCGGCCCAAGACTTTGACACAGTGCGTACTCCGAAATCAGCAACGCACTTTTGCCGTGTAACCTCAATCCTGCAAATTCCTCCAATTTGCAAAAAGGATTTTGGAGGATTCAGGGCGGTTAGGGTTAAACATCAGCTTGCAAACATTGCGTAGTGGCAGTATGACAGCGAGCTCGAGAGTCGATCGAGAAGCTTCGAAATAAACCGCGATCCCACCGTACGTACCCCGTATAACGTAACCCTGCATGTACGTATACTTATGTACGTACGATGCATTCTCTACAAAAAAGCACATGCAGCTTTTTGCTGTGTTGCGCGACACAGGGGTGTGTTTTCGTAAGAACAATTTGCCATTATTTCCACGCGCTTGTAAATTCAAACTTATACTTTTCACAGAGTCCAAAACATTTCATTGTTTTAAAATGAGTTCTTCAACGTCATCATAAAATTTTCGTAAAGACTTTATTCGAGAAATGATGTAAAACCCTGAAAAAAAATAAACACCCCTGAAGATATACATGGATCCGTCCATAAAAAAGGTTGTTTTTTTACGAAAAATGGCGCGATCCGTCTGGTTTTGACATTATTACGCGTTGCTGAAAATACAAATCTGATAAGTTTGGTACTTAAAAAGGATCTGTTTGTTTTTAGGACAAAAAATCAGCAGTTATAGCCAAGAGGCAAGTTTCAGCACCCGAGACATGCTCTGGCAATTTAGACGGAATGCGGTGTGTTGCTTTTTCAAGTGCAAGCGAGGAACTTTGTTATCGGAGTTCGCCGGTGGCGGCCGCGGGCCGGCGCCCGTCCGTGCCGGGTCGGGATACACCAATTCCCGATGTCTAAAATTGTAACTTTTTTGTTATGAGTGGTAAAAACCTGATTCAAAAAGCAACTTATTGTTTATTTGATGGGGATTCCTATGATATCAAACATTTTGATAGGTTTGGAAAATAAGATTTATAAATCAGGCTAATAGTAAATAATGTAAATCTCACAGAATTAAAACTCCAAATTTGGCCATTTTAATTTTTGTATCTCCAAAATGCAAACACCTGTGAAGCTGATTAAAATACCATTGATTTTGTTATGAAAATCTGGGAAAAAATGTTGCAACCTGACACCGCTTTGACTGAGAAACATTTCCAATTTTGTTAGGGAATACTTAAAAAATGTTCTTGACTCTCCATAGACTTTGTACACAATCGCAAGAGTGGCGTCAGGTTGCAACTTTTCAGTGATACAAAAAATGAGATTTCTTTTTTTCAAAAAGGAAATTCGCTGGACTCCCTTGTCTAGGGACCAAAACAAAAAGAGGGGCTTGTAACTACCATGACTACAAAATCGCTGGAAAAGGCACAGAAATTACTCCTTTTCCTTCCCACAATACTGTAGCCATTGTATTTGTAGCTGACGTTAGTAATACACTAGCCCAGGTTGGACTCTGTTCCGTACGCAACTGAGTCCAGGGTATGAACGTCTGCTGCCATAGCGAAAAAAATTATAAACCATTTTTTTCATATTTTTACCTTATGGAGGAAGCTTACATATTAGGCCTAGTATCACTGAGTACTGTGGCCTCGTGGTTAAGGGCACTGATTCGTGGTCTGCGGGTAAAGCTGCAGGTTGTGGGTTCGAGTCCTGGCGGGGTCATGGTGCGTGTGCCCTTGGGCAAGGCACTTTGTCACTCATTGCTTCTCTCCACCCAGGAGTAAATGGGTACCTGTGAGGGCAGAGATGGTTATTGTGATTGAATTAGCTTCCTTGCGCCTAACAGGCTGCATCGAGCTGTATACTCCCCGGGGAGCTGAGATGGTATTTGGAATGTTTCATGTGCCCAATGAGCAGGGGTAATAATGATGTAGCGCCTTGAGCACCAGTCCTGGTGGATACGTGCGCTTTATAAATATCCACTATCCACTACTTGTGTCCAGAATTGTGCACGAGCTGGGTTTAGAAAAAGGCAAATATGTCCGCGGTTGGCGTGTTTACCAAAAAGAAACTGCAATTCCATGCTTTCGTTGAAAACATTTTCAGTACGAACTCCCCGTGTGAAGATTACGTGCGCGGATGCATGCACACCTAGCACGCAGCCGCCACGGCAGCAAACGGCACGCGCGTGTACGTCTTCACGCAGAAAATGTTTTCAACGAAAGCGTAGAGCTTGCGGTTTATTTTCCGTGAACACGCCACCCGCGGACATATGTGCTTTTTCTAAACCCAGCGCAGGCACAATTCTGGACACAAGGAATATGTAAGCTAAATTTCAGCTTCCTCCGTCAGGTAAAAAAATGAAAAAAAAAAATTGTTATAATTTTTTTCGCTATGGTGGTACATTTTATACCCTGGACGTCAGCCGTAATGCAATGAAGACGTTGTCCAACCTGGGCTAGTAATACGGTGATCGTGAAGTGTAGGGCCCTTGTTGGAAAGATTTCCATATACGAAGTTCACTCAACACCCTGTGTACAAACCCTATGAGATTGGACTGAAAAATTGTAAGTGTTTTCTAAGAAAATGCTTGTATTTTCTCACTGCTCAAATTGACTTTGATGACATAAAATTGCTATCTGGGGGCTTGTTAGTCAATACAATGGAAAATTAGTGAACTTCGCATATGGTAATCTTGCCCACCATTTTCCTGCGCGGTTTGTGCCTTGCGATTCAGTGGGCCATGCGTGCTCACGGTACATCGCGCGGTGATCGCCATCTTTATTTTCGGGTCGCATGTTGTCGCCGCAAGTGTCATCATCATTTTACCCGTGCCGCGGGGGTACGGTACATGCACTTGTACATGTACGCATGCGCATACTATCATTTCGCTTGTACCGTACCCCCTGCGGCGCGCTCCAAGCGAACCGAAAATCATCGCTGGATCATATGCGTGCACGTTTCAAGTGTCAGGTTGGCTCAGTGCGGAAAGGGCATATTTTTCATCATTTTAGCCAAAAAAAAACGAGAAAATCCAGCGATGTTTGTTCTGCACATATTTTGTGAGTATGTCATGAGGTGTAGTACGGAGTTTGGGGGCAAACTGTGCAGCGGTTCTGTGGAAAATTTCTGCATTTTGATGGACATTTTTGTACTTAATTAGTGTTTTGTGCTGACAACAATTTTGCGGGGTTCTAAATCTATGAGGCTCCACTATGTGGAGCTTCATAGTTAGGAGTACTCTGCGGTGAGAAACTGATGAAAAGAGTCTACAAACACGTACACGTTTAACGTTGCTTTCGAGTATATTTTACAGATTAAGGTCGGTAAGCATCGTATATGGAATTTCTGAAACCAGCGGCCCAATAGGCTACATAGAATACTACGACGTGAAAATTAGCTTTTCTAACAAGGTAAAAATATTGAAAATACTGGTCATAATTTTTTTCGCCCGGTTTTGAGCATTTTATACCCTGGACTCCCTCCGTTACGTAGGGAGGAAAGGGAGTCCACCTGGGCTACCCCCCCCCCCCCTGACTACCCTCCCCCCCCCCCCGCCTACCCCCCCCCCCCCCCCCCCGTTACGTAGGGAGGAAAGGGAGTCCACCTGGGCTACCCCCCCCCCCCCCTGACTACCCTCCCCCCCCCCCCGCCTACCCCCCCCCCCCCCCCCCCAACTGTATTGCGATAATGTCCGGGATTTGGGCAACTACTAGCCTAAAATAAATGTCATAAATGTGCCTGAAAAACGATGGACATTATTGTTTTTATACTCACCGTAAACCAGTTCGCCTTCTGTCACAACTAGTAAACGCTACAGACCAGTCAAATCATCATCAAACATTAGTTATACCTCATAATGCAGTGAAAAAAAGGCAGTCTTATTAACGTCTCTTGACTCGTGTTGTTGTTCACTTGCAGTTACACACCCATTAATCTTGACTCCTGCATGCAGACTCGACTACAGATGATCCTATCCTCTCGACTACTATACTGCATTAACTGCAGCTGGATGATCGGACACTGGGGATCTTTTTGTAAAGTGACCTATGAAACACATTGACGTCATTAAATTTGGCCGTAGGGAAGGGCGCCCCTAGCGTTGGATAGGTAAACGCGTGTGGGGCTTCCCTCGTCCCCTGTACCCCCGCTCTGCCCCGCCCTGTTTGCAGGGCAGGGGTAGGATGGAACGCCGTATTATCGCGGTACTTATCACGTTTCTCGTTCGGAATAGAGATTGCACACTAACCTTCCAGAATTGTCCTGTCTTATGTGTAGTATAACTCTTCCTTTTTAAATTAATATACAAAAATCTGACGGGTGGTGTGGTTTATTCCGTGTACGATGCCTGTGAAAATAGACATGCGCGGCGTGTGCGAACGGAGGTGGACTCCCTATTATCGCGGTATGCGGGAAGTGGTTTTTATAATGATCCCAACTTTTTTGTTCATAGTTTATGTTTGACCAAAACACCCCCTGAATAAAGTCTGATATTTTCCCTGTAACGTTCAAGTTGATTAAAGACAAAATGTCTGCAGGATGATTTCTTAAAACCCTGCCCTTCCCCCGAAAGGAGAACACAAATCCCTGAGGCAAGTCCACTGATCGGCGATTGAGGGCGCCATTCACTTTACACGGTGTGCCGTTTCATTTTCGCTAACGCGCGGTGCTTATTTTGATCCCGTAAAAGTTGTTACGATTTCGCGCTGCAAATATCGTCGTTCGACTTCATTTTACATTTGCAGCTGAAGAATGGAACTTTCATGGACAGAGCGCAATTAAAGATTTATGTTAAAATATAAACGGTACCTTTTAGCAGACACGGTGAGGGAAAATTTTGCAAGTTTTGGAAAACGTTAATATTTATTAAAATCGTTAAAAGTCCCGAAAGACACAACATTTTTTAATCGTCCTTTTTATACAACTCGGTAGAAAATCCTTGATGACTGGTGAACTGGGTAAAAATCGCCACTTGAAGGAGTTTTGACACTGTAAAAAGAGAAATTTCCCATGCCGCGATAATAGGGATGCCGCGATAATAGGGAGTCCGACTATACGAGCGAAATGTGGGGCTAGTTAGGTTTTTTTTGGGGGGGGGGGGCGGAGGACCGGACAATGTAACCAATAAGCGATTGCTTCAAAAGTCTACAATCTTCCTGAAGTTGTTAAAAATGGAAACTAGCTTCAGGTTTGTTTGCCTTGAAAAAAATCCGCATTTACATTTGTTATTAATTATGAATAAAATAGTTTTTTTCAAAGTAGAACCCATGCTCATAACATTAAAAGAATGCTTGTCTGATCCCCTTACACTTTTTCACGGTATAATAATAATTAACATTATTTTAAATTCGCTTTTCGTGTCACTGGGACATTACAAGCACTTTTGTACACTAAAACTAAAGGAAAAACACAAATTCTTAAGAAAGAAAAATAAAGTCAATTAACAATTAAATTAATTAATTGGACAATTAATTAAAAAATATGTTTTCTCTGAATCCTGCATGTCCCTGTTCAGTCATTAGCATAATACGGTACACTGTCAAGTTTTTAGGCACTTTTAGGCATTTTCCCATGAAGCACGTGAGTGGTGCTAGTAATCAGAGAATAAAACTGCTTTAAAATGTTACACTGATTTTACCAAAGAAAACATAGTTTAGCAACCTCGTCCTCAGTGCTAACTTTATTTCCAACCTCGTTTCCAATAGTAAGCCCTGGATAGGAAACCTAACTTCCTTCCTGTATCCTGATTCGATACCGCAATTGGCTATAAATGGATTTTTACCGTGTACTTGTGCAGTACGTGTTTTCGCGATCATTCGTCCACACCTTCTCGAAAACATTCATTTCCTCTTTCAATTTGTTCATATTAATATGAAATGTACGGAAGCGTATTTAGGACATGACCCAAAATATTTTTTAGGCCCACTACTTCGCCCGGGCGGATTACTATTTCGCCCGGGCGGATTACTATTTTGCCCGGCTGGGCGGATTACTATTCTGCCCGGGTGGACTACTAATTCGCCCGGGCAGACTACTAATTCGCCCGTGCAGATTAGTAATTCTCCGCGGCCGGGCAGACTATTAATTCGCCCGGGCGAATTAGTAATCCGCCCGGGCGAAATAGTAATCCGCCCGGGCGAAATAGTAATTCGCCCGGGCGAATAAGTAATCCGCCTGGGCGAAATAATAATTTGCCCGGGCGAATTAGTAATCCGCCCGGGCGAAATAGAGGGCCGGACATTTTTTATTTTGGTCATGTCCTAAATACACTTCCGTAGAAATGTGATAGTGCATGTTGTCTCGTTAAGATCGTAACAGTTTAATTAAAAATAAAATCATGTTTTCGTAACTCACCCCATGCTCGCGCTGCGACGAATTGAGTCTGCTTTTACCCCAGACACCGCATACACAAACAAACACAAATGTAACGCCGCGGGCAGGCACCAGACTATTTCTCATTTGCATACGTGTTCAAAAATCTTGCACATGCAAATGATCCAATACCAGGGTGAGAGCAGGTAGTGGTGGTCGCGTACTGCTCGACACCCTGGGGACGAAGTTGATAGTTTAGCGGCTTTTCACAACTTATTATCACGTTGAGAGGCATGGTCAAATGTGTTTTTTCCCCTACCCAACGCCAGGTGTGCCCTTCATCATCTTTCAGTTTCTTTTCAATTTTTGGGGGGTAATCTGATGACTTTTGGGAGAAATTTCCATCCGAAGATGATCCTGAAGCCCATCGCCATTTTAAAAACGGTGCCTACACTCCAATTGCAAAATAGATCGCTTTTATGGCCCCAATTTCATCCGAATTTCACAGAAATACAAGCTCACGGTCCTTTGCACGGCTTCCACCCTTATTTTATTTTACAAATCCTCAAGTTCATGGCCCACAATATGCTCAGAAGAATTTGAGGGCATGCAAATCGTGATTTGGCCGGCGTAGGTAATTTCGGACCGATTTACTGACTTAATGATGTACTTACCCCTGATGAGCAATTACGGTATTTTTATTCAGTGTCCGATCTACAGTGCAAAGTATCAATATTCATGATACACGCTGCAACATGAATATGCATGACGTAATGTTTAATATCGGTGATGAACTTGTTACTTGATTTTTTTTAGTAGTAGGCAGAGAATCTTTAGAGCACAAGCCGACAGACATCATTAACATGATGAGATTTCATCACTGGTAGTGTGCATGCTGCATATAGTATACACAATAAACCAAAAACAAATTAAACCAAATTAGGCTGCGTTCCCCGTGCTATTTTCGAGTTTCATCAAAAAGAAAAATAGATTCGTTTTCTAATTTGCTGTCTTTACAATAGTTATTCACTATTGAATAAGACATCGGCCGAAAAAAATCAGTCCATGTTTAGTTATTGCCTTATTGCTTGACCATTTCGAATAGCTGTTAGACAATAATGGGCCTTATAATTATGTACGAGTTGACCATCACTTTGTCGACAGCCAAGCCCTATTTTAAAAGATTCCGATAAGAATCCATTTACTAACACCGAAGCTGTCGCTCCACCGTAAAAGACCCGAAACCATTTCGGTATAGAAGGGCCAAATTAAACTGGTTCAAAATTTCCAAAATCATGCGAAACCGAATCAAAAGCTTTCTCAAAATCGATCAATAAAAACATACCAGGAATCTTATGTTTTTCTGTATAATTAAGAAAATCATACATTAAACGAATATTCTCACCAATATAACGCCCTTTCAAGAAACCCTTTTGATTTTCATGAATAATAGAGGAGAGGCATGTTTTAAGTCTCTCTGCTATACATCCAGAAGCTAATTTGTACGAAGTGTTCAATAGTGAGATCGGTCTCCAGTTCTTTGAAAATTGACGAGGTTTATCCCCTTTAGGCAACAAAGTAATAATACCGTACTGCTGAGTAACAGAAAGTTCACCGGTTTCATAACCAAAATTGAGGGACCGTAATAAATATCACGATAAATCGGAGAAAAAAACCTTGTAAAATTCAAAACTAAAACCATCTGATCCAGGGGACTTGCCATTTTTTTGTGTTCTTCAAAACATTTAACATTTCTCGATGAGACAGAGGACCCTCTATGCTGTCACGTATCATATTTGAAAGAACTGGAGAGTCCGAATTCTCAAAAATAGATTGTAAATTAACTGTTGTTTCCCCTTCTGAAGACGAGTACGGTTTTTTTTTATAAAATAACGTGCCTCGTGTATAATATCCCTAGAGGATTTTAATTCGGTAACACGATTAAAAGTCTTGTTAATACAATTACGTTTCTCCATATTAAGGAAGTATTTGGATGGTTTTTCACCGTGTTTCATCCACCTTGTTCTAGATCTAATCATTACACAATCCAATGTAGTCTTACGAATATTAACGAGGCTAGTTTGTTTAGACTTCAATGTATCCAACAGACTCTCATCACCGTGAGCAACCTTATTCGACAAATCTTGAATTTCGTTTTCGAGACGAGATTCATCTCTGCAAGCACTCTTTTTCTTCCAGGCTGCAAAAGAAATTACTTTTAGTTCTAATCGCCATTAATGACATTTCAAAAAAAAGTTGATCATTAATAACAAAATGAATATCTCTGGGGTGAATGGTGTGTAAATTCGAACGTACATAAGGCAAAGCTGCGTGTGTTTCTACAACATCCGTGATAACTTTTTTCACCTGGTCAACATAATTTTATCTGCAAGAAGCGAATTTTTAAATTTCCAATAACCCGGTCCTCTCTCGATCTGATTGAAATCGAAACAAATATCAACCAAGGAATGATCTGTCCGATAACCTGGCTCAATTTCAGATGAAACAAAATTGGAACTAAGTTCAGAAGATATTAAAAAGAAATCCAGCCTAGACTGTTTCAGTGTAGAAAGACTCCAGGTATATCTCCTGCAGTTTGGGTTTTGAATACACCACGGTTTAATAAGGTCGAGATCCCTACATAAACCCAACACCCTGTTTCTTGC